GTCAAAGAATGTCATGACAGGACTGACATCATTCTATATGAATTACCACACAGAACCAGAAATACAATGACAACCAAGAATTGCACAACAAAGAGCCCAAAAAGCAGAGCTCACTGTGATACAATTGAAAGAATTGCAAGACCACATGAAGATGAACATTGAATTCTTACAAGAAAGGATGAAGTACTACTATGATCAGAAGCATCAGAAGGCACCTATCTTAAAGAAGAGAGAGAAAGTATTTCTATTTTGATGAAACATCAAAATGAAAAGATCAAACAAGAAACTTGATTTCAAGAAACTGGGATCATACAAGATCAAAAAGTGGATTGAGAAGATCAACTACAAACTATAACTACCAAAGAAGATGAGAATATATCCTGTATTTCATGTCTCATTATTGGAAAAGGCATCACTACATGCTAAAGAAATGCTCATGAAAATCAATAATGAGCAAGAGTATGAAGTTGAACAAATACTGGACCATCAGATGATCAGTGGAAAATTTCACTATCTAGTGAAATGAAAAGGATATGATACCTTGGAAAACATCTGGAAACCAGTGAAGAATCTTATGAACACCCAGAAGATTGTTGAGATGTATTATTAATGACACTCTTATTCAAAAAAGCATTAACAAACAAAAAGGAGAATTTGGGAAATGATTCTGATGGAGAAAGATTGTCTAATATAGCAAAATGTTGTTGAATTTCTGCTTGCTCAGCCACTCTCTTCTGTTCTTCCTTTTCAAGATGCTCCAACTCCTCAATTGTCTGAACTTTAAATTCAAGAAATTTACCAGCATGAGATTCTAGAAACTCCTGTTGATGTTTCAGACAGTCAATTTTGACAAACAAGAAAGAAATCAAGGACTGTGCAGCACAAATTTTGGTGTGAGTACAGAATTCATTGACTTTTAATTTGGCACAGATGGAATGAAGCTTGGCCCAATCTTGATCAGAAGAACTGTGATCCATAACACAACAACAATCAAGTCAACAACATTTGAAACACTTTATTGATTTATCAGAATGAACACACTCTTTATTATGATGAGAATAATAAATGCAGTGAGAAGACATCACAACACCAATTTCTTCAATTTCAGAAGCTAGATGCTTGTTATTGTGAGAAGACTTTGAAGTCATGGTGACAGAGCCATGAGGACATTCACTTACAGGAAGAAAATTTTTTTAAAAATAAAGCAAGAGGACAATCACTCTTTATACTCAAGAGGGAGTGTAAGCAGTTGAGGACAACATGCTAAGAAAGAAGAGAATGATGTTATAAATCTTGTGGCACAGCACAGAATCATCACACACCATTGGAAGAGTGTATGAAGGATGTGACTGGAAAGTGGAGCATGATGAGGCTATGAGAGTTATGGAATGGAAGAACTAGAACCCAAGAGGTGAAAGTCATGTGACTGAATAGTCATGGATAGACAGAACAGTGAATGACTGATTGTGACTATCTGAACTGGATGAGCAGAATAGGAGGACAGGATGAAGAACTATCTGAGACTATTCACTATATTCATCATGTATATAAGAATGCTCTTTACTGTTGATCAGATGAATTTGTTCATTGTGATCAATCTCTTCTCTCTTACTATTCTCTCTATAGATTTATCTATACAGATACTATCATATCTTGATTACTTTTCATATCATTAAAGTTCTGTGATACTGTATAATTGTATCTACTCCTGCTACTCTTGAGAAGGCACAACAGTCTTGACTCAACTCTGACACATCTGTATGGAAACTCTTTGCCATTGGACAAGTCCACCAACTTGAGATCAAGCACCATTGGAGTATTGATCACTAAAGCTCCAATTTATTACATTGGACAACAAGTTCAATAACATAAAGACAGATTGCCATCTCTCCAAGTTATTTAATCACTCAATCATCTCTTCTCTCATGTGTCAGATTTCATTTTCCATGTTGTCTCAAATTCCATCAGCTTGGACCTTTCTCTCTTGTTATCCAATATGCCATGCTTCTGCTCCAAATAAGCATAAAGCTGCTTCCAGTTGCCTACCCACTGCAGCAGACACTTTATCATTGGTCATGCATTTTCATAAAGCTGTCAATGCATCACAAATTGCCAGATGATCCAGAGAGTTTGATTCAGCAAAGCAGCTTGAGATAGGGGTCAGGACTTCAGAGTCAGTCAGAACTTCAAGACTGGAAGTCATTTTAATATCATCCAACATAGGTGCAATGGTAGATATTGAGGGTTGATAGTTATTGTGAGATATAATAAACAGTTATCTTGCAGTCATGCTGCATGAATTTAATCAAAAAGAGTGAGGTATTTATCATCAAAGAAAAAAACTCTGTTAAGATTTCAACTTGTTGAGACAGTCTCATAAAAAGAAACCTCATCAGCAATCTTTTAAAGTCTCCAAGTTGAGTAGCAAAAGCAGATCCTCAAATCATAAGACAGAATCTTTTGGCCACTTCATCAGAAGCATTCACTTCACTAAAGAAGCTTTGCTTCCAATGAGAAGGACTTGACATGCTACCAGATGTGATATGAGAATCAAAGATGGATTGGTCCTCCTACTGAAGAAGAACTAGACTATCTATATATATGTACAACAGTGGGCCTGATGCTGGTAGGCATTGGAAATCATTGGGCTTTATAGATGAGATCTATGCCCAATAGAGACTAGACTAGAAAAGAAATATACAATGCTATACAATAGACAGTGCTGGAACCACACAAGCAGTATGAAATATCTTCCAAAAATTGTGTTTTGTCATGCTGATATAGCCCAATCCAGATTGCAAATGGAGATTCAATTGAGTAGAGTAGACATTTATCAAAGAATCAAATATTCTGACATTGAGAGGCTGTAAATGATGGATTGAATGAAGTGAAAAAATAGTAAGAATAATCTTGTTCTGGTCAGCATAATTAATAAATATCATATTAACATGAGATGAATAATCATTCAGAATGAGAAGCCTCCAATTCATTTCTGTCTTATTTTTTATATGCTTATCAAAAATCTTCAGTCATTTCAACTCATATTCATCATTGCTTCATTCATTGACAGAAGCAGTGAAATAAGCTTAATGCTTTGAGCTATCAAAATCAGTAAGTCAACTATCTTGTATATCTCTTGACTTCTTCTTGTAGATTAAGCATGGTGGAAGTGCTGTTCCATTCATACAAATGCAGGCAAGAATTGAGATGAAATCTTAAATCTCTAACAGTATAGATCTCAATATCTGCTTTAAATTTAATGCATCAAGAATAAGAATTCACTTCACAGTTTGTATAAGATTAAGAACTATATCTTTCTCATCAAAATTATATAAATTTAAGAGTTTAATTTAATATTTCTTGATCTTTTCTTCAAGCTGGAAGAATGAGAGATTATCTGTCAGTAAAGACATGTCAAACAGATGTAAAAAAGAATGAAATAAGACAAATATTATAGTAAAGAAGCTTAGAAAAAAGAATAAATTATCTGCAGTCTTCTGCTTCTGATTAATTGCTTATATATATACACTTTTAATCTGATCTGTGTACTTCTTGCAAAAGTGAGAGATTCAGTTCTTTCCAATGTTCTTATTAGTAATTTCTGCAACAAGATTCATGATTATTCTAGATGTAGCAGGGATTCCATGTTCAGAAAGGATTTCTATATGCTTCAAAAGAATAAGAGCTTGAGAATTTGACAGCTTTTTATGGTGAATTGAAGCTGCATTGAATCTTGAGATCTGTTGATCTTTAAAGCACCACATCAACATAATTTGATTGATTCCATATTTTTCAGCAGTAGATTTAAAATTAGGAGTCTCCTGATCTTCCAAATCCTTAATTGCAAGACATATAGATTCCTCATTGACCATATTTTGAATTTTGAAGCTGAAGGGTTGAAAGTTCATTAAGTGAGTTTTGGGTGTTCAGTGGGTGGGGATGTTTGTTGGGTGGGGAAGTACGTTAATCCATGAGTCGCGCCTTTTTGATTCAACCGCGAACGACATTCGTTTCCTCCAGCCTGATATAAAGCCCGCACCGGAGACCGTTTGCGCCGGAAGGATGCAGATCTAGGGAGCTGCTATGAGTTTCCCAGTGGACTTGTTGCACATTCCAGGTTCTGTTGTAACCTGCTGATTTCGGAACTGCTCATATTGGAAGCGTCGTACGAAGAGTTGGTGATGGGCCTATATGCTCAAGGATACCTGAAAAACTTTGCTGTGGAATAGGGAATGGGATCGGGGCTTTCCACTGTGGTCTATGGCTGCAATCCCGATCCGTCTGCTACCAACAGCCGCTGATATCCATTCTGTCCACTGCTATTTATCATTTAAACAAGCTGAACCGCACCGTGATAGAACGTATAAAAATAACGGGCTATCATATACGTTCTATCCTGGAAGATGGAATCGCTTTGTTTAGTTCTGGGTGACCTTAGACCTTCTATTCATCTGCTTCAAGCGCACTCCCTTGCCATTGAGCGGCTTAATTGGAACTGCTATAAAGAACGCGATGGTGTCGACCAGTCGCTTTCAGCAATTGATATTACAGCCACATTCGCACAGCTGCCATGTCAGCTTGTCATTGTTACTTTAGGCGCGATTCCTCGCGTCAAGTCTATTGTTTGCTCCATAGAATACTACCACTCTACATATCGTACCAGGTTGCAATGCTTGAAGATATTGCGGGCTTCGGCGGAGCTAGAGATTGTATATTATGCCCGTGGACTCCATTCTTTTCTTAGACCTTTCTAGTTGCTCTATTGCATCCTCCACTGCTGGCAGAGCCTGTTTCTTGAGCACTGCTGCAATATGCTACTTTCCATTCTCGTTGCTGGCCTGGCCACCTTTACAAGACTTGCATCAAGTGCTCCGCATGAACCTGAGGTCTCCGTACAGCTCAGCCGTGTCGACAATACACGCATCAAAGCTGTCCTTACCAACCATGCCGGCCTTAGTATCTCTGTTCTCACGCCCAAGTCCCTGTTCGACCCGAGTCCTGTTCAAAAAGTCAACGTGCTCAAAGACGGTACATGTAACAAGCCATTGGTTCTCATGAGGTCAGCTAACTAGTGATTAGGCGAACCGGTTCCATTCCAGGGGATTATCCCTGTTTTGAGCACTACTGGGCTTTCCCTAGACGCCTTCACAACCATTGCCCCCAACGCTAGTCTGGAGACGACATTTGACCTCGCTGAGACGTTTGACCTCTCCGCCAATGGTCAATATACCATTTACTCTGATGATTTCATGCTCTATGGAGCTGCCAATACGACTGAGATTGTAGGCTCAGTCCTTTACAAATCCAACGAGCTCACGATCCATGTGAATGGGGCAAAGCCAGCCCTTATCGCCCATGCCATTGTCAAACGATCCACTATTGATGGGACATGTCGTGCCTATGACTGGCAGTTGAAAGCTGCTTTTGCGAGATGCCGCGATCTCGCTGCAGGAGCCGCTCGGATACCGTCTATAACCAAGTTTGCAGAATATTTCAAGACAACTGAACCACGTATCCAGCGAATTGTCGCGGCACGATTCAGGGCAATCCAACGGGAATGTGGTGCCGTGAACCGTGGAAGAGCACGCTTTAATTGCAAGGATTCTTCGGGCCTATGCAGGAAAGGGTACCTCGCCTACGCTGTTACGCCAGGAGGGCAGGTTTTTCTCTGTCCATCATTTCACGGACTTCCCATGAATGGGAGATCCTGCCACTCGCAAGACAAAGGCCATGTCGTACTTCATGAGCTAACGCACCTCGGGGAAGTATATGAACCCAGATGTAGAGACTATGCCTACTCCTACGAGGGTATTAAACGTTTGGGTGCGGATAAAGCGTATCTCAATGCTGACACTTATGGGCTCTATGCACTGGGTAAGTTCTAATCTTCAGTTTCCTGCTGGATTTTTGACGTGATATTGACGCTTTTGCAGCGGTCTTAAAGGGATGTTAGTAAACCGATGGCTACCCCAAAGCTCCCGCCGGGAGTTGTGCATTGAGTGTTATATGGTTTTATACCTACCCGTGACTGGTCCGGAAATTCTTTCAAAAGCACAGCCCTCGGTAGCGTTATGGACAGTTACTATATAAACCCATTTAAATAATTTAAGGCACTGGAGACCCGATAAACAACATCCCATATTTTGCATCCCAATGTAATCTGTTGTGCATGATGCTCACTAGTTTTCTACCCGCCAGACAATAACTATTCTACCATCTGGTCACCAGACAGGCAAACTCGCAAATTATTTATGTGACTACCGTAATTCATATTCATTTCCATTTCATCTAGGTTATTTATATCCCGTATCTTCTCATTTTAAAGGCCGATCCCATCCCATCCCGTAGTTAAAACTTGCATCCTCTTCATGTCAAGCGAACAAGATCAACAGTGGCACAATGGAATGAGCCGCCAATGGCATTAACGTGCTGGAATGGGCACATAATCGGCTCCATCCCAAACTTCTCCTTCACCCACGAGGCAAAAACCGTGTCCTTGGCCTCCACCATGATCCGCTTTTCGTCCAAGCTCAGCGCATTGAGCACAAGCCATGGAGATGTCATGTATAGAGGAGGACCGTCCTTTGTTTCTGGCGTAAACGGATACGCGTACAGCTCCCAATCTTGGAACACAGCATGCTGGCGCAACGCCTCCTCAGAGACTCGTTCGGGGTGATAAACCATCAGCTTATTCCGGAGAGGGAGGATGGTGGCATCAATGTGCATAGCGTGGGGATCGTCCGTTTTCAAAACCTCAACAGTGTATCCTTCGGGGATGACAGCTCTCAAGTACTCGACACCCTTCATGTTCGTCACGTTGCTGAGTTGCCCAATGATCACTTTGCCAAAGCGCATAAAATCCGCGGTGTCAAAGGAAGGCCTGGTGTTGTTGATAGCCCAGCCGTGGCTTCCGTCGCTTTTGTCAGTTTCAACGCCATCGTACAGCGTTTCTCGTCCCATCGTAACTGGTGCGCGGACGACTTTGCTGGAGCCATCTTCGGCCAGAGTCGAGAGAATGTCGCTGTATCCAAGCTCCACCTCCTTTCGACGGCAGCCCCAGGCGAATGGCGCCTCGACCACGGTGTTTCCAACAGTCATGAGGCTGTCCCGTGGCATTGCCCCCGTGTAGCCGCCGACTTTGAGCCAGTCGACCTCCTTGGGCCGATAAACGCGAATCCCCTCGTTCTCGAGGATCGAGGCAAAGTGGTCTAGCTCCTGCTGCGCCTTCTCCAAAATCTCTGCCGGAAATGGGTTCGATGGCTTGAACAGGTGTTGATGCTCATCGGGCATTGTGGCCGCAATCATATGGGCGGGTTCAGAGGGGAAAGCAGAGTGCTCTGCGCGGCCGACGATGACAGCCTGGAGAGGCGACCACTCGTCCTCGGCGGACACCATGTTCAGTTTGGCAGACGGCATGATTTCAACTTGTTCTTTCAAAAACACAGTCAAGGCAAAGGGTCAACGGGGGAAGATGGGAAAGTGGCAGTGGGTATCACAGGCAGGATCGGAGGAAGTGCACTGGAGGACATCTGCGCCCAAGCTCCCTTCTCCGGGGCCTATTTCTATCAATTCAGAACGCAGAACGACACTCCTCCCTCCCCGCAAATCAGTCCCTGATGTGGCAATTGCTGCCCATTTGGAATCTGCCCGCGTCGAATGTGAGTCGAGGGTCTTGTGCGGCCCCAATGCCCCATTTACTAGCCAGCCATCATCCCCGCTGACGCTGAGCTCGGAGTGCACACGGATCCTGCACTGCGTAACCGGCACGGAGGGACTGCAAGCATTGGCCTGCTCAATTGCACTATGCTCGCGATTAAGGCTGGAATTGAGTTCCAGCAGGCCTCCGCAGGCCACAGCACTCGCGATATGCGAAGCGACGCAATTCCAAAACCAACATCCCGGGCAGGACGATCTGACGAGTAGAAACAAGCTGGCTGGCTCTTACAGGAAAAAGTCATTTTTAGGCTGAATACCAATTAATTTGACTGCTGCGATGCGAGGCCTTCTCTTCCTCTCCAGGTCCCCGCAGAATTAGCTCTCAAGAACGACGAGCTTGCTCGCACAGTTTACGTGTCAGATTCAGACCCTGGAAGACAGGCTTGGAACCACGCTTTCTGGCGTCAGTTTATGCTGTGCGATCGCTCAAATTTCAATTGCGCCTGGGCGGAAATCCGTGATTGCGGGTCCTTACGCTGCTGGGGCTTGTGAAAGCCGATACCCGAATAGTGTCGCATGGAGACGACAGATTGCGATTCTTTGCAGATGGGAGCGGCAGATCATGCCAATGTGAGCACATTGTGTGTCGCGACGCTGCCTCGTCACAGACACTGGCTTTTGAGTTGACCAAAAAAGGCATCAAGGGAGAAAGGCCCGGGTGACAAGTAACTAGCTGATTCGAACAGAGAAGTTTCTGCTTGGTTGAGATGATGAGGTGTAAAGGACTTGAAGACATCCAGAAATCAAGAGATTCAAGGATGATAGTTGACGATCTAACCTGCGATTAAGTTGCGTCTCGATGTCTATCATAGTTAACTATGCTAACCAACTCTATTCCCCAGTGTACGCTTGAATGATTTGGCGGCAGGGATTTACCAGCGGCACCCTTGTCCTCCGCCATTTTCTTCAGTACATGTCAAGCTTGGTAAATATCATTTCGCCTTTCAAGCCGATTGGCACTGCTTCTATGGAGCCACATTGCCACATAGGGCCGGATTTTCCATCTCCCATCTCGGGTGTTGTCGCAATCTCATATCGGAGTAGCAAGAAGGCAGCAAGCATTTTCAGTTCCATGATTCCAAGGGCCTTTCCAAGACATATCCTCGCGCCGTAACCAAAAGGAATGAAACTATTCTCCATTTGCCTCAGCGTCTCGGGTGTTTGATCGAGCCACCTTTCTGGGCGGAACTCCTCCGGATGGGGAAAGACGCTTGGATCCTGGTGTAAGGCAATGGTGGACGCTGTGACACGGGTCCCAATAGGAAGACATATGCCATTGTAATCCTTCTTCGAATCTTCTATGTATCGCTCTTGTCGCCCGCTCGCGCCAGGATTGACTCGAAGTGCTTCTCGCATGAACGCGTCCAGTGAGGAGAGCTTATCGATATCTGTCCATGCGGGAAAACCGTCTTCGGCAATATTCAGGCTCAAAAGGTCGCTGCGGATTCTAGCTTGCCACGAATGCTGTCTTGCAAGATGGAAGATCAAATAGATTAGACCGACGGCCACTGTTTCTTGAGCTGCGTTGATGTTGTCGTACAACTCTGCGGCGATGTATGGGGTCTCAAGCGTTTCGGGGGCTTTTGCTCTGCAGGAAAGCATCCGCTGAAGCAAAGTATAGTCTTCCACAGCGTCTAAATCGGCCAATGCAGTTTGCAAGGTGTTCCAATTCCAGCTTGCCATTTCGTCCTCAGACTTGAGGCAGAGCCGCAAAGTATCTGGTACCAGCAGAGAAGCTATCCCAGTCGGAAAGACATGCATCGCTTTGGAAGTTATCCAAGCAAGCGCCGGAAAATTGAACTTGAACGGCCCCCACATCTGCGCTTGTTTAATACCCAGGAGAATCTTCCGTTCTGGACAGTCGTTCGCAATGGTTTTGGCACCGTACTTTGATCCGAAAAGGACATGTGTGATATTGTCGAATGCGAAGCAGTTGAATAACGGATACGCATCCAGCATGGCCTTTGCAGGGGCCTTGTCCTCATTTCCATGTTGCTGCACAATTGCCCTTTCAATCTGTGCGACGAGTTTCATAATATTCTGCCGTAGCCATTTCTCCATAACCGGCCTCGTGATACTAGTTTTATGATAGAACGACGAGATGAGCATTCGCTTTTTCCTGTGTTCCCAGTATGGCCCAATCGAAAACAGCGGTTTTTGACCATAGACCATGAAATTCTCGAAAAGCTCGCTTTTTGTATACTTGCCCGCCGTCCCGTATATTTCCCTCATCAGTCCGGAGGAAGCGAACGAAACCTCCCCGGGCCGAAAGCATATTACAGGGCCGTATCTGAGGTGCCACTGTGCGATCTTATCGTTTCGCCGGAGCCAAAAGTCGTACCAGGCAATGTAATACCATGATATCTTGCCCAGCGGCGGGCCTGGGACGTGACTATACGGTCCAAAGTAGAGGGGGTGAACGACAGAAATAATTATGAAAAGCACTAGCACAATAGAAACCAGAATTATCCGGGGGTTCACCCCTAGATTCTGCTCAACGAGTGTATCCATTTAGGAAGCGAGGCCAAATCGATTGTATTTAGCTCCACAGGGCAGGTTAAAAGCAAGATATTTGAGGGCAATCCATCAGGAAATACTGCCAGCGCGGCCCTTGGAATATTCAGCAGTTGTAACTGACTTATTGTCGGCTACTAATCACCTGCAACATAGTATCCAACTCACAGTATCGAGGCCGGTGGAACGTCAATGGCCTGTGGCGGAACGGCGCATGTCCAATGGTGTCTGGCGGGAAAGCGACCATCAAAGCCTTTTGCGGGTGATGAACCTCAAGAGTACCAGAGATGTCTGGACTTGAATCACGGTTCAGGCCGTTGCGAATGCGGGCGATCTTTTGAGCTCATCGGTTTACTCCGGACGTGAAGCATTATTCTCCCCATGGTCGTGCGCAGAGGGTAAGGAAGGGAATCTTCAGCCAGCCTTTGGATAGTCATCGTTGATTCACAACAGCCGAATGGACATCATCATGCAGAAACGGCGACGGTTGTCTCGTTCCTTGTCGGCGCAAAATATGAGCTCGTATCTTCTTGCAGACCACTGGGCGAATCGAGATCTGCACAAATGATTGGCGATTTGGACGGCGCCTCAAAAGCTCCGTCGTGAAGATCGGAGCCAGCTTCCCGGGGGGGATCCTAGATTTAAATGCTAACCGAGCTTAAGCACGGGTTCCAAAGATCTTGTCCGTACGGAGTCCGAAGTACAGTACATGCAAATACAGAAGCAGACCGCCGTGCCCTTCTTCGATGAACGGAAGTGGAACCGATTTTTGTCCGTCATCTCGAGGGCCGCAGGCTGGAATAACTAGCTACGCTGGGAAACTAAACCTATCGAACTGGGCCGGTGGCCAGGTCTGCCGTTCCCGACGTCAGACGAATGGTTACCATGCGTATGTATCACATTCAAAAACAGCCCAAAGAGGTGCGCAAGCCACTTCAGCTGCAGGAGACAGGAACCGCTTGTCAAGCGTCAATCAGCAACTCCGTGAACCGATACCGCTTTCTTCAGAATGCAAATATCTCATCAGAGCCATGCCGCTTCTTGCTTTCCCCTCGGAGCTGACTCCAATCTGACATATTCAAGACGTTGTGCGCTTCTTTTGAAAAGGGCGCTTGCAACTCGGATTTCAAGGAGCCGCCATTGCTCTGCACTTGATTATTCGCCATGTTGTTGCTTGCAGGATCCTTGTTTGCAATTGTGGTTGTTGTATACAAGAAGATAATATACCCACTCTACCTGTCTCCTCTGGCGAAATTTCCTAGCGCTCACCCACTAGCATCCATAAGTTCGCTATGGATTCAATGGAAGCGTTTGACAGACAAGGAATTCGATGCGGTGGTTTGCGGGTTTCGTCAGAAAGGGCCGTATCTACGCCTTGGGCCCAACGAGGTGGCAGTTAACACCATGGAGCGCGGCGTGAGAAATATTTACGGCGTCGGTAGCGATAATTTCGATAAATCACCATGGTACAATTTCTTCAAAAACCATGGGTAAAGCCTTGATTCTTTTGACAATCTTTCAACCCGTACTAACTCTTCCGCGTAGATTCCGGAATACATTCTGCGCGCTCGGCTCTGAGCATGCCGTGCACAGACGGAGAATCAGTGGAGTGTATTCGAAGTCGTTCCTCCAGTCTTCGCCCCATATCCGAACGATTCTAGACACAGTGATACAAGGGCGCATCCTCCCTATTTTGGCCCGCAAAGCTAAGGACGAGGAAACAGTTGATATTTTGGCGCTGAACTTAGCCTACGGGCTAGATTTTGTTTCTGCGTTCATTTTTGGGCTGCCTAGGGGAGTCAAATTCCTCGAGGATCGAGCCTCGCGCGAGCATTGGCTCGAACTATATGATCGCACACACCCAAAGAGTCTGTTTTGGTTGGCTGAATATCCTGTTTTGGCTCAGGTTGCATCTAAATTCGGTATACCTTTGGTGCCAAAGGGGTTCCCCAAGGCGAAACGGGAGCTGGAGACATGGGCCTTGAAGAGGCTTAAATTAGCAGAGGATGTTCTGGCTGAAAATCCAACCGACGATACGATCCGCCCGGGAGACATGCCGCTTTTATACCATGCACTTAAGGCAGGAATGGAGACGGAGCAAGGGAAAAAGAAGAATGGCAGATTCGTGCCGAACAATACTCAGCGGCATGAACTTGCTAGTGAATGCTTGGATCACCTAGGTTAGTGAAGCGCGCCTTGATCCCAACTTACAAACGAATACCGGCTAATTTCCTCTAGTGGCCACCAGAGATACTTTTGGTAAGAGCAGCAGCTCCCAATCCAAGCTTTGCTCGCTAGTACTGACTTTGCAGGCATAACGTTTTCTTTCGTTATCCTAAATCTTTCGCGAAACCTTGAGGTTCAGGAGCAACTTCGGGCAGAGCTACGGTCGATGACGCGGCCATTCCGGTACCACGATGAAAAGAAGACAGAGATTCCTGCACCACAGGCATTAGAATCGTTGACCCTCCTAAATGCAGTCATTAAGGAATCTCTTCGCCTGCGAAACACCGGCCCAACCCTTAATCCTCGTATAACACCGAAAGGCCGCAAGGTTACACTTGGCCCGTGTGACGATATTCCTGCGGGAACTAGGGTCGGCGCATATGCCTGGTGCCTTCATAGAAACGAAGAGGGCTATCCCAGCCCGACAACGTGGGACCCTACACGCTGGATTGTCGATGCAAGTGATCCCAAGGCTGGTGAGCGAGATCGCTGGTTTTGGGCATTTGGGAGCGGTAGCCGCCAGTGCCTTGGTCAGAACCTGGCATTCGAACGTAAGAGCACTCCAAACTGGTTGAGCTAAAAGAAATGCAATGAGTGCTAATCATGCGAGCAGTGATGCGATTTGCCGTCGCTGGTATTTATACCAACTTCAAGACCAGCATTGTTGACGACTCTGCTTTCGTCGGAGATGAGACTTTTGTGACGGGTGATGGTAGTGAGCAGCTGATTCTCAAAATCGAGCGGCTCGAGAATTGATGCAGAGTCTAACGAACTAGACCGAGGTGTTGTTGATGAAGTTGACGTTGAATGGAGCTTTCAAGTGTGGTTTAACTAACTAGTTAGTCAGGCGGGGGGTTGGGATGACGTCGCGAACTAATAGCAACTTGTTAACAAGCGACATCTAAGTACTACGAATGAACCAAATGCAGAACAATTATTAGATCTCTGGCTCAGTTGATAATCCCAGCGTTGCCGCTCTTCTTCATTTCTCTGATTGTAACACCATCTGCCGAGCAGCTTACCATCCAATTCGCCATTCCTGAAGCGCTGACATTCCGCCCGCATTCCTCGCAACGATGGCTTCCCAGTTCCTACGACTCGTCAACCGCCCACTGCTCCTCTCAGTGCCCTTAACCGCTACGTTTTTCATGCTTCGCCCCCATCCTGCCTCTACAATCCGCTGCGATTACGCTCCGCGGGTCCCTGGCCAGCCATCCTGGTACAACCGGCCATCTCTGCTGGAGGGCGACGGCCCGTTCCGCAACATCAGTCCGCAAACGGTCCGGCAAATTAGCTTGGGTAGTGTTCTGGGATTAGTTGCAGGCGTCGGGTTGAGAATATTCTCGAGAACGTTGACGTTCACTTTGGGTGTTGCTATATTGTTAATTGAGGTTAGTCCACCATGTCACTCATCCTGTTGTGGGTTTCTTATGGCCTTTTTTGGGCAACATCTGCTACTAGAAATCCATGCTAACTCATATTTTCAATACCTCAGTGGGCAGCATCGAAAGGGTACAACATTGTTCCCACCCAATTCCTTCAACGTTACGTGAAATCAGTCGATGTTCGAAGAGCGATTACCAAGAACCTAGCTTTCAAGGCAAGCTTTGGAACCACATTGATGCTCTCTGCGTTTTCAGAGTTTTGAATTTGACGTTGGAGCCTCCGTTGTATTGAGCGTTAGAGATTAGGTGGGGGGAGGCCGGTTTAAGCGGTGTAAATGAACCAAGCTCCAGATTTTAAACTGTATATTGGGTATCAAACATAGATCAAAGACACAGTGACATGAAATGAGACAGAAGATATCACATCATTGCTCAATAACCAGGTCTTCAAGGACACTTTCCATCTCTTCTAATGAAAGAGGGACTCCGAGCATTTCCACGCCAGTTGCATCTGTCCGCGAGACTACCATTTGGTGGTCGTAAAATTCTTTGAGTTGCGTTCGGAACATCAGCTCAGATGAGGAAATAAATTCTTCAGTTGCCTTGTGGAATAACGTGCGCCATTCAATCGCGATTTCTTTGGGGTCATTGCTAGCCTTATCCCGCTGACCCTTGGTCTCTTGATTGTCCTCGTCTTCCGAAACATGTTGGTCGCCCATCATTGTGAGGAGCTCGGTAATGAGAAGGCGGTATAGTTTCCGCGTATTCTCCGGAAGACTTTTGAGTACGAAGCCAACTCCTTGTTTTCCTCCTATACGTCGGACTTTGCGACCAAGAAGGCTGTGGACTTCGTCGACAACATTGATTTCGGCACTGTAGGGAGCAAAAGTCGTACAGTCATGGAAAGCAAAGTTGAATTGGTCTCTGAGTCCAATATCCCATAAAAGAAGGAAGTTTGGCGTGTCAGCGGTGGCAACAATATTGATATGAGGAAAACTGGCCAAACGGGCTAAAAGAGCCTGGTAGGATTGACGGCGTAATGAAAGCGAGTCAATCGAATTTATTAGAACCGTTATCGGTTGCTTTGGAGGGTTCGCACTGAGGTTGGTTTGCAACAAATCCAAAATCTCGCTTGGTTGTGTCCCCAGCTTTGATGGGGCGTCAGGGCCTAGTACAGCACTTACAATAGTCGCCAGAATAGATCTGAGCGTGATGTTTGCGGTATAGCCATTCACAATGACGATGGGAGGATCGCTATACCACATATATAACCAGTCTGCAAATCGCTGCAGGAGGTTTCGTTTGGAACCATATCCATATAAACATATATTAAATCCTTCGCTTAGTTCGAAATTCCATTGCGGGAACGATCGCTCGTGGATCTCTAAAAGTGTTTCCCTTTCTTGCACATACGAATCAGTGTGTTCCTCCAGATGGTCGAAATATTCTTCGTGTGTTAGCAGTGCCAGTTTGGAGAGCGTGTGATCCGAAGTCAGTACTGGCCCAGGACGGTTTTGGAAGAAGTATCTTTCATGGGGCGGAATGTCACCCTCCGGAGTTGGGGTTCGTCGACTTGCTCGTGTTTTCGACAGTTTGCCACCTCGTTGCTTCGTGGGCGTTTCTGTTAAATGATTTCTGGTCGTTGCAAGGATATCATCCGTTCCTTCGATGTTATTGGTCTCATTTCCAGCTTCAGCTTCCTCTTCAATATCCCATATCTCCCGGGCTAGCTTCTCTCCCCCATCCCACACGTCGTCTTCGTTTGGATTTAAGAGGATCCCTGCGCTCTTTCTTTTCGCGGAGCGATCTGCATTCTTCGTTCGAGAGGGGGTATCATTTGCAACATTTTGGGATCGGAGCGGCTTGCTCGGTGTCGAGAAGTTAAGTTTTCTGTTTGGCTTGGGGGTTGGAGAATTGTCCACAGAGCTGGGTTTTAAGCGAGTTCGCAGTCGCGTTGACGGTGTGTTCACCTGTGGGCTTCCTGAGTTGTTTGGCGGGACTCTTCTTTTCCGCGGTGTTGATTCCTGCACTTGTAGGGGGTCATCGTCGGACGATGCTAATGATTGCTTGCGCTTCATCGCTGGGCTGGAGATACAAATCAGTTGGTATCGATATTGCCAGTGTTGAGCAGGCAATCGCAAGCAAAATCTCCTCAGGCCTCCCCCACCAACAATGTCAACGAACTGCAGCTGCTTCTCCTCCGTCGTATTTATCAAATACTTCTCCCTCGCAGTTGGTTGGCACAAACGCGAAAGCACGTGAGCCCAGCTCACTTACATAATAATAATTCCTTATCTGATAAACCTTAATTAACAAACTCAATTTGCTATCAGATTGCGCTAGACTCAATCCGTGCTCCCTAGCTCTCGCTCCGAATTACTCAAAAAGACTCCGACGGATTGACTCATTCTCGGCCTGCCATTGACAGAAGAGCAGCGAGTTGGAGGATCTCCCTATCCCCTCGAATGCCTTTGCCAGTTGTTTGGCAAATACTCGCTGCTATGGGGCCCAATACTCCCATCCTGGTGACCATTAGTCACTGCTCTCGAGCTCGAGCAGGGATGGCACGAGTCATGACCGCCCAAATTCGCCAGTACACAACCCCAATTGATACCTCTGTTCCGGACTCCAAACGCAAGTACATTCCATCCTCAGGGACGTACCCGCGCGGCTTTCGCGTTTCCGGAACCCATGTCGGGGTTAAGCCGTCAAATACTACTTTCCCCGATCTAGCACTGATATCGTCCGATGAACCATGCTCGGCGGCGGCGGTTTTCACGACGAATAGATTCCAGGCTGCTCCGGTGCAGGTGAGCAAGCAGATACTTGAAGCGAGAGAGGGTCGCGGGATCCGTGGTGTTGTTGTTAATGCCGGCTGCGCGAATGCTGTGACTGGGAAAGGAGGGTTAGAAGATGCAAAGTCAATGAGCGCAAAGGTAGATGAGTGCAATGGCCTGAATTCAACCGGCGGGCAAGGTGACTCGAGCACTTTGGTTATGAGCACGGGCGTTATTGGCCAACGGTATTCTCTGCCCTTGGCTGGTTATCTTCGTTAGCAGGAGCCATATACTAATCCGCTCTCCATAGGCTCCCCATCCAGAAAATCCTTTCCGGAATCCCTACCGGCTATTCAAACCTCTCATCAACCCATGCCGCCTGGCTGAAAACCGCACGCGCAATCTGCACAACCGACACGTTCCCCAAACTCGTCTCCCAAACTTTCACCCTTCCCTCCTCGCCAGACCGCACATACCATATAGCCGGCATGACCAAAGGCGCCGGCATGATCCATCCAAACATGGCCACCCTCCTCGGTATCATCTGCACGGATGCACCCATTGCACCATCGGCCCTTCAGTCCCTCCTAACGCACGCCGTCTCCCGCTCGTTCAACTCCATCTCCATCGACGGCGACACCAGCACAAATGACACCGTGGCACTCTTAGCCAACGGCGCCGCGGGCGGACAGCCCATCTCCTCCCCCACTTCTCCAGAGTACACCGCCATGCAATCCATCCTAACCGGCTTCGCCCAGTCCCTAGCCCAACTCGTCGTCCGCGACGGCGAGGGAGCCACCAAGTTCGTCACCGTGCGGGTCCAAAACTCCCCATCTCACTCGGACGCAAAGCTCATCGCGTCGACAATCGCCCGGTCCCCACTGGTCAAGACGGCCCTGTACGGCAAGGATGCTAACTGGGGGCGAATCCTCTGCGCAGCGGGTTATACCCAGGGTCTTAGCCCCGGAACCCTCGTCCCGGAGCGCACAAGCGTGAGCTTCAAGCCCGTGGATGGAAGTGCCGAGTTGAAGTTGGTCGTGAATGGGGAACCGGAGGTGGTCGATGAAGAGCGAGCGGCCGCCATCCTACAAGACGAGGACTTGGAGATCGTTGTGGACCTTGGTGGTGGAAACCAGGGGGAAGCCGCCAAAGGCGGAGAGGATGCTTTGTACTGGTTCTGCGATTTCAGTCACGAATACGTGACCATCAATGGGGATTATCGAACGTAGGGCGTTTTGATATACCTCAGAGAATTTTGGCGTAATCCTTATTTCGGACGCTTCAATCTATTCAGTCCCACGGCAAAATTCAGGCCATAATCATTAATTCCTTTCGTCGGCTTAAACGTACAGTTTATATACACAGATAGAAGACCTCACTTTTGGCATACCTGGTTTGGAAGAAGGAAAACAAAAAGATCAACCTAAATATTCGAACATGGTTTCGCCGATTTCTAGCTGCCCGATTGTTTTAAAGCTCCCAACGCATTTGCATACACCAGAGACGGAATAAGGCTATCAAAGTTGGCATCCACTGTGCACTAATACAAACTAGAAATTGTAAAAAACTATACAGGTTTTATCCTGCACATCTATACTAGATCTGTCATCTAGTTACCGGGCACAAGGCCCTTCAACCCTGCACCAAAGTCGCCTTCTCGAGCTGCGATTTCAAAATAGCCGTATATGATCCTGCAAAGCATTAGCTGGTGCGGTAAAAACCAAAAGGGCATACTATACTTACGTGACAGCCAGGAGAATACCGGTTCCACTTCCCAAGGCACCCATAAGGTCGCTAGCGACGGACAAAGCACCAATACATGCTCCACCGAACGCAGCGGCAGTTGGGATAACACGCTTAAGCTCCTTATACATACTTTGCTCACGGTGTCCGGCCATAACGAGTCCTTGGTCCTTAAGTTGCTTGGCAACATCCCTTGGGGCTGACCCAGAAACCTCAATCCATGTCTTTGAGAAGAGAGCGCAGGCGACGAGCATAAAGGCCACATAGATAGCAGTATGGATAGGGTCCAACAAAGCCTCCTTGAAGTTGAGGGGAGGGGACATGTAGTACGCAATACCAGAAGAAGCATGGAGCTGAGCGGAGCCACCTTCACGAGGTTCCCAGACACCGAGGAGCTTCACAAGCAAATTGTCAGAGAACCGAGAGTAAAGCATCTGGCTGATCAAGAAAATGTTGGAGCAGAGGGCGGATTGAAGCATGATTGGCATGTTGGATGTGTAGAAGAGACGGACGGGATAGGATCCGCGCATACCGCGTTGGCGGGAAGACTTGACGGGAATTTCAACACGGAAGCCTTGGAGATAGATAACCGCAGCAAAGACAACGAGAGTCGCAAGAAGATTCATAATGTTGGGGAGGTTCTGACGATAGAAAGCTTCATGCAACGCCCGCTGCTTGTCTTTCCATGTCAAGAGGAGATGGAACAAGGCCACGACTGCTCCTTCAAACTCGGGTCCACGGCCAGTATTGTAGGTGGTAGGCGAGAAAGCCTTCCACATAATGGATTCGCAAATGTTGGTCGCGATGAACAAAGAGATACCGCTACCAAGACCGTAGCCCTTTTGCAGCAATTCATCCAACAAGATAACAACGAGACCGGCGACGACAAGCTGGACAATCAACAGGACGCAGATTCCGGCACCGAGATCGCTGGGCTGGCCATAAAGACCAGTGAGGACATAAACACAACCTTGGCCAAAAGCCAGAATGATGGCGAAAAGTTTTTGGGCGGTCTGATAGAGCTCACGGTCGGTTTTGAGGTCAAGGTTAACGTCGATGAGGTGGGTTCCAGCAAGAAGCTATAGATATGTTAGCCCCGAACGTATACGAAGTTCGCCAAATTGCACGCGCACGTACCTGGAACACCATGCCGGATGAGATGATGGGAGTGATACCCAGTTCCATTAGAGTTCCACGATTACTGGCCAACATCATTCGGAGCCAGTAAAGGGGATCGGAGGTATCCGAAGAGACAATACCATAAAGCGGCATTTGACTCATCACCAAGAAGATCAACAAAGTCAACTACATCGGGGTGTCAGTTTAAATATTGGCTGTCGCGCGCATGATCGGTTATCTCGTACCCCCGTCCACATCAACTTCTGGTTAAAGGGCACCTTCGTTTCGGGGGCTGCCACCTCCGGGAGGAGGGGCGTGAAGGGCTTGATCAAGTCGAGGAAACGAACTGCACGAGTGAGCGAACAATGGTGAGTAACCGGATACACAAAGCGCTTCAATTGCTCTCTGTTTGGCTGGGGTCAAGATTTCCAACTTACGGCCGCTCATGATGGGTGGCTTGTTCCTCGATTGACCGGGGAGAGGGGCAAAGAAATTAAAGGAATAAGGCGAAAGAAGCCAGTACAAGGAGCGATCTATGGAAGAAACCAAAAGAAAGGAAGAAGAGAAGAGGAAACGAAGTGCAAAGGAGGCGGGAAGTGAGGTTTGTGGATGTTGCTGGTCGTCGAGACGCTAAGCAGCTTTGGTGACAGCAAAACAGGACACTCTGGTCGTATCCCCTGCTTATGTCATCCGCATCGAACGTCCAAACATCAAAGGCAGAGAAGATAACTGTCTGCTGGATTTCTGTTTCTAATATTTGAATGAGCTTCACTATTTTCTCTTACGCTCCTCCCAGTACTCAGGAAACGAACCACTCTGCTCCCAAACTATCTCAACAATGCAAGGCTGAGAGTCGTGGTCACAATAATGTTGCTACGATGAATATCACTGTGTGTGAATTTGATAGCAGCACCATTTGGCAGCTGTACATGCAGCCAGTTGAAATTGACACAGTAAGGATCTGGCACTGGACTCTGGCATAAGAATGAGCACTAGTCATAAAATCTTTGGCGGAAGTAAACGGCCCAGCTTCATACGTGTATGCCACACTGGTTGCCCTGCCATCAAACATCTTCCAATTAATACTCCCTATTCAATGAACAAAAGATATCACATGCCTCTTCCAAGGTTTGGCCTCTTAATGCTTCCATGTAAATATATACATGGTTGTCCTCAGTCCTCCAGGCATACACTTCAAGGGGCTGGCACAACACCCTTCGGGAGCTAGAGAGGGCATAGAGCACTGGCCCTCTGCAATTGTGACATTATATCCCCGCTTGACAAATAGGATCTGAATAAGACTGGCGGTGACCTGTCAAATTTGCGGCCTACGAGCCCATATCTTCTTTTGTCTTGAGAGATTTCGGCCAAATACTGAGCCTTGGCTTCGACTAGAACTTCGCTTGGTGTTAAAAGCTGACTGAACCGCTGGAATAAGGAAGTATCCCGGAATTCTGCATTCGCGTCATTGGCAAGCATGGAAGGTGTTAGTTGAATAGGCCCTAGCTTAGTTCAGCAACAGAGAGATATGGCTCTTCGAAGAAATATGGGCCTGAAATTGACAGGTGCAGATGTATTAGAAGCCGGGTAAGCCGACTATTGGCTATGGTGCGTACAAATGTTCTCTGACTCTAAATCTACTTTAATATCCTAACAAGATCCAACAAGACTAGTTTGTGTCTCGACACCACAACAACAGAGACCTCTCTTCTCACAGAGCAGGACTCTCTGACAAGTTCAGGCATACTACTCTAAGCCATGGTCCATTCAGGGCTGCCTTTGTTGCCAAATGTGGTCCAGAACCTGCTTTCTTTATCCTTGTTATTCCAAGCATAAAAGGCATTGAGAACATCCTTTTATGGTTCCCTACCAAATCGGTGTAATATATAGTCCAAGATCTGGGCAAGACCCCGCGGCTCGATGATGAAATTAAGGAAGAAAACCGTCCACGTTGAATGAGCTTAGTCTTCTGGCCTTTGGGCCCTTCCTTATTTCCCGTCATTCGCGTTCAAAAGCTATTGGGGATATTTCAGCCAAGGTATCCCTCCTTGAAAATCAACCCAAAGTTATATCTCCGCTCTGGATTTTGGTTGACCCTGCTCTTTGGCTCAAATTTAGCTTTGCGTTATAGTGCTTCTGCAAGACGAAAGGGAGAATGGACAGACTACCTTCGGATGGCGGCGGTAAATCAGGCCAAAATGGAAGAAGCTCATCCCACAGCAGACCGGATCCTAGCAAACACCAGCTGCGATATCTAAGATCGACGTGCAGAGAAGTCCGCTCTCGCTATATCCGTCCACTGAATCGTATATTCAAGTCCAAACTATCCACCGGTTCTAGACTGGGTAAGGAGAAGCATTCGATCCGCGAGCAGAAAATATCGTGGCCACTTCCCAGGGAGACGCTTGCGGCTAGCTTGAACAATGAGGCTGTCCGGTTAAATTTCCCTTGCGCCAATTCCCAACGTTCCTTAATCAGCCTGGAACCATTCCCCGATCTCGTATCATTCGCTGACCGGACATCGGCGATCAGCGAGCTTGACTTAACAGATAACGCGCAAACGCATCAGGAACACGAACTTGATGATGTGACTCAGAACCCCGATACTGTTAAGGTGTCCGATGCAGATTTGAACAAGGGGAAATGTCCCGTGCTTCGCAGAAAGAGGGTATTTTCAGGCAATCCCATGGCTTCAAGCTCGCGCAGCCCTTTAGGCGCTTCTGGAGATTCGCATAGCGAGGCTTTGGTTGAGCCTGCAATATGCCCAGCGGAGACGGTCAACCCGGCGGACGGAACCATAAGCCGCGACACAGAAGGACCAATAACTTCATTAGAGGAGGTTGAGGCGTTGGTTTCCCGAGCCGAACAAAAGTGCACTAACGACCTTCAGTTGCTAAAGGCTGAACTGGAGGGAGAAATTCAGAACATTAGGAAAGAAAAGGAGAGGCTCGTGGAGGAAATCAAAGTATGGCGGTTTGTATCGGATCAATTGGCAGGTGAAATCAGCCGGTTGAAGCCTCGTTGCGAATCACTGCAAGAACTCAACGATTGCCAGAAATCAGAAAGAGAGGCTCTTAAAAAAGAAATCAAAGACATCAAAGCCACATTGGTCCGGTATGGGCTGGAACTCGGGCCTGTATCCGGTGGCTCGCAGGATTTAACGGGAGGGATGGTATTAAACCCATCCGACCACGAGGTGAGCCAGAACTCTACAAAAGACCTCGTGCCAACAGTAGCAGACACACGCTCTGCCCGAGGAAATCTGTTGGGCCTCGAACAACGGAATCTTGACAAATTTCGGCTTGCGAAGGAACTTCGGAGTGCAGCCGACAGAATAATCGGCCTTGAGGCCGAGATTGAGCTTTATAAAAAGCACGACTTCATGATTCGGGCTCAAAATAGAAACGTGGAAAGAGAAAAGGATGCCTTGCGGGAAGATTTGCTCCATGTAAAGTCAGTAGCGGAGGAAGCGGCTGCTCGATTGAACCTGGCGCAACAACATATTGAGAAGCTATCGTCTGCCACCGTTATCCCATATTGTCAGGACTTCCACTACGTGCATGACATTTCTGGCTTCTTGGAAAAGTGGGCTCCCGTCAAACTGAAACTGGCACAAAAGCTCGGGTCCTGTCGCGGACGCATGCAATACCATTTTGCAGTAGAGGGTGGTGAGGCACTTCGGTACCTCTACGGTCTTCAAGACGCCATACGGGTAGTCCAACGCGGGTCCCCAAATGATACCCTGATTCTGGAGCTCGCAAGAATCCTAACGGCCACATTAGACCGAAATGAGGCCCTCGAATTAGAAATCAGAAAGGTCACTTCTCAGGTAGCTGGCATAAATGGGACGTGATTCATTTGGCTATGTTTGAAATGCGATTAATACACAAGCGCGGCCATCATCATGCCATTGTATAGCCCATATATCTCTAGAAGGATAATAATAGTCAGTTTTAGTTGAGATCTCCGGAGTCCTGATTCTGATAAGCCTGATGAGCAATCACAACGATGATAAATAAACGGGCAATTATGACGTACCTTTTTCAAAAGAATGACTTGAACCCTGTATTATTGCTCCGTCCTGCTTGCAAACCAAGACGACACCCGAAATGCTCGCGGTGAAGCCGAAAAAGTGCTAGGAGAAGCATGCAAACCAAGGAATCCGGCCCATAGTCCCTAAAGCCATAGCAGACAATAACGAAAAAACGGCAGACGGCATGGGTATTAGGTTTAGCACTTTGAACCAAGTCCTGCTCCCTTGGTTTGACAAATTATGCAGCCATATCATTCTGGCCCTTTGTTATCGAAGTCCTCCTTGATTTTCGCAATCTCGCCGCTACCGTTCTGGTTCTTCTCACTATTTCTGAGGCCTGAGCCGTGTCGCTGCCGCGTCAACCCCATCCAGCCGAGAACGTACCAGCCAGCCCATGCCCAGACCCAAACCGAGAATGCCACAAATGATGTGACCGTCAGGACGGGGACCAGCACCAGTAACGCCAGCCCAAGGCACAGGGCGGTAAAGCCGAGCGCGCATATGGAGCCAATGACGATAGCGGTGCCAACGGAGAAGAAGAGCACACTGGCGATTTGTAGGATGAACAGGGCCAGAGGAATGCCGGAGCAGATGAGCTGGGTTAGCAGGAAGGAGGCGAGGATTGGCCTGGCTTGGCCAAAGGAGTGTGTACGAGACTTGATGGCATTGCGGCGAGATGGAGGAATGAATCCGTCAAGGATACAGATCAAAGTTGACGCGAGATCGCTGGCCGTCGACCGCAGGGCGGAGAACATGGTGGTCGAGCTTGACGGGGGCGGGGAGGAGTTGGCGGTTGTAGCGTCCATGACTTGTTCAAAGAAAATGATATTTGACAAAAAGATAGTTGATATTGATTAACAATGGTTCAATTAAAAGGCAACATTTGAAGTGTTGTTGAATCTCGCAGGCACCTGGCTTGTGGTTGAAGCTCAAATCGTCATCGTCATTGTCATCCCATCATCGATCTTGCTATCTCCCGCCCACAATTCAACTCGAACACAAACCGACAGAACCAGGCCGAATCCCTTGGATATTAAACTCCACAATGGTTTTGCACGACCGACTATTTCCTCTCCGGAACCCTACAATGTCCACCTCAACAGCTCACGCTCCAGACAGTTCAACACCTCACTCCCAAACTACTGTAGAGACCCATTGACGGGCTCCTCATCGAACCTCTCAACGCCAGCAGGAATGTCAACTATCGCTTCCTTGCACCAGATATGCACCGCGTTTCTCATATGGTCTCTATTCAGCCCGACCAGGCACCCGGCCTTGACGCTTAGTGTCCCTTCCCCTCGTGCCCTATGCATCAGCCTTGACCCGCAATTTTTACAAAACAGACATTCAAGCTGCCTTCCCGACAGCGTCGTGCGGGTGTAAGAACCAATTCCCGCTGGCGGACCTGTGCTGGTTGGAGTGTTTTCAGGCTCTGGGATTTCGAAACTGGGGAAGATGGCTGTCAGGCCGTACGAGGACGACGCTTGGTGGCGGCATTCGGTGCAGTGGCAGATGTAGATTTTAAGCGGCGCCGGAATAGGGGTGACAAAGCGGATTTGGGAGCATTGACATCGTCCTTCCATGGCGTTTGTTCGACGAGATGGAATCTCACGGCTTTGGATTCGTTTGAAGCCTCTCGTTCAACAGATGACGTTGGATGGCACAAGATCCCTGTCGACGGACGTGAGCCGGGCGAAGCAGACCTTGACATCAATTCGCTAAAACTCGCTTGCCCAAAAGATCTACAAAGCTGGCACAGTATGTTCAACGGATTGAACAGTGTGGGAAAATCATCGTAAAGATTGTATGTTTCTTATCTTTGAAAAGGACGCCCCTTTCTCAAAGCGGCCTGAAACATCGTTCATCATTGTGAACATTCCAGTCTTCGTGTACGAGTCCTTACTCCTTCTGATGGCTCATGACTTGGTATCTACCACACCTTGATGATAAAAACTGATCATAGAACCACTTAGTTGAGAGGCTGTATCTCTCACTGGAGTGAAAATATCAAAAGTCGTTCTAAACATTCCAGAGCCTAATTTCGATAGACGATTCCAAATAGGGAGGATCATGGTTCTAACTCCCCATCTGAGCCTGATCCAAGGGCCCTCTCTCCGCCTGCTTGTAAGTTACAAGTATAAACAAGCTAACCGCCCAAAACACCGTGCTTCAGAGGTCTAAAAGCGCATGTCATGAGATCAAACAATAGGAAATCATCTACTGGGATCCAATTCACTAAATCTTACCCATCTTCTCACGCACTCGTCCACCATGCGCAGATGTTCCGTATCTGCCTCAATCTCAAAGTACTCCTGATGTCTCTTCCCACACTGTCCACAGGGATCTTGTAGCTTAAACCTCCTGTCGCTAAGCTCGATATGCACTAGTCTTTCTAACCGGTGAATATTTGGGGCTTTTCGGGGAGCTGGCGCATTCGCAGACGACGAGGAATATGGGTAATATCTGACCAAAGTCAGATTTTGGGCGCACTGTTGAGTGAGACGGCGAGATACGTTCACAGCCCGCCCTATTTTGAGGGTTATGGTGTTCGTTGCGCGGCTACTTTTATTCTTGTGGACATGATTAGGAGACATGCCGGCAGAGTGTAGGATTTCTGTAGTAGGAGGGCATATCTCTCCGCGATGCGGGATAAGCGACGGGAGAACATCTGCTAAAGGGACAGTTTTTGAAGGTGTGACGCAGTATATGTAAATGTATCCCCATTCTTCGGACGCAGAAAGTGGCTCAGAAAGTTTTTGGAGTAGTTTCGATGTTGTTTCGGGTGATAGGGAAGATGGGATCCAGGACAAGAGAGATTGGGTTTGCGATGACGAAGATGTTGTCTGTGCTAGCATTGACGGTCTTGAGGGGTTATGATGGAAATTGGCTGGCAAGCTTTGCCTTTGGTTGCGTCGAGGTTCCTTTGGCCGACTAGTAGGGCTGAGCTCCGAGCGACGCCTGTCAGGTTCATTCCCAGCAGTGGTTGGCCTTCTTGCATATTGAGGTTGGTAGTTCGGAGGGGTCCTCGCGACTCTGGGTTCGAGGCTAGGCGTCTTAAAGTGATCAGGCCGGCGGCGAACGCTCACTTGAGGAATATCTCGTTCGTCGACACCCGCTAGAAAGCAAAGCAGCCGCCTAGTCGCGCTGGGCTTCTTCTTCTTCGCGCTAGACATGCACACAACGGGTGCTTCAACATTGATTTTTCGTGGTTGTAGCGGAACATTACGCGTCTTCGGACGATCGGTACGATCCTGAGGATCGCTTCGTTCTCGATGCGCATGGTGGTGTGGATTTCGAGACGGCCTTATTTGCGCTTCTCTAGCCTTTGCAGCAGGTCTGTCTTCCACGTTCATTAACCCAACCCTCTCGACAATAGTATCGATGCTTGACTTCTTCCGAAGCTGCGTTACCCTGGCCGCAGCGGCGACAGGTTTAGGTGTCACTAGCGAAGCTTGATGCTGATGCTGCCAGCAAAACAACTCCTCTGTTTGGACCTCGGTCCTTCCGGTCTTTATACCATTCAGTTGTTTTGCGGCTGCCTCTCTCTTGGGGGCATCCTTAACGGGAACAACCGTCCGTCGACATTTCCGTCCGTCAGATGTCACGCCCTGGCACGTCGTCAAAGGGTTCTTGGAGTCAGAGCGGGAGAGGTGGAACTCAGGGCAATCCCTGACATGAGACATTTGAAAAGAAGAGTGATATATATAAAATAAATAACGAAAGCGGCTCTCTAGCACGATTCTGTAGTAGTACGAAGGGTACTACGTGGAATATCCAGGCTGGCAAAGATCAATTCCAAGATCGGGAATATGGCAATGAAGATGGTTTATTCGTGAGCAATGAACCCTTGCGGGAGGTGGTCTGGCTGCTTAAATAGATGCCTTGATATCACTTCAAAGCGGAGAAGGTGGATTCACTCCTGCCGCAAAGCCAACAGAGGCTGAATTTGATATCACGAGCTCCCCTTTCACGACGACATGCTGGCCAACGGCTCATCGTCCTTGCGATGGTTAAGAAACCGGCCCCTCATCGAAGCGCGGGAGTCCCCGTCTCTCCCGCCATGGATGGCCGTCGTTCGTCGTCCTGCCTGTCGACCGCCGGCCGCGAGGCTGAATTTCACCAGAAGGAGTGAGGCTGAGGAAGCGCCCCAGCCACAACCTTCACCAGCCACAGCACTAGACAAACTAGTTGGCTCTTGGCGTTTTTACACCTGAGGCTAATATCAACATCTTGTTCACAGCAGAGGGCAGAATAGAAGACACAATCGAAACCAGCTAATGGACAAGTACAGTATTCTGGTCTTTGAATTAATCTATTTACAATCATCCCTGAGAGCCACTGTCCATCCAGGCCCAGAAGGAACCGCAATCCGACTTTTAGAAAAGTGACTAATGGAAAGAAAATCTAGCTACCTACTATGCCAAATTTATACCAAAACCATCCTGTATCCATGACGCCTGGAACACCGCAGCCACAAAGAGTAGAGAAAACGGGGTTTCCGAATTATACACGGCTTGCAAGAAAAAGGTTTATGAAAAAATTATGCCATGGCTCCGAGGATATCAAGCATTCGGAACTATTCGCAGCCGCGACGAGCGAACTTCATTCAGTGCGCCTTACCCAAGCTCTGCAGGTTAACGAGCTCGAAGTAGCGACCCTTCATCGCAAGCAGTTCTGAGTGCGTACCGCTCTCGGTGATACGGCCCTGGTCGAAAACGTAAATGATATCCGCTTTTTGAATTGTGCTAAGCCGATGGGCAACGGCGATGGTGGTGCGACCTTTGGCGGCCGCGTCGAGCGCGGCTTGGACGACTTTCTCAGATTCCGAGTCGAGGGCAGAGGTTGCTTCGTCGAGGAGGAGGATTTTGGGGTCTCGGATCAAAGCACGGGCAATGGCAATACGTTGCTTCTGGCCACCTGAAAGCATGCTGCCTTTACTACCTACGACCGTAGAGAAGCCCTCACTAGCAATAGCGTTAGTTGTGAGTAAAGAAAATAAAAGAAACAATGTGAAGTACTTACGGAAGTGACATGATGAAGTCGTAGATGTTGGCCGCTTTGCAGGCTTCAACAATTGCTTCTTCAGGCGCGTCATCCTCGTTGATTCCTAACAGGATGTTGTCTCGAATAGTGCCCTGGTACAGCGTGGGTTCTTGGCTGACAAGGGCCAAAAAGCTTCTGTAGGCGCTGACATTCCACCGGCTAATGTCGTTTCCATCAACATATACACCTCCCGAGAGCGTATCATAGAAGCGTTCAAGCAAGGCAATAGTTGTACTCTTCCCACATCCACTGGGTCCAACCAATGCGACATACTGCCCTGGCTTAACGGTGAGGTTGAGTCCACGAAGTACAGGCTGCTCAGGTCGTGTCGGATATCTGAAATGCACATCACGGAACTCAATGGTGCCTTCAATGTGCTTCACATCTTCGCCGTCTTTGGAAAGGGTGTCGATTGGAGGCTTTCGATCAAAAAGTTTCTTGAAGTCGGCCGCCGCACTCTTCGCTTTGCCCATATCCGGTGCAAAGGAGAAGACAGTGCCAGCGGACTGCGCACCAAAGATAACTTCCGAAAATGCCACAAAGAATTGGAACAGTGAATATTCGCCTTTACCTAACAAGGTACCACCGTACCAGAATCCGAGTGCTAGGATAAAGAACATGAAGGACTGTGAAGCGGCATAGAGCGTGGAGGTTTTCAGAATAGATATCAAGCTCTTCTTTCCTTGGACAACCAACTGACCATGGTATGTGTTAGCAACATCAGGTTCGCGTGTCAGCGACGCCACTGTGCGGATAGCAGACGTGGCCTCGCAAGCATAACTAGCAGAAGTCTCGTAAGCCTTTTTAGCTCTCCTCTGAAAGGCGGCCAAGGTCCAGAACCTATAAAATCCACAGGCAAGCAGGACTGGGACACAGGCGATGCAGACAAGGGCAACTTTCCACCCGATAGCAAGAGCAACCACCATTGAGGCGACAAGAGTGGTGGTAACGAGCAAAATGGTTCCGAGGGTGACGCCACTGATGCCAGACAGATGCTTGGTTTCAGTGGAAAGGAAAGATGTCAATGCTCCAGTGCTATTTTCCTCCTGATCGAAGAATGCGATATCTTGTCGAAGCATTGTTCTGAAGGCCTGACTTCTACCCCTGAATATCAGCTTCTCGGAGCAATAAGCAAATGCCGACCCCTGGATACTGTAGGCAAAGAACATTATAATTCCCACCATCAAGTACATCAAGCACCAGAAGTTCGCATCGTCTCTGAGCTTTCCATAAAGCGGTGGTGGCAATGCCAGTGTTGCAATGCATTTTGCAAAGAACACTGCCATTGATGGCTGTCCTCCTCCGCATATAATTGAGAAGATGAGTCCGACAGTCATCAACTTCCACTCTGAAGCGTTAAATGACCAAATGAATTTGATTAACGTTCCAAGTGAATAATTTTTCTCCTTCTCGGGTTCACGTTTGGAGAGGATAACACTCGATAATGATTTTTTGGTTTCGGTCCTTTGGAGTTCCAGATCTAAATTGTCACCAGCGAGTCTTCCCGATGCATTGCTCCCAGATGTGATCGAATTTTGCAGCTGAATCTTTTCGTTTTCGCCTGGGAGTTCCGCGTTCTCATCGACATCATCCATCGCTTGAGCGTCCCGCTCTTCATTGATTCTCTGAGCTTCCACGAGTCGAAGATATGTACCGTCCCGACTAACCAATTCGTCATGGGTTCCTTGCTCCACAATCCGTCCGTCAACGAGAACAACGATATTGTCGGCTGTTTTGATGGTTGATAAACGATGGGCGATGACGATAGTGGTTCTTCCTTTTGATGCTTCATCCAGTGCCGCCTGCACAACACCTTCGGATTTGGTATCTAACGCGGAGGTAGCTTCATCCAGTAACAAAATCTTCGGGTCGCTCACAACGGCACGGGCGATAGCAATGCGTTGCTTTTGGCCACCAGAGAGCAAGAAGCCGCGCTCTCCGACGTTCGTTTCGTATTGTTCAGGTAATCCCATGATGAAATCGTGAGCGTTGGCCATTCTTGCTGCATTTTCAATGCGCTGCCGGATACTTTTCGTCCGATTCTAATTCAAATGGCGAGCCGATCAACCCTTGTTTAATATTGTTATAAATGGTAGTGCCGAAAAGAGTTGGTTCCTGGCTCACTAAGGAGATTTGCTGACGGAGCCATTTGAGGTTCAAGGTTTGAATATCTTTACCGTCAACGAGCACAGTGCCTCCCACGGGATTATAGAAGCGCTCTAAAAGACCCACCACGGTACTCTTGCCTGATCCAGACGGCCCAACGAGCGCGGTAGTCTTGCCAGCGGGTACAAAAAGATTGATGTTTTGCATAACGACGACTTCTGGGCGGGAAGGATAGATATGCCCGAACATCACGGAATTCAATGTTACCTTCCCACGTGTTCCAGAATTTCTCCACTGCTTGAGCTAGGGTCGATTGGGGATACCCGGTCAATAGTGCTGAATATTTTGGCGCCAGCGGCAACGGCGGAGGTGAAGGCTTGGGCGTTGGGTGTCACATTACCCAAGCTGAAAGATCCGATGATAATCGAAAGCAAGATCGTGATGATACTCGACAAATCTGTCTCACCACCGACGATGAAACGGGATCCCATCCAGAAGCCCAAACCGTAGTTCAAGAAGATGATCGACATCATGCCACCGACCATGACTCCAAGGGTGGTTTGCAGTTTGATACCCCATGTCTGGGCCTTGACTAGATGCGAATCGTATTGCTTTGCGAGTTTTTCCTGGGTACCGAAGGCGGTTGCGTTGCGGATGGAGCTTAGGACTTCTTCAGCGACTGTTCCACCTTCGCCGTAGCTTTCCAGGTTTTTTTTGCTAAAGAGAATGATAAACTTCGAAGCAGCGCCCATCATTGTCACCATGGCGACCACCGTGGAGCTGCAGATCAAGGTTAATTTCCAGAATTTGATAAAACCGATAACGAACGCCGTGACGAAGGTTGCCAGTGCCGTCAGCGTCAAGCCGACTTTTTCGGAAATACCATCTTGAATCAAGTTTGTGTCGGCGGTAATGCGGGTTGTGATTTCCCCAGCACCCAACTTGTCAAAGAATGCAATGTTCTGGCGCAAAATTGCATCAAGGTAATTCTCTCTGATCTTCTGGGAAATATGTTCACCGGCGTAGATGAAGCCAACGGTGCAGACGTAAATCAAGATAAATTCGGCAATACCGAGATAGATAAAATACAGAGCATATTTGGACAACTCCGAGCTGAAGTCGCTAGAAGATATGGTCCCTAGAAAGAGCTTTTGAAAAGTTCCGGCCATAGCACCGAAGAGAATCTACCACGATGAGATTAGTAGACAGTAGAGGGAAGGCAGAAAGACCATACGCACCGTAAACAATGGGAGCGCCGCTCCGCCGGCAATGGACGCAATGGCGCTGACCACAAGGATAATGAGGTCGTTTGTGCTGGCATATCGGAAAAGAGTGAGGAACGTGACTTTGACCTCAGGAACCTCCAGCTGCTCCTTGATGATCTCGCGCTCATGCTCTGGAAGGTGCGCCAGCGCATCATCTAGATTCCCTTCCTCCTTTTTCTTCACCACTTTGGAATCAAGCTTTTTGAGATTCTGATCCTCGTCGGCAGAATGGGATCCCGACGACGATCCGGGTTCACGGTTGGAGCTGGGTTTTGCCTCCACGGCCGGCTGCACAGCCAGGCCGCTGGATTTCTCGGGGTCTCCCGCCATGTTGAGCAAGGTCACCGCCACATACAGCCAGACAGGACAGTGCTGAAGAGGAGAGAGGGGGGGGGGGGGGGGGGAAACGATCAGATTTGTGCTGTACTGGAGCGGAATATGCAGACTTTAGGGATTAGAAGGACGAATGAGAATATTTGCCGGATTTTCTTGCCTTTGCAACAAAGAGAGGCGAAGGAAGAGCTGGGGATATAAATAAGGAAGAAGAGCAAAGCGATTGCATCATGACAGGGAGATTCGCGATGCTTGTCCAGTAAGTTAGTTACGGGACTTGTCGAGAACCGAATAGGGGGGAGGAAGCCGGGAAGAGTTATGCAGCTCTCGGTAAGATTGAACCTCGTGAGCGAGGCATAAAATAACGCCTACGATACGACCCGACAGGGAGGCAAGCCTACAGAGAAGACTCTTGTTCGCACGAACGCGGACGACGTCTCTGCTGTGCAAGAATTGGCTGGCAAATGACTGGCTGCTGCTCGCCATCCAACACTTGCGACCCAGAGGCTGAGGCCGTTTTGGACCGGCCAACTGCGACGGGTTGAAACGGCGGCAAGATTCATTACGACTAATTAGGGCCAGATCGGTACCCGAGCTGCAGCGACTAAAGAAGTCACTAGTTCATTATTCCCTTGTACGGAGTAACTGAAACATTCTTGCGCTGCTTCGCAACGCTAGCTACAACAGGAAGACGGCGAGATGATTCAGCCTGAAGCTTCCGGCAACGAGAGAATTGCTCTTGACCTCATGTTTCGCGCAGATGATATCAGCGGTCAATGCACGCAGAGCAATGGCCATTTTGTGTACCCATCCACAAACTCGCGAGTTCCTGCGTCACACCTGTACGTCGGTACTCCCTCCAGTCACTACATGATTTGATTTCAAAGGGGTCGATCCATCTCTGTCAACTGGCCTGTGCGTCCAAGGTCACTAAAAATCTTAACGCGAAGAAGATTCACTGGGCATCGAATGACAGCCCGAGCGGCTCGAGGGTTGGAGATGGAGCAGCAATGCTCTTGTCATCCGGAACACAGGCGTGACTCATATCGAAGATCCCTGAAGGAGTACCATGGCGAATCTTCCAGTTGGCAACAAGCTTGAAGTTATGCACTAGCCTTGTTTCCGATTCCGACAGGCAGCTGAATTCTTCGAGGTCGGATTCGAACAGGAGACCGTATAATGCGATGTCGGTTTCTCAACAGAGAACTGATTGTCTTGCGAGGCTCAAACGTGGCAATCACACAGTTAATCTCCCGAGTTGGGGACCTTGTACTTTGTCTCGTAATTGCTCCGTACTCCGAAGGTGTTTATACAACCTCAGCTTCAACAGACTAGACTTGCCCCGACTCTGGCTCACAGGAGACGGCCCTCAGCTTCGAGCCAACACACGCCGCTCAGGGTGTCTCCCTGCCTGTTACCAACCCTTGAATTCCAGTCATCAATCGCATCCACATCGCAAAATCCTGTTGCCTAGAATAGTTTTGTTCGTGTTCGGTCGGCATTACGGCGCTTTCAAACCTCCGGGTTGCATCCCGAAGCGTCACGTGCTGCACTAGCACCAAAACGGGTAAGCGAAGCCTAGCACCCCGGCCTGCCCACACAAAAGATATCGCAACCACACGAGGGATTGACAACCCCGTTCACCAGACTATCGCAAACTCAAGGTCGACGAGTTGCTGCGAACAAAAATCCAGTCAAGATGCCGGTGAGTCCAGCTCATTCAGGATCTCGAGCTTAGGGGAGAAAACCGTTTTGTGAAGCTGACCCATTTGTTTCCCATTGTACAGAGCCAAAAGTCCTTCCGCACCAAGCAGAAGCTTGCCAAAGCCCAGAAGCAGAATCGTCCTATTCCTCAATGGATTCGATTGAGAACTGGCAACACCATCAGGTAAATGATGCCTCTTGTTTCGTTTCCCGCGTGGTTTTGGAGATCGAGCAGGGAGGAGGAAACAGGCAAAGTTCTGAACAGAAACCCTCCGGAGCGGGCCTTTTCGATATCCTTTTCGCATTCCTCCCCAGCATATTTGCCAGCAGGACGGAGTATCGCATACGCAAAACTTGACCCGATCACACAAAAGCAGCAGTGGTAAACAATCGCGCAGGCAAGCCAAGTAGCTAACTTCTTTCCTTTCCAGATACAACGCCAAGAGAAGACACTGGCGCAAGACCCGTCTCGGTATCTAAACAACTCGCCCCAGCCGCAATAGAAGGGGAGGGAAAAGAGCGAAAGGGGGAGGAACCAGAAACGATCGTCGGATACGCCCATGTACCCATCCCTTGACCAAATGCTCAGCCTCCAACCACAGCTCCATCTTCGTTTGGTTTCGCTCGACTTGCCCTTTTGCCTTTGGCCCCACCTCGAAGAGCAATATCTACAAGTTGGAATGGATTCGCAGGACCGGAACTACAGCGGACTTTGAGGAGGAAAAATGGATGGACTATCGAGGCAGCGTTGATTTGGTATCGGTACACTCTGACAGGGGCGGCGTTCCGTGTATGAAGCAGGAATAAACATGTCATGAAACGTTTTCTCATGCCTCAATGGAATAGCATACTTGAACCGTTCAATTCATGACCGATCGTTGGGATACTCTATTCCACCGACTTCATTTGCACCCTCCCGCCCAATTCTCCTTGAAAGAAGGATACTCCAGAACAACCATCAGTGCGGCTGCACTCGAAATTATGCTCAAACTGAAAAAAACTGTTTATCCTATTCAGAACACAGTGTAAAGCCACTCGCAAGGCAGAAGAAAAAGTTGATAATACCATGGACATAATTTCAACTGCCTCGCCTTTCAATCATGCCAGCCAGCTTTACTATCTAAAGGAATTCCATCAAATGCAAATTCAAAAATACACGATCCTGCGAAAACCCATAGTGGCCACACAGCCTAAACGCCAGGCACCGACCAATTACGTAGAAGGATCATCGCAATCCAACGCGGGCCCGAGGCAATCGTCATGAAATACTTTCCCCAGGCTCTTACAAAGTTGCATGAACGCGGTTCGCTATCGGAGTAGTCGATGAGAAGACTGACGGCAGGTAATGGTGCTCAATTTAACGACTACAGTAGAAAAAACAGTTAGCGGCAAACGATTTACAAGTGATTCCCGTAAAAACTTACTCCTCAGCCCATTCATTCTCACGGCGGATCTGATCCTCTTCCTCCGGAGTAAAATCATTCTGAATATTGAATGTTTTCCGTATCTCCTCTGGGGACTTTCCCTTGATCATATTGGCGACGGTCTTGCATCCGACATCTAGCAGAGCCTTGATATCAAGGTAATTTGCAGCCTGTTTACAAAGTGTTAGAGCGTCTGAGGGCCCATGGAGATATTATGACAGAAAGAATAGACATAATTTATCTCCCATGAGATAATTAAACTAACAAGGTCAGGAAATCATACCAGAATGATCTCAAAAAGCATTTCTTGATCGACTTGCATAAATTTCTGATCCCACTCATCAATATCGGTCGTCTTGCGTCGAGAATCGGCATCGTCATCACCGGAGCTAGGAGGATCGTTCTTGTGATGTTCGCACCATTCCACCACCTTCTTCAAAACTGATTCGTTGACCTATAGCACCGTCAGCGAAAAGCGAGCTTAAATTGTAGCTTCATATCCAAGAACTCACATTTGGAATTGGGATGGGCTCTCCAGAATCACCTAGATCGTCAAGCATGTTCTTGATAAGGACAGATCGCTCAGCAACCTGACGCTCTAGGACATAGTCAGTATGTTTCCCGTCAAACTTGGTAATGCGTTTGCTGATGGCATGCATACCCATCGTCATCTGAACTCCATCGGAGCTCGTAAGAGTGATCTTGCTTGTAGCTGTGGAAGACATGATGCGGCAACTTTTCGAATCAACCTGGCATGCCTAGGTTAGCCCGAGCTCCATACGTTTATTGTGACAATGTACTTCAAACGGGGATGTTCTCACGCTGAGGAGAGTTCGCTCTGGAGTTGAAGGAGTCGAGGGGAAGATTGAGACCTTAGTTGTGTGGTAATAGCAAAGCTTGGGTAGCTGAAGAGATGTCGGTGGAAGCAACAGAGATAAAAAGGCAGAGAAGATGCGTATTCCATAGCAGGCAGAAGTGTCACATCAATCCATGATGAACTCCAAGGAAACTGCGCTGGCGACATGTGGGGGGGGGCAGGCAGCACTCGGCTGTCACGTGATGATCAGCTGGATGACCTAAGCTCTGGATTGTCACCTCAAAGCAAACTTTTCATTATGGGAAGTTTGTGAATGATGGGTGCCGCTGAAATTTAACATGGCGTTTGCCCTCTGTACTCGAACAAAGCCCTTTGGCCTGGAAGACTTATCAGAGAGAACCGGTACTCTATCCCCGAATGCAAAACAGGTCAATATGCTCTCAGATGTCGCAAGAATATCAGTTACAATGGCCTGTCTATGGAGTATAATGAGATCCCTTTTATCTATCTGAGTGAACCGAAACCGAACGACCCAACCGGGCGTTTTTCAAGCTTCACAGAAGCAAAGAGAACAAATAAAAGCGTAAAATAACCTGTGCAAAGAAGACAATGATAAGAAATTTCTCCTGAACCGGGGTATCTGTAGACAATCAAAAGAGATGATTAACAAATGGCGATGAAGTCCGCCTCGCCGGGGGAAAAAAGGAGAGATAAGAATTGATTAATCGCAAGTCCGAGTTACAAGCCAAACATTCAATCCACGTCGACTCAGGACACGGTGCAACGTTGTCTGGATCCCGTCATCGCCAAAGTCCATATCGTCCAGGTTCAAATGCTTGTCGTATTTCCAAAGGCGGTTCAACTGGAGTGTTAGGTTATTACCACCGTTTGGTTCTTTACTGTCACTATAATGGATGTACTGGTCCAGGAATGTCGCAGAGTTGGGTGCAACGAGAATAGTCGGATTGATGGAGCCTTGCTTATTCACAGAGCCATCAGCGCAGTTCATGACACTTTTGTCAAGTTTTTCAAGCATATCAGGTCCCGGAATTCCCATCAGATCATGGGTCTTGATCGTGATTTTAGTTGAATCGCCAAGAAGCCATAGCGGTGGGGAGTACGTCTTCCACCAAAACACGTTCGCAGTCTCCCCCGCAATAGGAACTTTGTCTATGCCAGTGTATAGTCGTGACAACACCGTAGGTATTTGAAGCTGCGTAGGAATGACACCGCCTTGGTGATAGACACCCATTAGAATGCCCATGATGCTATTGAATATTATCCAGGAAATGAGAAAAAAGCGTGATTTTGGTAGCCGGAAGCAAGAAAGTAGGAGGGGTATGCAAGGCATTAAGAAGCGAGGTTCCTGGTGCGGGAAAACCGATAGAAGCAGGGCTCCGGCCAGAGCAGAAACAGCTCGCATGTTGTAAAGTGAGAAATGCGACCGGCTTGAACGCGAAAAGATAGATGCGACTAAAAGGAGAAAGACCGGTCCAAGTAGTTGAGGCGCGTTGATAAGGAAATGCTGATAGTGAGGATGTAAGCCGTGAGACGCCAGATTAGACTTATCAGAGTTGTACAATAGATTGTTGAGAGGAGTTATAACCGGCTTCTGGAAAACATTTCGCAACGATATCCGCGCATTATTGTAAAAGCCTGTGTCCGCGTAGACTGCAATGAATGAAAAAAAAGCTCCGGAGAGGACGAGGGAGACAAATGCAAAGGGTCTATTGAATTTTGTAAGCTGATTTCCTTTCCGGTCAAGTATAACGGGCCATACTTTTTCAATAGGTGGGGAACCAGTTGAAGCGCGGGTAATGCGATAAACGCCGGAAATGTGATTCGATTGAAAACGCCAGCAACTGTCGTAAAAGCAAGAATAGAACAAGCCACGACCGAAGAGCGTTGCTACATCAAGCGTCAGCAGTTTGCCTAAACCCAACCCAGGAGCTCTCCGGGGTTCGCGGCATTCACCGCCGAAACATACTCTATTATCCAGAATCCGTTGGATCACCACCAAGCTCCATGCCACCAATAAAGTCTCCAACGAGTTCGAAAACGTATGAGTCTGGTAAGTCCACGTCACGTAAGACGAAGCCACTAGAACCACCGCCTGGCGACGATTATGTGGGGACGCGATCAATTCATGAATAGCCCAATCCTCGAGCACAAAGCTCAACCCGAACATTGTCCCGCGAAGCACGTAGTATATCAAATACGGCGGGGTACTGCCAGTCCCAGCTTCGGACCAGAACCACTTCAGGAAAGTCATAGGTAAGCCGTAGGCGAGCCATAATGGAAAGATGCTTCGGATGGGCTGCGACGAGGTGAATTCCCAGGTGAGGTGGGCGGGATATGAGTAGACTTGCTCTAGAAGCCATCCATGATTAGCTCCCTGGTGATTTCAGCAAAAATGGGAACACAACAGCTGAGGACCTTACCAGCAAAAACTTCCGGGCCCTGAAAGTTCTCATCCGGATGAAGATAGCTGGGCGACAGCGCAAAATAAACACGAATAAGCAGCAAAATAAGGTAGGTTCGTCTCCACATTGTGAACACTGCTGGGATGGTTACGCGACAGGACAAGTGGCCAAGTAAACATGCTCTGGTGACCTCTGGTTGAGAGTACCAGTGCTGCAAAACAGCTTCAGCATTTCTATCTGAAGGGAAAACAGGCCCAGAAACAAAATGAGAACAGAACTTATTATTGCTTTAGAACATGCAGGCCAGAATGAGGGTTGTGTTGCAAACAAAAAGCAGATTAAATGCGCCGCACAAAGTGAAAGAAAGTGACCAAGGGACACTGGTGCAAGTTACACTGTGCTTCACATGTTCCCCTTAAGTTAGCTAACCTCCCCACATTAATAATAAGGATCCCGCCTACGGAGTAACTACTCCATAGTTACCAAGTAGTTATAGCGCCAATCGCTCACACTTGAAGCGCGCCCGTCTTGTAGAAGGCAACTCATACTATTCATAACTTGCTCTTCTGTGGAGGAGCAGCGGTCTCTATTGGTTGTGCTTCAGGCCGGGTGTTGATATTCAACTGAGTTTATCGTCCTCGCTAGCAGTTAAATGCAACTACTTATTTGATCTCCAGTTTCTTGATTTCATTACCCGCATCGAGCTTTATTTCTCAGATTTTCTAATCTCCACGAAGAAGGGCTTCATATCTCGTGTCAGGGCCGAGGCACGGGCACAAAGGTGCATTCAAAGCTATACAGCTCATCTGTATTCGGGCCGTATGTAGACCGGCAATTGATTGGCATAATATTCGGCTCCTTGCAAATTGTTTTACCTTGCAAGGCGAGATTATTCATTGATAGCCAGAGAGACCTACCCACTTGCAGGGCGGTTATGTCTTGATGATCCATGCCCTCGTAGTCCAACATGATGTAGTTCTGGAGGTAATCTCGCTGCGGAACCATTGTCCAAACGAACTCCGTGACTCCGTTGGTGTAGTAAAGCTTGACAATGTCGCCCTTCTTCCACTCATCACATTTAACATAAAAACACAGGCCACAAGCAGCAGGTCCTACTCCGAGGATTTGGCCGGGCATGCCATCTAGGTAGCCTAATCCAATTCGAAAGCCATCAGGAGTGGCAATCTTGTACTTCCTCCCTTTTGTAATTTTGTTCCCTGCTGCATCGACAAAGGGATATTCGACATCACCGCTTGTCATGGGATCCTCCTAAATGGAGAACGTGAGTTGATACTCTTTGGCTGTGCTCTGAACACTGGCAGAAGGGGTTCCTGACCGTTGAGCTAACTTGTTTCCCGGCCGTTGCCATGCCTGCCGGTACTACGGTGAGCACACCGATCTCTCCTGAAAACCGGGAGGTGAGTTGAAGGAATCGTGGAGTGACTGATCCGGGCTTCGAGAACGTTGAAGTGGAATAAGCCTATGAGGCTTTCGGCAGGAATCTCGACTTTCACTGATTTCTCGGTCCTGAACTATTCAATCAAAACATGCAAGGATCCAGGTAGGGGTCAAATCATTGAAGAGTAAGAATAAAGTCGGCTCTCGAGGCCCTACCAACTAGCTATATACATAGGAGATGAATATGGGCCAAGGAAATTAGCGAGGAGATCGCTAATAACTCTGTAGATTCCCTTGTTAACCAGACGGGATTGATATTTCGTGTGCAGGGTCTAAGAGTAGTTACTCTTCACAGTTGATAGTGGGTGATGGAATGGGCAAAAGGGAGAGAATTGCGGCCGTATCTTGTTCCTCCGGCGCTTCCAAAGCACAGACACGCTTCGCCATTTCAAAAATCTACATCGCAGGCATACATAAAGTAGACTTCAAAAGTAAGAGCGCCTCCGTGTGAAGTGCGCACAATGTTACGGCCCGAGTCGCCATCCAGCTCTGCAACCCATAACCGACGATCATTCTTCCCGGAGCTGCTCTCATACATCAGTCGTATGAAGTTGTGCCCATTGTTTCTCACACCAAAGATCTGGACACCGTCATATTGCGATGAACTCCAACCAAGTCTACCATCACTGGACCTAGCAACCGCCTTGTCCAAGTTTGACGCCGGATTCCACTGGTCTTGCATGAAAAGAATCCGCGCTTCGTTGGATGGCCACTCAGAATCGTGAATGCGGAAGAGATCACCGCTGTTCGCTGGGCCGACGGTTATAAGACTGCTTGTTTCCGAACTTTCTATCAACGGCCTACTGCCCAGCTCACGCCCATCTGCGAGCTGGAGTTTGTAGTATCGGCCATTTTGCACGCGATTGTAATCCGTGTCCCGGAGGAACAGGTCCTGAGCGTTCGTAGGTTAGAGTATGGGGGATGAGATGAAACTGGCGGCCGGACACACGTACATTGTCGTCCAGGCGACCTATTTTTTGCTTTTGCATATTTGAGCTTTTTTCTTTCGCAGAGCCTGGTTCTGAGGGGTTGCAAACGTCTCTGGTAGGGTAAGCAGAAGAAGTCCAACGGTATAACTAGTATGTGAGTATAAGGCTGACCGCGTAAGCTCAAGAATAGTCAGTCTGCTCCGAGCACCTCAAGTATTTCACTGTCCTAACATCACGCCTAACTACCGTCTACATTGTCAGCCAATGTAGACCTACCACAGCGGAAGTCGCCCGATTGTATCCAGCCAGGTTGAACCTACCAGCCAGCCACAACCGTTGCTGGCTCAAGGATGTGACAGGCCTGCAACATTGCCCCCCTCTGGAGATGACAACGTACGTACGGAGACTCCGAAGATGAACCAGGATTTCGAAAATACCGTGCGGAGTAAGTTCACTTCACTGCCACACCACTGTCTTTCTACAGCCCTGTCACTGCATTAGGATTCTTGCAGTACTCCGAGGGTCGCCCCTGTAATCGGCCGTTATGGTGATATTCAGAACCCCGGAAAGCAAGAAGAGAGAGTCTGAAAGACCAACCACGGCTGTGCGCACCACACCTTCATCACCTCGCGGAGAGTTGGTGTTTGCCTGCAGACCACCATGATATATGTGACTACCAACCTCCTTTGATATATGGCATAACTGCAGCTGCTGTCACCGAATTGGGCGACACGACTTCGATTTCATCACCTCAACATACAATCTCGGTCTCGGTGGGAACATTTCAAATCTCCTCGCCACGATGCTCGTCTACCACGGCCTCATATCGAACGGCAGCGCTACTGGTATTCAGTCCGTTCTGGCAATTCTCCCCGCGCGGACTGAAACCGGGTCACGGTGTGTCATTCTATGGCACAGTGGTAGCCACACGCCATCCGGCCCCGAAGTTGATACGAACCCAGGCGGTTTTGGGAGGTTTGACACCATTCTCGACGAAGTTGAGAATGATGGCGATGATATCGTTTTCAGGTCTGGCGAGCCGTACAGCTTGAAGATGCGTTTTTCTGAGGACCAAGAGAAGTTAGACTTGAGCTTCCAACCAATGGTCCGACAGAAGACGACTGCCTGCTTATCAATGGGCCTTGTTTTGCGCTGCCCGCCCTCGCACAATTCTTGGGTAGAATATGCCCCTGCGATCTTCTGGGGCCCAATCATGACAAAAGACGAATACCATGGCAGGATTATAGTATTTGTGCTGTGCTTGAAAGACGAAAATGGGAGCTCAAGCCCTGTTGCCGCGTTCATCACCTGGAATGCCGAAACCGCCATGTTTGCGACTTCAGCCGAAGACTTTATCAAGGAGGAATCACGCTTTACATTGAGCAATCAGCGCTATCTGTTTCGCGGGGAGGTGGAATATCATGAACACGCGTCGCCGCAGCTGCTACTTCAGCTTGCCTCGAGCGCTCCAGGTCCAGACCAATGGGTAACGACTCAATCCCTTCCTGCTCTTGACAACCACTGCGCATTGATAGCGGGACTGGGATCTTCAAATTGGAGTGACACGGTTCAAGTTACAAACGACACGTGGGAATTTGTCGTCTGCACGATTGAAAAGAGTGACCCCAACAACGAGGCCTATACCAAAGGCATGGCCGCTGGAGGCCTCTTCTTGGCTGTCCTTGGTGTGCTTGCCTGTGCCGCCCCACCGGCGGCTGGAATGGTGGTTGGGATTGCAGGGCTGCTCCTGGCGGGTCAATCAGCATACGATACCTTTTCTGAGCAAACCGGCCAAGCTACAAGCAGGGTTCTGTACAGCTCCGATCAAGCGACTCGGAGCCGCAAAGGGAGTGATGATAGTGATATCATCATTTTTCGAGTCCACATGAAGGAAAATCAGCTCAAAATCACTCGATATGTCGTTCCAAAAGTGAAAGAGAACTGGTATTTCATTTCCGATATATTTGATAACAAACTCAAAAACGAGACTCCGCAGGTGAAAGACTGGTTTACCTTTCCGTTTGAGGAGCCCCATACCCTGGTTTCTCGCCGCTATTTGACTATCCCAAACATGAGGCCAACCGCCGATCAGGGTTCACCAACACCCCCAAAGAAGGTGCCCGACTCAGGAGCTGGTATACACTATAACTATGAAGGGGGATTTGAACGGTATTACGCCGTGGATGAAAAACATCCAAAACTCAATCTCTTTAAGAACTTTGAGCGCCACCCAGGCTACACGGCAATTGTTCAAGGCGATAGCGAGGAACTCAACTCTAGGATGACTGTGCGCCATATGCAAAATAGTGCACAGAGCCCGATACTGGAGATGAAGCACTGGAAACCTGTAAACTACCGGAAATATAAGATTGGAATGGCTGAGACAGGTATCAATTATGATGTGCTGAAGCTGATTCACGCCGATTATCAGAAAAGCTATACGGCGGGGTATCTGTGGGATTGCACGGAAGCTGGTGCCTATGGAGCAGTCTATCGCCTTTCTTTCCAGGCTGGTGAGTGTTCACTGGTCAGTGACCTCGATTCGGACACACATATCTATTACGTTATGACATCCTCGTCCTGGACATATTCAACGACCATTGTCAAGGCATCTTGAAATCCCCCGTTGACCTAAGCGTGCAACTAAACATAATCTTCTCCTATTCAAGGCCCCAATGTCAGGTCGCGACTATCGACGCACATCTTTATGGGCATATGCTTCAAACTGGTGATACTGGAGCATAATTCCATTATGATCAAGCGAAAACTAGAATTGGCATCATTAGAGCCTGCTATCCGACAACCTCGATGCTGTCATGTCGGCTTAGCTTATTGTGCTGAATGGCTACTGCTCTGGACACTGTAGTATGTTAATTGTGCAAGCGATTGCACCCGCGGTAACTAGATTTAGGCATCAGAGGCTGTAGGATTCTATGAGGGAAAACAAGCAGCACAAGCACCAGGGGAGAAGGGACTACGCTTTCCCTCACTAGTTAGTGCTTAGTATAAAACCCAAGTGGTAACTAGTTTAGCACATTGAAAACTGTGGTGTGTGATCACATCCCGCTGAACTTTTAGTCAAGGCCTCATATAAATACAGCAAATGATGAGAATATCCCTGGCAAGTTCAAGATCGAGTGGACAAATGCGGAGAAGTGAGAATGAAGTTGCGGAGTGGACATTGTTTAGATTACTTCTTCCATGGAGGTCAAACAGACGCTCAAGCCTCAAGAGACAAGGGTCAAGGGTCCGACGGGTGAGCTTATCCGTCGCCACTTGTCAGATCTCCACTCGTTCGTCATATAGTTACGATCGAGAAGCAACTTCGAAATGACTACAAGCTACACGCCAGCACGATTATGTCCCCTTGGACGAAGAAAATTTTCCTTGCCCTCTTCTATCATTTAATAGATCAGGGCATAAACACTCCATATGCCGTTGGAAAATTCGCATCTTTCTCGCAAGCGCCGACGCCTGGATCATCCGTCTAAAATATCCCGACCCCCCCTTGCGGACGCAAAAGATCAATCATTCTCCAGCTTATTGGGATAATTTGTCTAAGATACATCTAACTAGGAGCGCGATAAAAGAGTTCAACCGAAGAAAGCGCTTCTCGAGGCTGCAGAAGCCTGGTAGGCCTACAACCGAGCATCCAAGGCCCATCACTCGCCAGTTTCAAAGCTGAGCATGAGGCTTTAAAGGAGCACCAGACGTTTTCGTAGGGAGTCGCCGAGTCTCTCCAACCTCAAGCCTCGATGAACGGAGCCGATATACTTGCAAACTCGTTGCTGAACGTGGATTCGTAGGGAATTGAATGTTGGATTCGCGAATGTCAATAAAGAGTAGGGGGTGCAGTCTCTTGCTACATTGATTTTCATACTATTTTGGTGGCACCATGTACTCCGTAGTTAGTTATTGGTAAAACGCCAAGTCTTACTAGCCATTAGTTAGTTATAGAAGCCGCTAAAAGGCACTCGCCTCCGGTTGAGGGGATAAAGACTTTTGTTCCACACTCCGTATATGTTTACATTTACTTAAGTGCCCATCTTCAACCAAGACATCTAGAGTATGGCACTCACAGAGTCATGTAACCGGGGTTATTTCTGTTCTGATGCTCTCCCCTGCACCCCTTGTCCAAGCTCGACCACTTTATTTTCCCCAGCCCGAGATGGCTTGTCGGTGAATGTTCCATCCTCATGAACATGGGCTGATGCCAATCGCACTTCATTGTCGTCGTACACGGACATTGACACCACGAGTTTAGGGTCAAACGGGTCCTTCTTTGAAGGACGCCTGGGCCAAAAAGCGGCACAGCTGCGGAGTAATTTTTGGAACAGGGGACGGGGAGGCGTTGGCTACAGCGTGGAGTATTCTCATAGATGCTGTTTTGCCGCCAAGTCATAACCAATAATCAATTCTGAAATCAGAATGGTTCTAGCGATTTCATTCCCATTAATGTTGCGACGGCTCGGCCATTTCAAGGTAAACTGCCTGGAAGCTCAATGCCGCAAGCCCATCACCTCGCTCCTCACGCCCATCGCCGCATCATTCAGGCAGCACAGATTTTCTGGCATGGCGCCCCCTGTAACCCCTCTACCCTCTAGCGCTGAACTGCTAGATTCTTCTCAAAAAATCGAGGAAGAAAGATTTCCCAACTACGTTGCGGAACGGTACTATCCTGTCCGCCTGGGCGGAATCTTTGACTCGAGATACCAAGTCATCACAAAACTTGGATTTGGGGCAGCATCGACGATATGGTTATGTCGTGATATCCAGTACGTTTAACATCCAACCGACTTTTGACGCTCGACACATGACTGACCTTGGAACCAGGGAGCAGCGATACTTGACTCTGAAAGTTCATGTTCGGAGTCGAAAACCGTGCCCGGAAGTTGAACTTGCGGCTTATCTAAATAAAATCGAAGATATCCATGGGGGCGAAAAGTACGTTAGGCGTGTTGTCCGCTCATCCAGCATCACTGGACCACACGGTGTCCATCCATGTCTTCTATACGAGCCGACTGGAATTGACATCAGTAATTTCATCCACCAACTTGACGGAGGAGCGCTGCCTGAAACCATGCTGCGAATGACGGCCCGCTTCATGCTTATTGCTCTGGATTATCTTCATCAGTTAGATATCATCCATACCGGTATACCCGATGCTCTGAGTTTTCTCGTTGGTTGTGTCTGGGCTAACCCTACTTAGATATTCAACCCAATAATATCTTGTTAGGCATAGACGACCCATCTATCCTTTCATAATTGGAGAATGATGAACTTGCAAATCCATCACTAAGAAAACAGCTTGCGGACCGAACTATATATAGAACGCGACCTATGCCTTTGACACAGGGTGAACCAATTCTATCGGACCTGGGAGAAGCTCGGCTTGCAAAAGGGATGCAAAAGGGTCTAATAATGCCCTCAATTTATAGGGCGCCGGAAGTAATTCTAGATATGGAATGGGACAACAAGATTGACATCTGGGGCCTAGCACAGACGGTAAGCCCTACAGAATTCAATGGTACAGTTTCAATCTCTGACAACCGATCTAGATCTGGACATTGTTTGAGTGTGGTCATTTATTTGATAACTCGGATCCAGCTGGGGAATTGGATCCCAATCGAAGATTTGCGGAGATGGTGTCGCTGTTGGGGCCGCCTCCGCCTGAGTTTTTAAGAAGAAGCAAAGCAAGCCTCAAGTATTGGGATGAAGATGGTAGGTTCGGCACATATTCTATTCCATCAAACGCCTTCTCCTGCGCTATGCACCACCCTTTATCTTGCTGTTACAGAATTAACTCCGTTGCACGCTGCAGGAAATTGGAAATCGTCATTCCCTATACCTACTCAGACTCTTGAGTCCCGTGAAGTTCAACTTGAAGGAAAGAATAAAGAGCTGTTCCTACATTTTATGAGAAAGATGCTGTGTTGGCTCCCCGAAGAGAGGGCGACCGCGTCCCAGTTGCTTTTTGAAGATGAGTGGGTGAGAGGAGGCGAGTGCTAACTATTAGTCTGTTTGCATCAGGAGGATATAAACTGTCTGCTGATTGATGCTCAAATAAACATAGGGTAGGTTATAGGTTTTGAAGTCCAGCAAGCTACGGAATACCATGGCGGTGGTGTGTTAGTATTTGGAATGACTTGATACGCATTTCCAAAATTGGACCAATGCTTTGCTATTTGGCGAACATATAGATAAAACATATACTTCATTAACAATATTATTTCGGCTCAATAAAATAAGAAAAAGGACTGTTCTCGTGAGACGTGGAACCCGTGCTATCCTGCCAGTATATTGATACTCGAATCCCACCATCCAATTCCGTCGATTGCGGTGCCTTTCGGCGCTTTTCCTGGATCGAAAGCACCTACCAATATTAGAGGAACGATACAGAGTGACGCACGGTGCCATTTGACTTTATCTCGATACCATCGGCCATCCAAACAATATTCCCTCAGGGCCAGATCTGAGCCTGATAGTAAATTCGAAAGCGAGATCCAGTCTGTCTCTAGGTCACAATTGCTATTCCCGACCCTGTATGAGCCACTAGACCATACCCGGGGGAGAAATTTTCCTCATCGCAAGGCTACGAGCATGGAGGAAGACAGCTCTTTTCGAATGGCCTTCGCGTAGGCCAGATCAATATCGCTCCGGCCAATTAGCAGGCATAAACACGATGACTTGGAGGCTGACAGCCCCCTTCTGCTCTTCCCCACCATCTCCGTCTTTCTTCCATGGACATACACTATCAGTTTTTCTGGTTTTCAGCGTCAGTGATAACCAGGCCATTTTCATTGAGAACCAAGAAACTACTCATGGTCATCTGCTTCTAGTAGACCTCGCGATGGAAGTTGCAGGCTGCGTGATGGCTGCCGTCCAACTGACGGGGGCGATAGTGGACATTTGCGGCGGTTACCTAGAGAAAGTGAAGAAGGCGAAGGAGGACATTGCCCGCCTTCAACAAGAAACCAGCAGTCTTGCCAAAGTGCTGCAAATGCTCCACGACCTTCTCAGTGGACCCGATGGTTCGAATCTCTCCACCTCTCAAAAACTGTTCGACGATGTCACAAAATGCTCTTCGGCGCTCGAAAAGCTAAAGGCGAAGATCGATCCGGGAAGGACCCAGGCACCGCTAAGAAAATTTGGACTTAGAGCGTTCAAATGGCCGTTGGAACGCACAGGGCTGACTGAGGCCATTAATGATATCAAGGGCTATCACTCAATGTTCAGCCTCGCTTTGCAGATTGATCAAGTGTAAGTCTTTCTGACGAGGTGCAAGGGTAGTTAATAACTAGTTAACCTTTGATTCTCACTCAGGAATACATCCAACCTAATCGTAAAAGGCGTGTATGATCAAAGAGAAAGAGACCTCCTTCAAGCCCTTGCATCAGACTATGAGGATTACAAAGATTTCAACCCTTCAAGGGTTCCAGGTACATGCGAATGGTTTTTCGGAGACGACAGATTTTGCAAATGGCGGGACAGCAATACTTCCAGTCTCCTCTGGGTCTCTGCTGGCCCTGGTTGCGGCAAGTCGGTTTTGTCGCGGGCTTTGATCGATGAGGGACGACTGCCTACGAATGCCGCGAAGTCGACTGTTTGTTACTTCTTTTTCAAGGACGGAGATGAACGCCGGATGACCGCAGCAAGTGCTTTGTCCGCGATACTCCATCAGCTACTCACGCAAGATCGCACTGGTCTAATAAAGCTTGCACTTCCCAGTCATAAGAATCTCGGCAAAGATCTGGCCCAAAATCTCTCTGAGCTATGGCGAATCCTTATAGACTGCTCCCAATCACATGATACCGGCGAGATTGTATGTGTCCTCGATGCGTTGGACGAATGCAATGAAGACGATAGGAGGCGCCTTATCGCAAAGCTGAAGGGGTTTTATTGCCAGCATAGTGACCCTTCTAATCCAGTTTCGAAGCTCAAATTCTTGATTACCAGTCGTCCATACGATGACCTGGAAAGAGCTTTTAGACGATTCTCTGATACGACTACATACGTGCGTTTTGATGGCGACGAGAAGTCTGCCCAGATCAGTAACGAGATCAACCTGGTCATTAATGCCAAGGTGAATGAAATCGCCTGCGATTTCAATGAGAACGACCGTCGAACAATTTCAAATCGGCTAAAAAGCATGGAGCACCGCACATATCTTTGGCTGCACCTCACGCTTAACATTATTGAACAAAGCCCGAGCGAATATGGCCGGCGGTGCGATGTGGAAACACTTCTTTCTGGTATACCGTCCCAGGTATCAGAAGCATACGAAAAGATCCTGGGTCGCAGCAAAGATCCAATTAAAACAGAGACTCTCCTTCAGATTGTTTTGGCTGCTGCAGTGCCTCTAACCCTAGATCAGGCTAACTTGGCATTGACGCTGGCTCTACAGAAGAAGCGGCTTGGCTCCTATACCACCATGGAGTCAGACACGTGGCCACGAAAGGACTTCAAAACCACTGTGAAGAATCTCTGCGGCCTCTTTGTCAGTGTCTACGACTCAAAGCTGTCGTTCATTCACCAAACAGCAAGGGAATTTCTCATCCACCCTGAACGAGGAGGTGGGTGGCAAGGCCGGCTCGACATGTCGAGGTCGCACGGTACAATGTGCCGGGTCAGTTTAACGTACCTGTCATATCTAGGTGAACCAAGTATTCCCATCAAGGATTTGCTCATGGCGAAGCTTCCACTGGCGTGGTACTCCGGGCAATACTGGATGGACCATGCTAGGCCTGTCCAACTTGAGAAGGACGTGAAGAAAATGATCTTGGATTTTTTTCTCCAGCAACAGCACGCGTACGCGATCTGGTGCACGCTTCTCAACCCCGAAATACCTTTGCATCGGTATCCAAGGCCGTCACCATATGATATGGCCACTCAGTCTCCATTGTACTACGCAGCTTATGCGGGTCTCCAATGCATAGTGGGATTACTATTAGAGAGTGGTGCTGATGTTAATGCTCAGGGTGGAATATATGGCAATGCTCTTCAGATTGCTTCACAGAGTGGTGAGAAGGAGATTGTGCAGCTGCTGCTGGACAGTGGTGCTGATGTCAATGCTCAGGGTGGAAGATATGGCAATGCTCTTCAGATTGCTTCACTGAATGATAATAAGGAGATTGTGCAGCTGCTGCTGGAGCATGGTGCTGATGTCAATGCTCAGGGTGGAAGATATGGCAATGCTCTTCAGATTGCTTCACAGAGTGGTGAGAAGGAGATTGTGCAGCTGCTGCTGGAGCATGATGCTGATGTCAATGCTCAGAGTGGAATATATGGCAATGCTCTTCAGACTGCTTCACTGATAGGGAATAAGAAGATTGTGCAGCTGCTGCTGGAGAATGGTGCTGATGTCAATGTTCAGAGTGGGGAATATGGCAATGCCCTTCAGACTGCTTCACTGATAGGGAATAAGGAGATTGTGCAGCTGCTTCTGGTGAATGGAGCTGTATATGGGAATATTCAGCAAGTTTAAACATCACTGCAATGAATCTGTGTTGATCTCCGAGCTGGTTTGGTAAAACTCAAATTTCACTGTTCACTGTTCAGCAATTAGACAATTCAGCTGTTACATTAGATGAGCCACAAGGTAAGAAGATGCCAAAGGTCGGTGAGTACCACAGATTACTATGTTTGAGTTGATACATAATGGCTGGGCCTAGTGCTAAGTTAAATGCCAGGAAGACCAGTACGAGAAGGACTTCACAATTTCATTTCATAAATGTTGCCTGCTTCAAAGATGACAAGATGTGCAAGCAGGGAAGCAGACGAGGTTCAAGATTGGAGGTCACAAGATGAGCCCGTGCCGAATAGATGTGCCGAATCAGCTCAATACATCTTTTAGCTTTCGCGCTCATCGTCTGGCTGCTCAAAGAGGAAGTTCGCTGCAAGCTCTTCATTCTTATCACAGGCAAAATAAGCCTGGATGACAGCATCCCGAGAGAAGCCCAATCGGCAAAGCTATGCGCAGAAGCAAGTAATCGTTAGAAAGTTCGCCACCAGCTACCTAATAGAAGCCCAACTTACCCGTTCAATGGCGTCTCTCTCCTCCTCAGTAACGCTAATTGTATGAGTACCGGGTGGCAATTGTGTATCATCTTCAATATCCTCACTTAGAAGCTGCAAAAACTGTTCTTGATTTTGACCGATGAGTTGAGCCAGCTGCGGATTTCCCGCGCCAAGTTGTTGCAGGATTGGCTCCAGCATCCCAGGCTGCTGCTGTACCAATTGTCGCAGCTGCTGGAAGTGGGGGTTGTTCCGCAGGAAATCGAGGTTGCTCAGGCCTTCGCCTCCCGCCGCTCCACCTAAGCTAGCGCCGGCGGTGCGAGTTCCACGGGCACCACCCCCCTGAGCGGCTTGAGCAGCAGCTTCGAAAAGGTTAATTGGCTCATCTGGTTCAGCATTTGCAGCAGGCTGATTGGATGGAGGCACCGGAACATTGGATTGCGCAGGTGCACTGGGTTGCTCACGAGCAGCCGGTTGTTCGGGGGTGTCTGGGATACCCTATCGAAACGCAGTGAGAATGATGGAAAACCAAGTTGGCTACCAAGACAACACTCACATTCAACAGATATTCAATTGCACGGTCAGGGTGAAAAAAGGCGGCCCGCATAGCGCGGTCAATATCTGCTCTTGGAAAACCCATGGCCTCCATTTCCTGGACGGCGGCTTCACTCTGCGACCCCATCAAAAGAGTTGAAGGGTTGTTGAAAGCGGCTGCATCCCCACCTGCTGGCGACGGAGTTGCAGGGGGAGCCGAGGGATCATTTGTCGCGGGTGCGGGGGCCGAAGGGGCAGCGGGTGTCGATGTTTGGGCGGGAGCAGGGGTAGCAGGGGGCTGAGAAGGGCCAGCAGGAGTGGATGGGGCAGGCTGCGTTTTGGGCTTCAAAACGAGTTAATAAGGACCCAAGAGACAGATCCTATACTTTACAAACCTTCGAAACCATGCAAACTACAAATCCCTTTTCTTCGATATTGTACGATTCGATAGTATTCGCATTTTGAAGGATTTTCCCTGTTGACGGACGAACGTCAGAAAGCAGATTCAAGTCTCGAGCCAGCCTGAGATGGCGTTCAAAATGTAGCTCACCAGAGTAAATAAGTTTCTGCTGCGCAGCATCCCAGCCTTTTTCCTGGGCGATCTTTTCTTTCAGCTGGCCAATCTAGTGGGGGACATCAGTATCGCAAACCAGCTTGGGCGGGTTCAACACCCACCGTCTCCGAAGGCTCAGCATCGATGGTAAATTTTTGCTGTTTTAGATCCTGCAGAAAAGGAAAATCTGTCAGTACAGCAGTCTTCGGCACCATGTTGCCGAAAGCAAGGCATATATGAGCTGTATCTCACCCTGAATGAGAGCTTCATGATGTGGCGTCACTGTGATGCTCACGCTGATAGGGAGAGGGGGGTGGAGGAGATGAGGGAAGGAGAGAGTGCTAGATTTATAGTCTGCGCAAATCTGGTGTGAAAGGAAGCAGTCCAAGGTGGGGTGCGCAGGAGGATGGAGGGAAACAGGCACACAGGATGGAGGCGGTGGTCAAAGACACGACACTTTTGGGATGCGGTCTTCGAGGCGGCGGCTGCCTTCTTTCGTCACTTCAGCCAGGCCCACTAGCGCCCCTCGCTAGTTAGGCCTCCCGCGCTAAGCCCAATCTGCGCTAGACGCCGACCACTCTGCTTATGTAAAGCTCGCGGTGATGCCAAGACTGAGGGGAAGCTCAAACGAACAACCAATATTACAACAGGCAGCGATATGGCATATCATACATCTTTGCAATAGAAACCGCTCTATCCCAGCCCAACGCGATGACAGCTACATCTAGTCCTACTAATGCACACCCTCAATCCAGCACAGTGACACTGGTCAGTTCGCCTTGCATTCTCCATATAGATCACACACGCATTGCTCGTACGTGGGGCATCTGGCACGGCATTAGACACTTGCTAAATCGCTGCAGGCCAACACGAGACAGGATCAAGAACTTACAACACCGCGTCCTTTTGAAAAATGACATGCCATATCATTTCAAACACCCAGCCCACTACCTTGCTATCGAAATGGGTAGTCAACGCCCACTCCCTCATCCGAATATAGTCACTCCTAGGCCTTTCACGGATATGGCTTCTCGTCGCAGCAAACTGAGCGCAGCAAACTGCGCCGATTCGTGCGGGCACTTGGCTCCGGCTAACGTTGAACAAGTGCATATAGATGTCGGGGAAGTCCACTCGAACGTCATGGGATCTGATGTCTTCTTCAGTAGGTTTGAACGGAGTCACGGAGGTTGGGCACCCGGGAACTGGATTGCACCGCAAGTTCACATAGCCGCTGCGTTCAACTGCACCCATACGCAAGTGGTTCAGAATGGCTGTCGTCCGCGACCCGGCGCCGTCGTTGTGCCACTGGTAGTGCGCGCCATGCACGAACGCTGTGATTTCGGGGAGTGTATCGTAATTGTCGATAATAAAGGTGAGATACGCCATTGCCTCGCGGCCACGGTTGGCAGGTAATCGAAGATCATAGCTGGTCTCGCCATCAACCGAATAAACGTACGGGGTCCATCTGAATCGGCGTGTCAGAAAGCAGCCTAGCACCACGTTTGAATAACCCACCGTGGCATCAAATCATACGCCCATTGTACATTCTGCCATCGAGTTTTTGGTATTACAACCGCGTGCAGGATATCTTTCGACGGTGGGGGGACTCGTGGAGGAGGAGGAGGAAACCACGTATTCCGGATGGTATAGACAATGAATAGGAGGATTAAACCAAGGCCCACCCCTATCAAGTTCGGTTTGCGCGTTCGGCGAGACCGCCTCCAGAAGCGGACAGTCATCCTACCAGTTGAAAGGATCCAACGAATCTCCAGGAAGAAAGAAAGCAGCGGGCTGTGGTCAATTGGGTACTCCGAGGGTGGAGATCGAGGTCATGACGGGTGCGCCAATCCAGTTAACTAAATCAGAAAATATTGTAGCCATGACTTTGCGGCACTTGAAATCCAGTGCAGAAAATCTTCAGTTCTTGCCAACATTGAGATGGTGAAAGACAAGGCGCTGAAATTAGACAGGGATTAGCAGCCTCCTGGCTTTATTTTTGTCCTCAAGATTTGCAGGGGCTATGAACCCTGCAGGGACACTTCACTTGTTAACCAGTTAACTGGCTTATGATTGTCTTAAGATTCCCGGTGGCTACTCAATCAATCGGAGGCCGTCCTCACCACCAAAAAAGGACTCGAAACGACAGCGGAAAGCTTAGCGTCGCATGCGATGGTCAAGCTAGTTACCCTTTCGGGAGAATTATTTACCTTCAGTCGCGACGAAGCATCACAGTCGACGATAATTAACAGTATCAACAGACGCGTGCCTTGGCTAATCTGTTGCTCCTAAAAACCTGCCTTCCCTCAGCAAACTGAGCCTTCGGAGTTACGTGAAAGATAGGATGTTGAACGAAAGCATTAACGACATACTTGGCGAGTTATTTCCTCCAGGCTTCACCCCGGAGAATAGGAAGCTATTGACGCCCTGGATGTGATATCAAATGGACTGATTATCTTCAAGGCCCTGGAATTCTACGACTGCTCTTTCATGTAAAATAAAGGCAGCCTGAACAAGACCTTCAACCCAAATTGCTCGAAGTTGCTGGGTTCAACCTCGCGAACCGCAATATTTCCGTTCCCAGCGTCAGCCCATTGACAGGTGTGTGGTTTATAAGCTTGGAACGAACTATATACCTCCCCTTCTATTCTCCTTTCGATCAATTGCTAATTTTGACTTGTGCCCTGCATCTATCAACGCGGTGTGATTCTCACTCTTCACAGGACCTTCCTTTATTAGGTGGACGCTCTCGGCCATGCCGTCTGTTTCCAAACAACATCGTTTCTTCCTCGACCTCGCGGATCAATGCTTGCTATCATTAAGACGGGCCAACCATGCTAATTCAAAGAAAGCCCATCTTCTCGGCCTTCCACTAGAACTCCTCTGGGAAGTTACTCAATATCTGCCCCCGGCTAGCGCCAAGGTGCTTACATATACATGTCAGAAATTCTATTATTCAAGCAGTACCTGGCTAGCCAAATCGCGTCTCTTCCCTGCGGATTGCTTTGAGATGCTCTGCCTGCTCGAGAGGGATCGGATTCTCAGCACGTTTGCATGTGGAGGGTGCCAAAGGCTCCATGATTGCAAAGAATTCCCGCTTAATGAGCTTAGAAAACCGCCGTTTGTACGTCGATGCTTTGTGACTGTGCCGGTAATCGACCTCTGTTTCAGCCACTCGCTATGTTTCCGAGACGCATTACGAGCGAATATGGTCCTCCGCGACTCGCCTCAATACGCCCGCATTGGGTGGGAATCAAGCGAGATTTGCTGCTCTACTCAAAATGGTACTCCTAGCATCGAGCTGGATCATCACCTTGTTGTTGCACATGACCAGCCTGGACTTGGTATTTTAACCATATTTACTGTCTGCAATTTGGCAGAGAGTAATAATCTCCCGCAGAAACATGAATTGGCAGAGGCGTTGGCTAACCATAGTAACCTGTCAATATGCTCACACATCCGGCTCAACGATCCCAAGATCGTTGCGCTATATGACCGAGAGACCATTCTTGATGAAGCGACTCAAGGTCGTGTTGCTGGTCGAAACTGGATATTCGAGGATGCAAGGGACGAGGAGCTCGTCACTTGCGAGGAGGAGCATTGCGAAAGCTTTTCGCACTGGGTTTACATCTGGGATGATCCTCAGCAACAGCAAGGTAGTGGGAGGCTTCAGCTGTTGAGTTTTCGAGATCTCGGGGCTTTGGAAGATCCCTGGGATCCACGGTGGGTGGTCCACACGCCTTTCCGCAACCGTGTAAAGGGAAATTGAAACGATGGAACCGTATATTGCGCGAAAGGTTCATCTTACGTCGAGGCCTAATCTAGCGTCAGTAGATGGTCATTCTAGCCTCCAGTATCTGTATGTTTAGTGTATGAAAGTGCCAGCGTGCAGCCACTCCATCCCTTTGCAACGCCTACCTTTTCATCCCTACCATTGAGTTCTGTTCGACAATATCCATTTCCCTTCTCTTCCAACAAACATGGCTGAGTACTAAGCGAAATACTGCAAAAGACAACGGCGACAGCCATCTACGCTATCAGAAACGAACCCAGAATCCGTTACTGTGGCACCAAATCAACCTCACTCGTTGGGGGTGCATTATAGTGACGAGTTCGAACGACAACAATGCTCTCTCTCTCGAACTACGTTATGTTGATGATACAGTTGAACGAGACTTTCAAGTGACACCGCGTATTCTCTCCATAATTTGGCTAACAGGAAAAGTGAAGAAGACTGAATTCTGGTTTATATCGATGGCTCTAGTGTTAAGAGGGCGCCCGAACAAGATGACAGGAGACCTTCATCGGGAGTCTTTTCACTTCACTCATAGTCGGCTCGGAAAAGGGCTCGAGGTCTCCTGGCTGGTGGAGTGGAAAAGCTATGAATGAGACCTCTGCTCCATTCAGCCTGACATAAAAGAGAGAAAAAGAGCTAGAACTTGCCCTGCCAGCTAGAAATTCAATGCACTCGGAGTCCGGCCTCATTGAGCCGCCACCGTCATTGTTTGGATGATGCGTGAACCGGGGATGATCGAATAACTTCGGAGGATGGGACGGTTGACATTAGGCTAAAGGGATTAACCGATTGGTGGGATCGGGCCTAGTTGGTTGGATTGTATCAGAGAGGAGTATCTGTCCTCAAGTGCTTTCCATCAAGTCAAAGCAAGAGTAGCTATATCGCCCTATTTTGCCCTTTAACAAAGTACTCCGTTCCACACGATCTTCTGGAGAAGAGCAACAACCATGGTCCGCATTGTGCCTTTTGCTGTGGAACAAGTAAGCCCGTTGCCCAACATGCACCCCGCCCTCCCTCAATGTCACTATAGCCGCGATACATCATGATACCAACACCGCGTTTTCCATAGTGGATGGACGAATATGAAACTTGGGCAAAGTACAATATTGCGGAGACATGCAGCGCATCCATCTCCATCGACGATCTCCGCTCCCTGTCGGATGATCCGTCGCGAGATCCGCTCTCGACCTCGACGAAGCTCACTTACGGTGCGATCCGGGGGTCCCAAACGCTGCGATCGCACATAGCTCGACTATATGCCCCGCCGACGGGCGACGACTCGTCGACTACGGTGTCGGCGGAGAATGTTTTGATTACGCCGGGAGCGATCCAGGCGAATTTCTTACTGCTGTACACACTCATCCAGCCGGGTGACCACGTCGTTTGTCATTATCCGACGTATCAGCAGCTGTATTCGGTTCCAGAGTCGTTGGGGGCAGATGTCAGCCTGTGGAAGACGAGCGGTGAGGATGGGTGGAAGCTCGATCTTGAAGAGTTAAAAGCGATGGTTAGGCCAAGTACAAAGATGATCATCGTGAAGTCGGTTTCCTTTGCCTTTTGCTTCGTGTTTCTGATGGGCCGCTGATTCTCTGCAATTTGTGGTTAGCAACCCGCAAAACCCCACGGGAGCATTCATCTCGCAGGAGGTCCTCGCCGGAATCATCGACATCGCGAGACAGAGCTCCATCTATGTGCTTTGCGACGAGGTGTATCGACCACTATTCCATTCCCTGGACAAAACCGAATGGCCGCCATCCCTGCTGTCCCTGGGCTATGACCGGTCCATCGTGACGGGATCCATGTCGAAAGTGTTCAGTCTGGCGGGAATCCGGCTGGGCTGGATCGCTTCGTTACACAGGAGCATCATCGAGGATTGCGCCGCGGCCCGCGACTACACCACCATCTCCGTGAGCCAGGTGGATGACCGGATCGCCACGTTCGCGCTCGATCCCCTGCATGCGGGGAAGCTTCTGGATCGGAACCTCCAGCTCGCGAAACGCAATCTGGGTATCTTGAAGGGGTTTATCGATGCGCATCGGGACACGTGCGACTGGGTGGTTCCACGGGCGGGGACCACGGCATTTATCAGGTTCTCGAGGGATGGGAGGCCGGTTGACGATGTTGCGTTGTGCCAGATGCTTCAGGACAGCAAGGGGGTCATGCTCGTGCCGGGGCGCAGATGCTTTGGCGAGGAGTTCAAGGGGTATGTTCGAATTGGGTATGTCGCAGAGACTGAAGTGTTGGAGACGGGGCTGCGGGAGCTGGGGGAGTTTCTCAAGGCGGAATACGCCAGCGTGCCATTGATATAACTAATGGATATACATGGACAGATTGAATAGCAAATTCCAAGGGCTGCGGTTTCAATAGGGGAAGCAATTATTTACTATTTAATAGCTTCCTCCATACTTTCAAAGCCAAGAAGCTGAGATCACACGACGGGTGTTTGATCAGCGAGCGAGCTCCTGTTCTCTCCAGACGCCACAGACGAACCTGTTCGTCCCTCACACACGCCAAAAGCAGAGCTAGGACTCGGTCAAACACCGCGTCTGAGATGGTCTTATTTGTCTTTTGTTGTGAACACTCAACAAGATAATCAATGACGCTTGGAAATTAACCAAATCTTCCCTGCCATCTTCTGCTGACCCGGTCCAGCCGGTTTTCCAGAGCAAGAAAAGAAGATTAATCTTAAAAATGAATTTCGAATCATGGGCCCCGAGGATACATGTTTATCCCCCAGGATCCCTGCGCGGTGGCATTTCTGCTTGTTTCTTCGCAACCCGCGTGGCTTCTTTCTCGTGTGTGTGGAAACACGAGTTTGGCCCGGGCTGTTACAGCTTTCGCGCAGAAGTTGGGTCTCCCTGCTTTTGGGGGGAGGGGGAAAGTGGCCTAATTTCTCACCTGGTTGGCTTCCCCAGTTGGTTATAATTGCGCTGCGCCTTTTTGGTAGAAACTTGGGTTGACCGCGAAGCCTGCAAGATTTGATACTTGCGGGTTTGTTTCTCTTTCTCGTTTCCCCCGTCTGATCATTTTTCACATCAAAAATACCCACGCTCTTTTTTGGATGTTTCGCTTCTCTGCATTCTTTTTGTAAAAAAGCAGGATCTTGTTTTTTTTTTTTTTTTTTTTTTTACTTACTTACTTTTTGTCCCCTTTGGAAGGAGGTTGCAGGATCTCTACGTTAGGCCTACACGACCCCGGGAACATATTGCATGGCTTACGACTTCGAATTCTCTCCATAGTCGGTTTTCTGGCGAAATGCCCTGTTGAGAACATCGTTTTTACGCTTTGATGTGAAAAAAAGACCCTCCGACGTCTGCTGGCCTAGGAATCTACGGAAGGGCACCAGGTGGGCCTGAGACTCATCTGCGATCTGCGGGAACATGACAAGAGTAGGGCTGGTATATGTGGTCGGCACCGTCTCGACGGTATTCTCTCTCTTATCGACGGTGTCAAATGGCGTCTTTGCGATGGCGGTGTCTCGAGAGATTCCGGATATCGGAGCGCTGCAGGTGGCCAGCGTCGCGGGCAGCGCATTGAACTGTGCCATTCAAGCGTTTCTGGTATTTCTTTTCCGGCAGCGGATCCGAAAAGGGTTTCGCCTGAAGCGGAGGTCCGAGCGGTGGTTTTTTGTTACGATCGGGGCTGCTCTGTGTCTGATGACGGTGGTCGCGGCCATGGCGATCCGGTGGAGTTCAACGCGGTTCGGCGATGTCAAGAACGCAGAGCGACAGAGGGAAGTCCGGAAGTTGTTTTCAGTTTGGTGCGCGCTCTGGGCCGTGTCGGTCGTTTTGCAGACGGCAACATATGGCCTGTTTCTCTATTTGGACCGGAAACACCAGGCTAGTGAGCCGCAGTGGGATTTTACGCTGGGAGATCGGGCAACACGACGGACGGGCGGAAAGGCCCAGGACGAGACGACTATCCGGGGCGAGTCCCACGACCGGCGCCCGTCGACGGGTGGCGCAGAGAACATCACCAAGTCGGAAACGTCGTCGCTATCCAGAGTAGAACCGTCCCGCGGCTCCAAAGAGCTAGAACTCGAGGCGGGCGTGCCAACCGACCGACGCACGCGCGCATCCGCCGACTCTCAAACCTGGGTGCGGCGCTTCTCACGGCGCTTCCCGGGCCTCCACGACGAACTGGTGAAGCTCAAAAGCGAATCGAAAACCAGCCTCCACGGGCCCGCGTCCCGTGACCACTCCCCGGACCCGTTATTATTCGAACGGCCGTCCATGCCCGACGCCCGGGCCACGATCAGAACACCCTCCCCGACCGCCAGCGTCGCCAGCTCGCGACGGCACACGATCGAGCTCCCGCAGGATCACATCCACCCGCTGTTCCGGTGCGACAGCCCGTCGGCGCCGCCCGTGGCGCTGCCGGGCACGACGGTCACGGCGTCCCCGTTGGCGGGCCGCACAATCTCGATCGAGACGCTGAACCAGATCCGGTCGCGATCGATATCGCGGTCGTCGCTGTCGCGGCCGCGGTCACGCAGTCTGCTGGCGCATCCCGAGGAGGAGGAGGAAGAAGAAGAAGGGGAGGAGGAGGAGGAGGGAGACACGGGGACGGTGCGGCGGCTGCGACGGCCTTCTCCGGCAGGATATTGGTCGGTGGAGGGGTATGGGTCGGCGGCGGGGAGCCGGACTAGCCTTCATGATTTCGGCGGTGGGAGGCATGCACGGCTGGGGCGGCGGGGGAGCTCGATGCCTCCGTGTCGGTGAGGGAGCGGGCTGGGACTGGGCATTTTCAGTGGTCAATATGAATGGCGCATGGATGGGTCGGGTGCTTGGATGATTATAACTATGTATATAGCATTGGGTATTTATTACTGCAGCACGTTGCTCTGATCTACTCCGAACAGAGTATACAGTGAGCTGGTGCAAGGGACGGAGAGCCGCTTTGAGCTTAGTCAGCTGTGACCTGGCTGGTGACTAAGCAACGAAGGTTTGACCGTGTTTAGCGCCAAAGCTAAAACAGCGGAGCCCAGGATTGCGTGCAGAAGAAGAAAAGCAGAAGAAGAGAAGAGAAAAGGAGAAGTTAGAGGGAGGGAAGAAGAGAAGAAGAGAGGGAAGCAAAAGAAGGAGAGGAGGATAAAAGAAGGCATGGAGTAGAGTAGCAGAAGAGCAAAAGGAGAGAGACAGAGAATGGAAAAGAAGAGTGCATAACAGTCCATACTTCAAACTCATTTCCTTAGCGCCAGCAACCCAAACAAGAAAATTCTCATTGCTGCTCTATAACACCGCGACAACAGCACTGGAATCAACGCCCGTCTGCTCTGCTGCTCTGCTCTCTGCTCTGCTCTGCTCACCGTCTCTCCATCGCCGCCAGAGTTTAGCCCTCGCACACCTTATCCAGGCCAGCCAATCACCAGGCCACCGCTGTTGGCCCTTTTTTCTTTCTGTTCTGGCTGAAGCTCACCTGGTGCATTGTCGAGGATGCAACAACATCTTCAACAGCCTGTAGTTTGACACCGCCTCTGTCCTGGCCCAACACTCCCTTGCTGCCTACACCGTTCTGCCTCGTCTTCTTCTTCTTCTCCTGCCTGCTGGATATCCATCTTGCATTCACCCTTCATCCTTTTCGTGTGTGGAGAAGAACCTTGTTTGGCTGTCTGCAACTGGGATCGCCAACGCTCTTGTTTGCCCTTTAGACCACCAAACTATCCTATTCATCTATTCTATTCTGTTCTGTTCTGCTCTTCTCTTCTCTACTCTTTGTCTTTACTCGCTCTTGTTTCTCCTCTTCTCCTTTCTTTTTCTGGTCCCAACCTTGCATTGACCTCGACCACCCAATTACGTGCATATCACACCCCAGATTCAACCCTGGCATCCACCTGCCCAGCCGACCCTGATCGCACAGGTCGCCCTCATGGCCGGTGTCAAGCGAAAGCTGGACGAGGAGCATGCCTCAATCGGCGCTTCCCAACCGCCTGACTCGTCCAGCCCAGCAGAGGCCACCGAGCCCGCGCAAGGTAAGCCCGGCCCAGCTCAGCTCCCACCCGCACAATCGCCCATCAACCCGCTAACATTGGTCCCAGTCGTGTCTGGCTCTTTTTCTTCTCCGCCGTCTGCTCTTCCCAAGGAGGAAACAGACACGGGCGACACATCAACTCGTGGCCCTGGTCCGGTCACGGAGCCCCCGGCCACCGCCACCACTCAGCCTGGGACTCCCGCCAGAAAGAGACGAAGGACCAGAGAGGAAATTTTACTAGCGGATCAATTTTCCAGACGCCAGCATCCTCGCTCAACGCGACAGTCCGCAAGGATCCTCTCAAAACGTCGAGCCACAGATCCATCGCCGAATGTTGGTTCGCCGGCAGACCACTTGCCCAAAGCGTCGTCCATGGAACCTGCCATTCCTCCAGTGGCAGCCTTCTCGACTTCCCACCCGTCGTGGCCAGCAGAGCCAGCTATTCCAGAGCTTGCCCCGACTCCTGAGCGGCCTCATCATTCATCCGACAATATTACTGTCCAGCGGGCCACCAGTGCGGAGCCCAACTCGGACGGTAACCACAGACCCGGGGACGCAGGAACATCAGACTCTCCCGCGAAAAGCCTTAAAGAGGAACAGTCCGATGAAAGCCAAGCCCGTGCCTTTACGTCTCAAAGGAGCGACGAAACCCCCGCCACCACGGTCGAGCCTCATAGGTCCATACCAACTCTGACACTGTCGACAGATATCCCCTCATTTCAGTCCACAGATACTGATACTCCTATTGGAGCAGAAGTCCCAATCTCCGCCACATCCCTGTCTCCTGTTGCAACTCAGTCCGAGGCAGCAGAGCTGTCTGCTAGCACGGTCCCCGTCACCAACGGTAGAGGCCGTGGCGGCGGCAGGCCTCGTGGTAAAGGCAAAGGACGAAAGTTGGGTCCAGGCCGCAAGGCTGCTGGTGCTGTCACTGGCGCTGGAAAAAACGGCCCCAAACTGCATCTATATGACAGAAATCTGTCGCCGTCAGCAACCGCTGCTGTCAAGAAGCTCAGAGACCGGCAGAAGGAATTGCATCATGCGTTCCGCAGAGTAGCTTCGGCCCAGCGAGCTGCTCTTGTCGTCCTCGCGAGTCGCTCGGAGGCTCGCCTGGTCAAAGACCCGAGGGCACATTTAGATACTCCGCTGTATCAAGAAGTGATCGATGGTCTAGAAGAAAGGCTGGAAACGAGAAAGGGCCTAATTGATAGAGAGTATGAGCTTAGGATTGAAAGTGCCACAAAGGCCTTGGAGGCGAACCAGCACTGGATCAAGTCCGCGTTCAGGGTCAGGCTTATTCGACGAGATCTAATCTTCTTTTACATATGCTAACTATCTAAAGCAGGAAAAGGTAGAGTCGGTCAGAGACGAGCACATTCTCGCTGCGCAAGGAACCTTCCTGCGATATCTGGACCAATGTCGCCAGGCTGGTGATGAAGACCACACGGAGGTAAAAACTGTTTCAAGTACTTGGGTAAAAAACTAGCTCCTAACCAGTGCTTTTCTACACAGAGTGAAGAATCCGATGTCGAAAATTCCAAGACCAACCGTCGCGCTCCGCACCAACCCGTCCGCGGCTTCGATAGCACTTACATCCGAAACCCCCACGGAGCCGCGCTCTACGAGCGTGCCGATAGCGGCTGGGATGACTTTGTCCAGAGAGCCCGGATCGGAGGCGATATCTTTGCGCTGCTTAAAGACATCAACGAGGAAGCTAAACGGGACAAAGAGGAGAAGAAGCGGCAGCGCGAGGAAGCCAAGAAGAAGAACAAGGAGGCTGTGGCCCAGGACGGCGGTATTACTGAGGACGAAAGCGATGAGGAAAGTCCCCGGCCTCGTTTCAGCGACCCAAGGTTCCAGCGCCTCATGTCCGCGCTCGCCGATGCCTGTGAACTCGCAGAAGGCCGGGGGGCAAGCATTGAAGAAGAAAATATGGACAAAGCTCCGAAGGAACCCCTAAATGCGTTGAATGCCCTTGCGGAGATCGCTCTGGGTAACCCTGCCGAGTCGTCGAGTGCGGACGCTGGCCAGCAACCAGCTGTGGTGCAACCGCCTTTTGCGGGTGCGTCGTCTGGCCTTGCCCCGGCCCCTGTCCATCCTCCCAGTACCAGTGCTATGGAGCGGATGCCTGAGCTGCCACCGCATTCATATCCGCCGCCGCCACAGTACCTGGAACAATCAGCATCGCGAGGGATGCATCGGACCATCCTGCCGCAACCCTTGCCATCACAGCTCCTTCCGCTCCCTATGGAGCATCAGCAGTTCTATCCGCCTCAATACCAGGCTCCGCCTCCGCCCCCGCAGCAGCCCGCTCCCGGCCCTCCAAGGTCATACCCCGGTATGCCACGCCCACTCCTCCCCGCAACAAGACCGGCACCACCAGGACTTCCACCGATTCGCGAAAAGTTAAGCGAGCAATTACGGCTCCCAGATCCATTTTCCTCCGCTCCGCAACACCTCCCCGCTCCTCCCGGACTGCGATATCCAGGCGGACTCGGTCCTCACCACCCTCACCAACCCCTTCAGCCTCCACCACCGCACCAAGCACCCCGTCCCTACGGCCCTCCCCACCCACCGCAATACATGCCCGGACCACCGGTCGGCTACCCGCATCCTCCTTCCCTCCCGCCACCGGGACCGCCCTACCATCAACACCACATGTATCCGGCACCGTACTATTCGCCGTACCATCAGCAGCATGCTCCCCCACCCCCGAGACCGCATCAGGGTTTACCACCACCAGTGCACCCGCCACAGCACCCACAGCAGGCTCCGCATGCACAGCATGGGTTGCATCAGGGTCCGCCGCCGCGGTATTAAGGTGGTTTCGTTAGTCAGCTATCCGTTTGTCACGTAGGAAATGAGGTGCCAGTTTAGACTGTGCTTATGATGGTACGCTCGGGGTGCAGCCATGGCAGCAGTTTTCATAATGTGCGCATGGCGTTTTGTATTATTATGGGTTTGCAATGTCTGTCATGTAACTATGTTTTGATGTTTTGTCTACTGCTAAAGTGTGAAGCCTGTTTTCTTTTGTTTGTATGACTGATGATTGATTTTGATTTCTATTTTTCTATTGATGCATTTGGTTCCCTTGCCATTCTTGACCGCGGTTTTTGTAACAAAATCTGAGCCAGCTGGGCTAAAACTGCGTGTGTCGTATGATGGAGATCTTGTTGCTTTTTGCTTTACATATGTTTCGACTGGGGCTGGCTGTGATGAGATGGATTCCACATCCTCTCCGAATGAGATTTGGAAATTGGGAATCTCGATCCCTTCCGGACAAATACAAGGAAATTGACCAAAATTGCCGGTATCCTCATTCTCAAGATAGAAGCTGTACGCTGAACAGACTCCAACTGGACCAGCGAGGCTTCATTCTAGGCCAGTAGTGCTCGCGGGAGGCCCATCAAAACAGATTGATGTTTCTGCAAAGTGAGTAATCTCTGGCCATCAGAGTCATTATTGGCAGTCGGGCCCGCAGAAATGGCATATTCATCGTCTCGATCAACTCGTTATTGCACACAGTGACTGGGTATGAGTCACCTCGAAATAACAAGCGGCAAGGGGAGTGAAACGCGAGGACTCGATCGTAAATCTGACCCGGTTCTTTTCATTCAAAAAGAATCAAATCCCCATTGCTGTAGAATTTTTATTATTCTTTTTTTTTAAATTGTCAATATAAAAAGCGCGTTGTTGGTTCTTCTTCCACTTCGTTTTTTTGCCTGCTTTTTGCTTCTTGTTGCTTGCCCCGCTTCAAGCTTGGTTTCTCAACCCACCTTTCTCCCTCCTACAGAGACAACAACCGCATTCAACATTCGACCTCCCATTTTACTACTTAAAGACAAGCTCCAAAGAGACCAAACAGAAACACCGAGAGACACCATGGCTGTGCGCGCACAATTTGAGAATTCCAACGAGTTAAGAGTCCCCCCCCGCCCGCCCTCATCGAAGAAGGGCGGGCCCCGCGCGAGCCTTTTTTTTTTTTTTCTATTTGGCTAACCGCGATTATTCTAGAGTTGGTGTCTTTGCGACTTTGACGAATTCTTATGCTCTCGTGGCAATTGGTGGATCAGAGAACTTTTACAGGTAGGGAGCAAAGTACTCTCCTGTTTCAAATGGAAGCTTTTGGAGACTATGCGAGGAGGGGGGATTTGCTGACCTTTCTTCTGTGATTAGTGTGTTTGAAGCTGAATTGCAAGATGTTATTCCCATATGCCATGCCACGATTGCGGGTACAAGGATCGTTGGCCGTTTAACAACTGGGTAAAAAGCAACTGCTTCTTTTCTTTTTGCGCTTTCCAAACTTGTTTCCCTTTTGTTGAACTGACTGCCAACTCTTGCTTCGTTTCGTTGCCAGAAACCGAAAAGGTCTACTCGTGCCCACGACGACGACGGATCAAGAACTCCAACACCTCCGAAACTCCATCCCAGATTCCGTAAAGATACAACGGGTGGAAGAAAGATTATCGGCCCTCGGCAACGTGATATGTTGCAACGACCATGTAGCCCTCGTCCATCCAGATTTAGAACGGGAAACCGAAGAAATGTCCGTTCCTTACCCCCCAACCTAGTATTGAACTTGGAGAAAATGCTAACACAAAGTCTCCCGCTTAAAACAGAATATCAGACGTCCTCGGCGTCGAAGTCTTCCGTCAGACAATCGCAGATAACGTCCTAACAGGATCATACATGGCTCTCTCCAACCAAGGCGGCATCGTCCATCCCAAGACCTCCATCCAGGACCAAGACGAACTCTCCTCCCTCCTCCAAGTCCCCCTCGTGGCGGGCAGCGTCAATCGCGGCTCGTCTGTAGTCGGCGCGGGAATGGTGGTTAACGACTGGCTTGCGGTGACGGGGCTGGATACGACGGCGACGGAGCTGAGCGTGGTCGAGAGTGTGTTTAGGCTCGGCGAGGCTGCGGAACGGGGGTTGGGGAATGTTAATAAAGAGACTCTGGTGGAGAGCTTTTATTGATAAGAAGGATAATGCTCGTCTTTTTTTTTTCTCGTGGGTCAATTGGGTTTGGACAATTTACGGGGTAATCGATCTCTATTGATATGGAAAAGGATACTAGGTGTCTCTGTTGAGCAGCTGGGAATCTGGATGAATTGTTGTCTAGCAGCAGACTGCTTTCCGAGTCGGAACCTATTTGACACAAGTCAAGATGTAACTAATACAAGACCAATACCCTCTAATATTCCCGCTGAGATATTTAAGAAAGAATAAAAAGAGAAAAAAAACCTCTCCAAACATGAAAATGGAACCCCATAATATGACCCGCTAAGACTTTCAGGGATAGAAGGAAACAAACGGATGAAACGTATTTGAACGGGGAATGTACAGCATCGACGACAGGCCCAGCAACGACAAAACAACAAATAACAAGAATATAAGCACCCCATCCATTCGGAGCCGGGGCCTTCTTTCTCACAAAAAGAAAATCAAAGTAAAAGAAAAACGGAATTACGAGCGTGCGTCTGTCCCTGTCTGCTCGGATATCGACTGGGATGCCAGTGGCGAACCGGGGGGTTGCGTTTGGAAGCCATTTTCTTTGCCCTGGCTACGCTTCTGGAGGCCATCATAACCTTCGGTTTCCGCGTCTGCTCCCACTTCGTCGGTTGGTTCGATATCATCCTCATTCTCATTTTCATCCTCGGGACAGATATCTGCTGGTGGTGGCGGGGGCGGAGGTGGTGGAGGAGGAGGAGGAGAGATTTCGGACCTGTGTCGTTTTCCGGGTGAAAGAGAGGCACTAGGATTGCCGTATTCGTCCTCGTCGAGATCTTCGGTGCGTTTACGCTTGGGGGTTTCTCCGAGTCGTTCGTCTGAGATTGGGTTGCTGGGGCTCATGGGAGGCGGAGGAGGGGGCGGCGGTGAGGTGGATCGAGGTCGTTTGCAAGGGGAAATACCACCGTTTTCGTGGCTGTCTTCAGAATCTCTTTCGTCGAAACGCTTGCGTTTTAGACATTCACTTCTGTCTTCGACGGTGTGTTCTATTTCTGCATCGGATAGTTGGACGTCGCTATCCTCGTCTCTAGTGTCTGCAGCACCGTCATATTGTGGCAGTCCTTTGACTGGGATCTTTTCCGGGTTATCAGTATTAGATGGCGCCGACTGCGTTGCTTCTTTTGATTTTTTTCCAGCTTTTTTATCTTCGTGAGCTCGATGTTTTGAGACTGCCTTGTCAAAATACTCCTTGCAATACTTCTTAACTTGTTTGATCTGCTTCTCGCTGATTTTGGTTGGGTCCTGGACGCGGTTGTTTTTAAAATCAGAGTTCACCAGTTTTTTCGCGACCTAGAGTAACCATGTCAGTCAGTGTTATATGTTGGAAACCGGGCAGTCATGAGCATACCTCTTTTGCGTACCGCTTCAAGTCATCCTTGGGAAGCTTATGCTTGAACTTATCCACAATATACTTGACGTGAGGAAAAAGCTATAACGGTTTAGTACCTAAAGACTAAAGGGTAGATAACGGGTCAAAACATACTGTGTTCTCGTACAACTTCTTTCGTTTCTCTTCACTATACGAGCGCCACTTCTCCTTGTGCTCTTTCTTTTCCGGCAATTTTGCGTCAGCAGGAGTGGCAGGTGTCCCTGATTTATCTTTAGATTTTGGTGTATTCTCCTTTGCGTTCACGATACCGTCGATGATATCCTGGAGTGTCTTTTCTTTGGACTCCCGTTTCGGTGGAGGAGGTGGCTGGGCCGCTGGAGCAGTAGGCCTTGACCATGTCGTTTCTCCATTGGCTGAGTAGTAATAAGTTCGTCCGTTCGACTCTGCAGCAAACCAACCTTTTGGGAGTGGATTGAACGGTCGACGGAAAGGTCGTGGGCCTGGTCGATAAGAATTCATATGGCCTTTACCGCCTCTGGTAAGGGCCGCTGGACCGCGAGGCGCATTTCTGGTGACATCCACGGACCGTGATCGAGATCGAGATCTAGATCTTGATTTGGACTTGCGTTTGCGTTCGTCTTTGGTCGTTTCACGCCGCTCATAATGGTTGGCAGCAGGGGTGTTATTTATCGCCGCGGGATCTCGTTTCATTCGAGGAATCCTATAGCCGACTTCGAGAGCAGACCACACATCAAGCAACGCCGTCGCTTTCCCTGCAACCCGTTCATCGTCACATTCCTTCAGTGGATTGACCGTTTCTTCGATTTTGGAATCAAGGATTTTATTCCTAGTGAGCCTCGGGAATTTATCTAGGATATCCAGGATCTGGAGAACAACATTGAAGTCTTCCTTCCAAGTGTTCAATTGCGAATTCAAAATCTGGTAACCATGCATCCTCACAACTCTGTGGCGGACACGTTCGTCTTCGCAGCGTTGGATACGACCAAGCAGCTTGACGGCAATCCATTTCTCCTTGCACTGCATGAGTGCAGCCATAACTTTGGTGACGCCATTCTCGTCCAAAGATTTCGGTTGCAGGCTATCCACATACTCCTCGTCGTCTTCACCGGTCTTCTTCTTGCGAGGTCGCCTTGCCACGGCGGTATCCCAGCCATCTGGATCGTCAATCCCGAGCGCTTCGATAGTTGCGTTGGACAATTTAGTTGCACGTTCGGTTTGGGTCTTTCCGCCGATAAACCCTGTACAATTCGGCTCGCCACAATAACAGGGTTGAGGATCAGCACCATAGCGATCCACGTTGTAGTTAAAAACCAGCTCTTCACCAGCTTTAATGTGTCGTTCGGCGAATATTCCCATCCGAAGTTTTTCTCCAACAACCCATTTATCCACATAGCAGTTTGGATTGCAAGAGTGGTTGCAAAAACGGCCCAAATTTCCCTTCTTGGTAGCATCAACAAACTCTCCTTTGTTGAGGGACATAAAATAAAAATGTTTGATGCCCTCTTCATCGTAATTGATCATTCGACGGCGAAATTGAGGTTCATTGATAACTTCACCGATGTATTCGAATATAAACTGATTGGGACGCAGGTCAGAGTCTGTTCGAAGGCCATAGCCTTTCTTTTCTGTTTTGATAACCGAGACGTTGGCGTACTCTCGCTGTTGGAATCGTTGATTCTGGCAACTATCACCACAACCACAGTCGCCCACACATTCCATTTTAGTGGCACGGTTGATACAATCGGAATCATCACCACAGGCCAAATTTTTGGAAGCAACGGCATCTAAACAGTATGATTAGCATGCATAAATAGCTATTGAGGTGGCTGCGAAAACCAAGCTGAAGAGAGGAAGGCTCTGAAATAGCTAGACTGCCGGGTTCAATAATTATCAGATTGGAAAAAGGGCTTACCCCACTCCTCAGCACAGTCACAATCCATCGCATGCTCGGTATATCCCATATGTTTGTTGGCATAGGTACAAGTTTCCATCAGCTGGAAAGTGCTCGTTGCCTCCGTAGTCATGTCGGGTAAGTCATTGAAAAGCGGTGCAACCCGAGGAGGCAACTTCTGCGAAGCAGAACGAGCCAGTTTCGGGGGTTGACCAGGCTCTTGCTTGACGGTGATTTCACCACCGACCTTTTCTTCCAAAGCCTCATCTTTGGCAAAAGCAGTGCTAGAACGGGTGCGTGATTTCGACGGCTTCGAAAGTGGGGTGCTGGACTTGCTGGAATATTCAGAACTATTAACCTCGTCCTCGGGAGTGCTGGTGCCTGCAGCGCCGTTGAGAGCAGCGCTTTCAGTCGACGACTGGCGCTCAAGTTTCATATCGGTCACTGCATCTTTTACAGTTTCTATTTTAGCTTCTTGGTCGTCATGGCCGGCCATGATGAGACCTCAGTAGCAACACTGGCGGCTTGCGCTGTTTTTGTCGAAAACGGCACGAGTCGACGTCTAAACGAGAGAGCCGGTTGCGAGGTTGGGAGATTCTGTGGAAATGGGTTTTGGAGTCGTGGGAAGAAGTGCCAAGAACCCGAACCTGATGTTGCTGCTGGTGAGTGGCAGATGCGACTCCACAACTCTGAAGGACCCGGGCGAGGACAGGATAGCGACGAGCAGAGAGAAAGGTTTAAAGAATGGCTAGAGATTCAAATGTAGACCGCTGTTGCTAGAAAATGAGAGCAAATCTGGGTTGAGGGGGAGGAGGGAAAAGATGGGGGGTGAAGCGAAAAAAATTGCAGGCAGTGAAAAGTCGACAACACAAGCACCAGGATAGTTCCGTGAATAGGATCAAAGCAAAATGAATTGTGCTCCTCTCCACAATAGTAGTTGATGCCCGACAAGAATAGGCGACACCACGGATAAATGGTGATTGTGGAAGGGCTGACTCCTTCAGTTGGTGTTGAGATCGAGATAGGTTTCGCCCACGAAGGATGCGAAGAAACAAAAAAGAAAAACGACTTGTTCTCCTCGTCGTCAATTAGAGCCGGCCTGCTTGCACCCCCTTTGCCCTCCTCTTCCTTTGGATATCTGCGAAGTCTGCTACTTCAGACCGCATAAGGAACCAAATGGGCCTCTTTCCACGCAGTCCAGTTAGAACTTGCTGTTCTCTATCGGCACCAAATCCGGGAGAGAAGAAATAAATGCCATCAATGGCATTGAACCAATCTCATTTCATTTAATCCTATTTCGACTATTCTTTGTCCACAAAAATCGATTATATTGCAAGCCAGCAGATGATGGGAGGGAGGTTGTAGAAGGGATGAGGATTGGTGAAAAATGTGAAGTGGTGAAAGCGAGAAGAAGGCGGTTGAGCAGAGTTGCCGGTGAGTGGAAATAGTGGAAATTCCGCCCAACACCGGATGCTCGTTTTTTCCTTTGGGTCATTTTCTGCACGCCTGGGCTCCAACCACGATGCGGAGCAAATCCCCAAGGATTCTTCGGCCTGATTCCCATGGGCCCTAGCCAAGAAGAGTCATGAACATTGAGATGCGGCAAGAATTAAGGAAAAAGGGCCCTGTTCCCCAGAAAAAATGAAAAATGCCATGTAGTCAATCAGCGCGACGGCTGCAATGGGAATCGTCAAAACTCCAGACTTTTCCTGCAAGAGACCATTGCGAAAATGTCAGAACCAGGGCCGAAGGAACTGCTAATGGGCTCTAGCCAAGTCAGCGCGCCACTCTGGAGGACGCTTTAGCGAATCATACACCCAACTCTAGTCTGGGTTTCGCAGCTGCCAGCACATATATCAACAGTGACCATAACTATTAGGTACAAACAGAGAAAACGCCATGGCCACAGCTTCGGCAAAATCAAAGGGCACCTGCGAGAATATCAGTATATATAATTTTTGAAACAGTTAACGTTTTCGAGACGATGAAAGAAAGCATTGTAGAGAAACAGAGAACACAACCCTAGTTAAATTGACAATGACGAGCAACTTAGGCCAGGTCTTGCACTTCTGTCGAGATTCAAAATTCGCACTAAGAAAGGGAAAATCCGCGAGATTCTTGCAGGCAGTGCTATGTTGTCGAAAGCGACAAGTGCCCCGCAAATGATGAATAGTCGGGCGACGGAGAAATCATTTCTGAAGGGTCGCAACGCGGTTTAGAGTGAAGATGAGACCCAATGAGTCATTTGGAACCGGACGAGGCGTTGTTATCGGTGACCTGAAAATATCAAGGCCAGAGACTCAGTGCGATGGGGACGAGGCCAAGTTGACACGGCACAGTCAGCAAAAGATCCAACCAAATGGCAAATGCCCCTCCATCGATGAACCACACAACCCAACGCCGACAAGCTTCGATCTCAGCAGCATCAGAGTGAAACCATAGGCTTATCAACAATGAAGCTTCGGGGGATGGCGTGCTAAGATTCCGGAATCGGTGGCGTTCAGGGTATATTCGGGGCTTTTAATCATGCACCGGCTAGGACAGTTCTCTGATGGCTCCATGCGCGGAATAATCAAGGTTGTCCGATCAGCCGTTCGCTCGTATTTCTCCGCAAACGATGTCATGGGACTCGATCGTTCTGAGATCGAACGGTTTGGTTGACGTGCTTGACGCCGCTGAGTACCGGTTGTGGTTTCAACATGAAAAGCTGGTTCGCGGGTTAAGGGAGTCAAGGGAAAAGCGGTATTTGCGGATGCAGGCACAGGGCCCCCGGACCAACTGGGCGAAAAGAAGTTCTTCTCCCCTCCACCTGGCGGCTGAGAGAGCATTCTCGAAGGTCTTGTTGGTTGGGATCTGGGAAGGGGTTCGTGGGGGACTGTCGGGTAAGGCTGGGAAACGCCGCTGGATCGACCAAACAAACGGCATCTGGAGCGTTAACTAAGCCAAGCAGACCTGAAGGGAACAGCAACGGCTCTTTCGTTCAAATGGATGGGCATGATTGGCACTGGTTAGCCTCTGGTTTTGTCGGCCAGCATAATGCTCCGGAGTATGGGCCCCGAAACCTGGTACGAGACTCTTGCAGACCAGGTTCGCTGTTCTTTTCTTTTTGGCCAGTCAATGCGGGCAGAGAATACTACGGGGGCAGGTTACAGCCAGTCCTTTCTTCCCAGGCATAGGGTGCCTGGATGCTAGTGCGGGAGTTGTTGGGACTGGTCGCATCTCTGCAGATAAATCGTTTTCAAATCGAGAGGTTGAGAGAATCAATGGCCATGAGGGCTCTGCTTTGTCTGCAGGTACCGCATGAGCACGTCGTTTTGTGTTTCATCTGCGCATCTAGAGGAATGAGGTAGAAACAAGTCACTCGCCCCGTCACGCGGTTACCGTACAGTGCTTGGCGTATTGCTCAAGGTCGCTAATTTACCGTTAAATACCGTATCTAGTACCACCAGCAATCTTTCACATCCAACTTCACACCACACGCGGTGTTCCAGTTTGCACGCCAGAAGAAGACACATCTGCTTGTCTTGCCGCAATGCCTGATCCATCTAAAGATGGCCTCCGGAATACCACTGACCAGACTCAAAGCGCTTTGTCAAACTGCTTTCCTGACTCCCTGAAAAGTCAATTTTCTGCATGAACGGGATATTACATCCAACCAGGTTGGTGCAAGGATGCATTCATTAATCCAGAGATACGGACTCCAGGTCCGCCATGTATTCTGCTCTCTCGACACCCCGATACACGGTCATGTTACACTACAGATTACGCCAGCTTCCTACCTAGGCTGTCGCCAATCAAACCGTGTTCTCGTTGGCTCTCCGAGTCGAAAAGTTGCATCTTGAGCACTCTTCTCACCTGCCGAAATGGGGATCCTATCGCAACATTGTAACTCTACGCGGAATATCTGCAGCCCGTTACCACGCAAGATCAAGACTGGTTCCAGGCGGGCATTGCGATATTTGACTGGCCGCCATGGAGCGACGGACTTAACCGCCCTCCCATGCAACCCATTCCCTCCTGCATGAAGCTATCTCGCTCTGGCCCAATCACTGCCTTGGCCGGTTCCCACTACTTTGTTCTTTGGCTTCTAGCTTAGGCGATCTGGAGACGGGTGTGCGCGTGGAATCTCGATCTCGTTGTTTCGTCTCGTCTTTCTGCACCCGATTTCCTTTTTGTTCTCGAATGGGAGATACAAGTTTTCTCGAGCCCCATCCCATATGCAAAACCAGCTTTTACTATTTCCCTACCCACTGCCATTCAAGCCCTGCTTGAGATGCCGCCGCTTTTCGCACCACTCGGCCACACAGCCTGACGCATTCGTTTCCGCTCGAGTTGGTTGTTGCCCGTTTCCCAATAGTGCCAGTTGGAATGTCACCCTGTCCCTCAGGGCTGACAACACTGAATAAAAATATAGCCCACTCACAGGCAAAAAGGACACATACTTTTATCCTCTAAAGAAAAGAATCAAAATAAAAATAAAAGAAAAATAAAAAAAAAAAAAGAAAATTGAATGAGAAAGAGGTTAAAACGATAATCGACAAGACTCTAGCATACTTCAGGGGGCGTTAGGTATATTATATGAATACGGAAGCCGGAAGGGGCCCTTGGGCAGACCCAGCGCGGCAGGTATTTCTGACCTATCTGAGACATTCAAGCCCCCTACGTATACGATCCATAATGCTGGGGAAAATCATCGTGAAATGCTACCGAAGGGCATCGTCGGCAAACAATTACACAGCCCTGGTCGCAACGCTGGCATTGGACGCTCAAAAATGTTTTTTCCCGGGGGGAAGCCTTTTGCGCTTTCTGACGAGGCAACTTCTTGGATCTTTATCTGTGCAAGAATGATAATCTCCATGATTGTAGCGGGGGTTGCGGATCCAAACAAACATACCCACATATCGATATGCTTCCAGGCGCGAGCGCTTCACGCTGCACAATCATCTCCAGCCGCTAACTCTCCGAACCTTAAGAAAGCGTTTCAAGCTCAAGGCCGTCTTGTGGCGACGGGAAGGAATATGAGGCCGTTATACGTTTGTTCAAGAACGGGGGAAGCTGGGTTTGCTAAGCTAAAAGCGTCTCCCGGATTTATCGCCCTTTCTGGACTGTTTCCTCCAAGACGAAGTGCCGACACCCTGTCAGCAATAATGTTGTATGTGTGACAAAAGAGGAATGCCCCATCACCCCAAGCAAACACACCAGCAAAGCCGGGCCACTCTGGAGACCTGTCAGCCAGGATGTTGCACATCCTATGGGCATGCATAGACTCCGTATAGGTGGATCCATGGGCTGCTGAAGGGTTGAAAAATAAGGCTCCTTTAGAAGCGATTTAAGGCGCGTTTCAGAACGAAATCCGGCTTCTCATCTCACTGGTCGCCCGGGTTAAATTTGGAATGCTTTCATCAGATTACCTCCTGTCGGCCCTGCAAGCTATCCAGATTGCTGCAATTACCTAATCGCACGCCAGGCTAGCACGGAATAGGCTTGGTGCAGTAAGTTTCCCGTCCGTCTTGTTTCGTTTTCCCGTCTCTGTCGTGAGGGTGGTTACTAGCCCCATACCGCGCCCGCCGTTGCTGAGTCCCGCCGTTTGGCGTGTATAGGGAATTGAATTTCGGCTGTACTGTACAACCAGGTACCTCGCGGTACCTTCGCCCTTTCCAGTCCGCCTCCCCCTTCTTCGCTCTTCTCCTCTTTCTTTCTCTTCACCACCCGCTCAACGACATCGCGACCACAACGGCCTCCCTCCATTCCGCCTTTCCTTCTTCTCCCTTCTCTTTCTCTCCTCTTTTCCCTTCTTTCGTTCTCTCCCCCATCACTCGTTTTGCCTTTCGCTTTCCTGCCTCTCTTTCGTTTTGTGTCTGGGGTGACGGAAACATCCTAGTGACTAAACACCTTCTTCCCACACCCCCCCCCAGTTGCTCGCTCTGTTGTTACTGCCCTTGTTTATTTGATCCTCTCTCCATCCACCGCACGGCCGTATTTTCTTTGTTGCGACCTACCCACAACCTCCTGCCTGCCAACCACGCGTTAAAAAGTAACCGGCCCTTCGCCTTTCGCCATGGCCGAATGTTGACGGCCTTGACTGCAATCGCCTTGCTCGTTCTTGTTTCGCTGGGCAGTATTAACGCGCGTGCCGCCTTGCCGTTCCTCGCGTTTGCATCTACGCTTCCGCTCTTTAGCTTCCAAGTCGCAAAGCCGATTTCCTTGCACCTATACGATTTGGTCCCGTAACCTTCGGCCCCCCCGTTTTCTTCTCTTGCGAGCGTGTCCGTTGATCAGCACCCTTCTCTGTTCCATCCGCGGCTCGCGTTTCACCCGCCAGCCTTTTCCGAAACGTATTCATGCCCCACCAGGCCGGCTGAGCGTCACCCCGTCGAAAGCTCTCCTCTGCCCTGTACAACCTTTGGTATTTTAATGCGAAATTGGATAGTGTTCATAGATCTATGAGCTGCTGGATATGTCGAGCCAACCAGAACAATTCTGGACCGAGGAGGAGAAGGTAAATCCTCGCCTGTGAGAGCAAAGTTGTGTTATTGTTGCGACCCTCTTAGTTTTCTAGGGCACTAACTTGATGTGTGGTAGAACTTTCTCCTCACTGAGATTTTGAAAAAGGCCGGAATATCTTCATCTTTCCTGTTTAGCATTATAAAAGAGAATAATATAGCACCCAATTGGATGGAAATACCTCTTCCTCAAGGTATGTCACGATCGTCAGGCGATTGCGTTGTTTTCGGCCCTTCAGGACTGATCTTATATAGGGAGGTCGCTTGCTTCTTGCCAAACTGCATATGTCCGCATGGAACATGAGTATACCCATGCATATAGACCAGGTCTTTTAGGGCCACCTGCCCCCGTCCAAACATCTCCTGGGTCCCGAAAGCGACCGCTCCATCCGACTCCGCCAGACAAATCGACAAATGCGCCCCGCCTGATCCAGCCGAAGCCAACTCCACCCGGTGAAGCCCTGCAGCCGGCTCAAGCGCGGCCACCTCGTCGGATACCGCGCCTTCCGGACCCAACACGAGGGGAACCGCAACGGAAAAGAGGCAGACCAACAAAAGCGGAGGTACAAAAGCGAATGTCATTGGCACACGCTAGAGGTGAACAATATCCTCCTCCCAAAAAAGCGGCCACGAAAAAAGGTTTTGGAGCTTCATCACCTACTATCATGAGCGGGGTTCAGTCGGTTCCACAACCCTCTGGGTTTGTTCAGCAGCCCATGCCCACTCAGACACATAAACACAGTGAAGGGACTCCTTTTCAGAGCACACGTGATGCATCGCAAGTAGAGGACATGCAAGCACGCCGTATAGCCGGGCCACATGGTGCTATGGCTGGTTCACTGTTTGGGGATCCGACCTCAGGGATACCAACAAAAGAAGCGATGCCAAGGACATTGGAGGGCCAGGTGACGCCTTCTCCCACTTCTTTCAATCAATCTTACAGAGGTATCATCCAATCTGGCCCGGGGCTTCCAAGCCCCAGACACGACGGTGCTCTCGTTTCGAATGTACCGGAAACGGAAGGCGCCGTTGACTCTGCACACTCCATGATGGACGAACAGAGAGGGACTTGAGAAATGCAGTGATGGTAATGAAATATCGTGAGGAGATAGGCACATGGCAAATGGCAAGTACGACCTCCACGGCAGAAAACGGGACGATGAGCGCAGGAGATGGACGCGAGCTCTGGGTCGGGAAATCGGAAAAGCCCATGTCTGGGCGGGAGGAATGAACTGGCGGCGATGGATTGGACGGGTCCTTTTAACACCCTTTGCCTTTCGGTTGTTAGCCAGGGTTCATCACGGCCATGATCAAACCTTTCCTTTGTTCAATAAAAGAAGGCGGCGACGATTATGAGGGAGACGTAAAGCTTCCTGGACGAGTCCTATGACTTATGGGAGGGTATTTTCAGCCTTTTATATTCTCTTTCGTCGATACCTAAGCACCAATGCTCGTATGCCTTGGTTGCTTCTTGCCTCCGGTGCCAGCTCTGGAATCCCGGGTGCCCATTGAATTTTTTTGGGTTTCAACCTCCTTTCAATAGGCCACCTGTTCCGGCCCCTGAACGATGGCTGGCACGAGGCCATCCAAGTGGAAGATTTTGATACGTCGTGAAGCATAATTGACAGTTTCGTTCTCCAATAGGATCGAGAATTGGATTCTGAAACAGATACGGTGCGACAAATGATCATTTTCTTCGGTGAGATTTCTTCAAGCGTCACTTTATTCAATCCTCATATTTTCTTTCCCTTTTCCTGCCACAGGAGCCAGTACTGACTAATGATGTGTATGGAAATGACATTATTTGCTTGTCGTTCTCATGATGATATCTTGATTTTCTCGAGTTGTTCTTTACATTAACCTATGAAATGTGTTGAATGCCCACGTTTCTTAGACGAAGTCACCTGGTGACTTGTATGTTACTGTCGATTTAATGTCTTCCTCGTCCCAAAACTGTTGGTGATGGTCTTTCCTTTGAAAAAATTTTGCCGAACTTCTTACAAAATCGCAGACATTCTCTTAAGCACTGATACAAAACCACGCTCTTTTCTTTCCTCTGAGTTGCTTTCTCTTTATTCTGAAAGACTTTGGCGATATATTTCTTTTCGGAGTGTATTGGCGGTGCTGTCCCTGTTTCTTCCTTTGGATGCCTCCTTATTAATTTCTTAAATGGTGTAAGTTCGATGGATATACTGGACATCGAATGGGCTCTGTACTTGTAAAACATAGCAGGAGTAGGAGCTGGAGATCAAAAATAATTGGATGAAAAACATCGTCTTGTCATAGGAGTCAGTCATCGAAAACGCCAGGCTGTTGGCACCAAGCAAGGCATCATGCATCAAGTCTTTCATGCATGTATTCGGGGACTTTTATTTATTGCTATTAGCGGGCAGTTTTGCAGCACACATGGTTGAAAAAGCAATTTAGAGTGTGGTGAAGCAAAAAGCAAAAAAAAGATGATGTTTGTCCCCCGAGCCGGAATCGAGCCGGCGACCTTTCGGTAGCATGAGAAATCCCTTTACAGCCGAACGTGATATCCAACTACACCATCAGGGGTTGCTTGGCTGAGTCTAATAAGACTAGATTGAAAGCCTGCTTGAATGGGGGATGGGGGATAATTCATTGGTCGGGGGTGTTGATATTCATCTGTCTTATATATCGTATTCATGCAAATGAATCGACATGAAAAGTTCTATGTAGTAACTAGTTGGACGTTTGGAAAAGATGTATGAATTGTTTGTTAAGCTGCACTATGTACGTTACCATATCAAGTTTCTAGCAATATCCTATATCAGCCGCGGGCTCATCTACTTTTCAAATCCCGATCAACTGAGCCAATTTAATTCGGGAAGAATCTCGGCATTTTGCCATTCTGGTCATGTTCGTAAGATGCAGGAACTCAAGAGGGCTTATGCGCGACATTATGCCAGTCATCGTACCGCACGCCAGGGAAACACCCTGTATTGATGAGGGCGTTGTTTACAAGACGTTGTAACAGCCTGGCATGGTTTTACTAGCGGCGATCTTCTGAATTACTAGTGTTGATACAAGAAGTTCGGCCCCCGAAGCCATGCTTTTACAAGTGCGACTCTTTCCCTCGTAACTCGTAACGTCCATCTTCAAATCGAACTTCAGAGTCGACGTTATCGCTGAGTTTACCACCTCTACACCCTAACTCACTTCAAATAGAGCGCGAATCCAATTCTCCCACAACCCCCGGTTAGGGCTCTTACAATTGACCGTTTTCTCCTTTAACCCACAAGAGATAAAACAGGTTTTTCCGCGACAACCTCAATCCCTGCATCATGTGCGAAAAGAGCAGCAGTTCAAGGGTGCACCGTGTAACCCGGGACGAACGACACGACGCGCCTCTTGGCCTTTAACGGCACCTGGCACGCGCGTCCCTTTTGATCAAAGCCGAAAACAAAAAAAAAACAAGCAGACAAAAGCGAGCCGATCGGGATCTGGGGGGAAAGAGAAGGTGCTTGACCCGGCCTTTGGCTTGCCGGGAGGGGGATGTTATCGGTCCCGACCATTCTTGAAAAGGAAAGAAGAAAGAGCGAAGATGATGATGAAACAAAGATTGGAATAGCTATAGAGGAAAACACGTGTGGATACTCCGGGATATCCGAACGGGTCCTCTGGTTGAACAGCAGAAAATTGAGCAAGTCACCGGCAGAAGAGGGGGATGGACAATGGTAGCCCCTACCCAATGGCTTTACAGGCGCTTCAAATAGAAGCCATTGGTTTGGAATTACTCCAATCCGCCAGTGGATGTGATGATGCCATATGCTTTTCATATGCGAAACAACACAGCTATCTGTCCGACCATTTGAAGGGTGTAAAAGGCCTTTGAGCCCTTTTCGTGAGCGTTGAAACCTGAAGTCTGGTTGAAATCCTTAGCTTGTTCGAATGGATTTGTGGTTTCTTGGCCAGGTCTACCATACCTACTATGACCTAAGTGTGGAATAGTAGATGTTCCATACATACTCCGTACGTTCTCGCTGAAGCGTGTTCTGGGTTGGGTCAGGGCAGGCGAAATACTTATGGTCAGCCCGCAGATCCGACCGACATACCGAAACTGACCATTTATAAATTTCGTGCATTTTTATTGCTCGTATCATTGGGTATGAAAATCAGACAAATATGTATCACATCATCCGAGAAAGAAAAGGCCTCCTTTGCAGTCAACCTTCTAACAGAAATGGACCAACATCATTTTCCAAATACAAAAGAAGGCTAGAATAAAAAGAACAGAAAAGTGGATACAGCAGACATAGAACAATGCATTTCAAACCGTTCCGGCAATGCTAAGGTCTCTGATTTCTTGCAGCACTTGCTCAACCTTGTTATCCAAATTGCCGGACGCATATTCTTCTCTTGTCTCTGCGTCAAGGTACTGCTGCACTTGCGCCATTCGACTGTAGGCCTCTGCGCAGAACCGCAACTGAATCTTTACTAGAGCTTCAAATGAAGGGTCTAGATATGGTACTCGTAAGTCGATTAATTGGGGGAGTTCGTTGAATAACTGGTCATTTAGCTGGTCATAAGCCTGTTTCGCCATTTCTGCGTCTTTTTCGGCGCGTGGTAGTTTGGTGGCATCCTTATCAGGCTTCTCAACGAGTTTCTTTACTTTGGCACGCATTGAGTCATAGTCCAGCAGTTTGTTGTTTCGCTTCTTGATGCATTCGTTAATATCGGGGAAGTATGCGCAAAAGCGGGAAATCGGTTCTAAAACAGTTGTTCTACAAGTTACACAGAATCAGTTAGGAATTTTAACATCCGTAACCTAGCCGTCTGAGCGTTACCTGTACGGCCCATCAAGGGCCTTGATGGTTTCTGCATCGAGATCTTCCACGGCCTGCTTATAGCTTCTGCTCACACCGTCTTTGGCACCTGCATCGCCGTAAAAAGCGTCGATGGTCTCCGCAATGCGCATTTGAGATGCCGTCATGGCTAAAAATGAATATCCAGTTAGCTATTATCAATGAGTATATCAGGGGCATATGGGGCAACTGACCTCTAAGAGAATCTAAATATCCTTTTGCTTCCTTTTGTAATCGATTCGCGGCCGCTTCCATAGTCCGATAGCGTCTAACCATTCATGCCATAAGCACATAACCTATCGCCCACACAGAAACTCTCGCCCTACCTCTCCTCGATTTCATAATCACGGTCGTTCGTTTTCTCCACATGCCCTGTTGTAATCGCAGATATATCAGCATAAAGCATCTTCAGGGCGGTGTAAAAAGTTGATTAACAGTTTCAACCGCCATATCAAAGCCGCCCGCGGAATGAAACCATCTCGGGATTCAACTAACCGGTCTTCATCATCACCTGGGTCGTCGCCCGGTTGACATTTTTCTTGAATCCTATTCGGTGCTTGTCAGTTCCTTGTTCGCCCAAATTATCACACTTCGTCCCCTCGAGGCGCCTGACATACCGGCCCAAGACATCGTTACTCGTTCGTGGGTGTTGTAAACTGTACTTTGCGCCTTAAGATGTCTGGTCGCTTGCGGGCTTTGGAAAAGGGCACGCTAAAAGAAGTCGTAATCGTAAACCCTTACTCGATATATCGCACAGCAGCTATCATCAAATACCCTGTACAGATTCACAGCGACAGGAATAGAGGGAGATAGTGGAAGAACGAGAGTCGTCAATATGTCCCTCTTGATGGCTTGGCGGTTTGCAGTGATTGTGGCTGTGGCTCAACCACTTGGCGTGGCTTGAAGCTACGTAATGCCAAGACCGGCCCAGTTTTGTTTCGAGTCTCGCTTGGTTCTATAAACACGGCTGCATTGTAGAGTACGGAGTATAAGTAATAATATCTACTGGCCATTGTAATCTTATATAATAAAATGGAGTGCACGGTTTAGATACTTCTGTCGCACACCTTGGCGGACATCCAAGCACATTTCTTCGACCAAAACGATCCTAGATATTGAATGATCAAGAGCTATCCCTGATGCGATTGAGTAAATTCCTAAGGCCACGTCTGCGGTCTTCTGGACTCGTTGGTGCTGATATTTCCGTCGCCGTCGCTGTTGGCGTTGGCTCCAAAGGAGCCTGTGATTGCGCATTAGAGGGTCTAATACATGTTTCTTCCGATTTCTGGGACGATACTCTGTATGCTAGGATAGGCGTGTTTAGAGAAGACACTGCCGCAGCAAAGGTAGCGGATGTAGGAGCAGTAGCCCTACTTGGATCATTGTGATCCTCCCGCGGAAATGTTTTGCCGTGGCTTGAGGCTTTCGGAGTTTGCAAGGTTCCCTCTTCCTTCGCCTGTTCTAGTAGCGCTGCCAGGGTGGATTGTTTCCCATCCACTCTTCTCGTTAGGTATACCTTAGGCGGGGGAGTGCGAGATGTACGGCTTCTATTCCGAATTCGTTCAATCTCTTCTTTATATGCGGTTTCGTAGATGTCGATGTCAGCTGCGCTAGGTGACTCGCTAACTATTGGCGGTGAGAATGGGTCTATTGGCATAGGTTCATCATGTATTGTCACTGGCCTGTCCTGGCTATCGCCTGGAAGCTCATTCGCGAAACGTGGGTGGAATCTGGAAGGCCCGATAAATAGATATGGTTGGTCCTCTTCTAGTATATCGCGCGCGTGCCCTCGCGTTCCTTCGCAAATGCTGCCTTTACTCGGAGTTGCCGTTCCTGAAGCCTGGGGGGCGGGGCTATCCGCCGTTGCAGCGCCAGGTATGTTATATAGCGAAGCACTTTGACTCGCGGAAATTGTGTCTGAAACCTGAGAGAAAGTACTGTTCTGACTTCTTGCAATTTTAACAGTACCCGTTTGTTCTCCTGGCTCGGTCGGATCCTGCCCTCGGGTTATATCATAAAGTCCAGGCGAAACCGGGGCCGCGGTCTTATGTTTCTTTCGGTTAGGGGGGAACGCATAAGCATCTGATTCATCCATAGAAAGAGGCGGCTGGACGAAGTGTGATTTTTCGTCTTCACCCAAAATACTTTGGATAGGTTTCGGACTTGCCGGTTCAATAAGCCTCTTGAACTTTTGAACAGCTTTCACCTAGATATAGGCTATCAGTGACATAGTTCAAAGTAAAAACCCAAAATATAGCGACAACATACCACTGTAATTGCATGGCTCATGTTCCTGGTGATAGCAGTGTTCATCTCCTCTTCCGTTGGAGGCTCTATTAGATTGCACGTGTTTTCTTCCGCTGAAAGAAGCCCGTCCGTGCCCCCTTTTGTAACCCAGGGGTGTTCCTATGCCAGTTAGTGAAAGTCTTCGACTGAAGGTTGCATAGAAATCTTACTCTTAATTCCGCCATCGTTATTCGTCTGTTAGGGTCTTTCTCCAGAAGCTTGGATATCAGGTCCTTGAAGTTCTGATCTTCTTCCCCAGGGCACACCACCTCGTCATTTCGAATCGCCTCGTACAGCTCAAAAATACTTCCTTTTTCAAAAGGTATACGTCCGTACCTCAGGCAATATAGAGTCACCCCCATGGACCATATATCAGTCGCCCTGCCAGACACATCCCCATGCTTCACTACACATAGTTCAGGGGGCAAAAAGGCAGGAGAACCGGCTGACTTGGCAGTGTACATACTCGAATCCTTTTCGAATATTTCTGACACGCCAAAATCGACGATTTTGAGAACATCATCTGCAGTTAACAAGCAGTTATCCGGTTTAATATCCCTGTGTACGATACCCTGAGCGTGAAGATATTCGATACCGAGTATCAAGTCACGAAACCAACAACGACAGCTTTCGTCATCATAAGGATCGGATTCTTCGCCCAGACCAACCTTCATTATCACACCTTTCTTGCACATTTCCATAACCATATACAGAGAATCCTCGGTCGGGTCGTCCAACACCTCGTACAATGCAACTAGGTTCGGGTGGTTGAGTTTCTTCATAATTGCAATTTCCTGCTTTATTAGGTTCAGCGAGTTTCCGCCTTCTTCAAAGTCATGGCTCGAAGGATTTCGATGGAGGGGTTCGTTGAAACCCGTTCCGGCAGCTCGTGCTCCCGGGCGGCGCGGCCCCGTGCGATTGCGTAGGACATGGGACTGTGCTCGTTTCCGGAGTCGTGACTTGGAAAATTCTTTCACAGCCTACAACGACGGTGTTTGTTAGCTAGCACCGAGGCGGAGATGCTTGACTGCGTAGCTCCTCGAAAGAACCATGGCGAAACCCACATATTCCTGGCCATACTGGTCCACTGCTAGGTGGACTGCGCCGAACGAACCTCTTCCAATCTCCTGCTTTATCAAGTATTGATTGATGCGGTGTTCCGCAGTACCGTCGTCCTGGCTATTCGTATATTCCGATCGCGCATTGAGTGTTTCCTTTTAGCCTATTCAGTCTACGGCCGTTGGAGGCGATCAACGCTCCGCGCCAATAGGGGACCAACTGACTTTCACTCTCCGCGGGAGCGTGTGATTTCGAGTATGATGTCGTAGAGGACTATTCAAGGTGCTTCTCGGGGATCTGTTAAAGGCCAGACAAGGATCAGTCTCAGGTCGGAAGATCGAGATTTAGGAGCCAACACCAGCAGCGCTATCGCCTTGATTCGTTGAACAACATAATTGAAAGATCGGTAACGAAAGGAAATAGCACACTTGCCTAGTAGAAATGGTCGTCCGAAGGGGCTGCGGCCTTGAGCCGCCTGTTGCAGCGGTGCTTTCATTTGCGGGGGAAGGTTTGGGGTTCTCTACAGGCTCAGTGCTGTGTCTGTCGTCTGCCATCTCATGATGAGGCTTCAGGAACGTGACAGCAAGTCAGGAAAAAACAATGCTAGTTTTGAGAACGGATGTACAGGAGCAATGAGTCCTATTGCAGGCTTTTATATGTTCAAGCGAGCTGCGATAGGGCTGAGTATGTGGGGTTGGAGTGATTCATGCCCAAGCAAAAGGAATCCTAAAGCACAAAGTGCGAAGAAGTCTACTCCATACTTGCTACATGAGAGCCGGTTCGTTTGTCCCAGCATCCCGTGATCATGGCCATTCTCATGTGTGTGGTATTTCCAGTCCTGCTTCATTATTGATAAGAAATGCTTTTGCTGAGCAGATTCATTGGCCACTGGGCCGATCAGGCAGAGTCTCAATTGCGAGGGATGGCGAACCCTGTCCCGGCAATTACCGCGCACAAGCTTCATGCTCTGAGTGCTCTGGTTCGGGACTATCACCCGCAACCTGGGAATGGTATTTCCGCCAGGCTTACTTTGTATTTCGCCCACAACAATCTGGATCAGTGTGCAGGAGAGTTGTTGTGGGCCTATTGACCCAAGAGTGATGGTTTTGAGAACTAGTTAGTGACCTTGATATCTTGGCATCGTTAGACCGCTCAACATCACGAACATCAACCTCGACAGCAAACAGTTGGCTGGGCAAACGTAGAAACTCCTTTAACCACACCTTTCTGTGAAACTGGTGAGGAGCTCATACACTTGGAAAAATGGTTGTTTATTCATTTTATATTTTCGATCGACATGGTAAGTTTGACAAAGAGACCAATATCGCATCCTAACAGTGGGCTCGCTAACGGGTTCGTCCTCGACAGCTGAATGCATCTACAAGCGTCTCTGGCTTCCCCGTCCGACATCCTTCCATGGCAAAACCTCCCGCCCCGCATCGGACGCCGCGCCCCTCAATAATGGCGTGTCAAAAAGTACACCGGGAGGACACCTGAGCGCCGAGGACGACGCGAAACTCATTTTCGGGACTGTATTTTCCCTACGGAATATGGTTCGGAAACTTGGCGGCGATGATGACAAGTGAGAGAAAAGATGCATTGCAAGCTTGACGGGATGCGGAGACATCCGTCTGGGAATTCGGAACGTTGACTGACCACCACCTTGCAGCTTTCTCTGCTACCGCACGAGCCAATACAAGCTGCATTATTACGAGACGCCAACCAACATCAAGTTCATTATGCTGACTGATATCAAGTCCAGTAATATGCGCCTAGCGCTGCATCAGATATATGTCAATCTCTACGTCGAATATGGTTCGTGTTTATCCCCGCTCTTCACCTCCCTCGCATGCTAATTAGCGTTACGGAGTATAGTTGTCAAAAATCCACTATCCCCTATTGAACATCCGGGTGGCCTCGGTGTAAATAACGAGCTCTTCGAGGAATCTCTAGAACAGTTCGTGGTATGTTTCATCACCACCCTCCCGGGATATATCCGGCTGGCGTTAACTCAAGGGACTGACGCTCGCTAGACTCGGGTCTTATCGTAAACTGGGTCTCTCGGCACGACCAGTTATCACGTGCGTATATTGAGGAGTCGTCTTCCGGTTCCGACATCGTCTCATTGGCACAGGTCAGCCCTACTACGCAATACGATTTGGGATGCCAAGGTCGCCTTAAGAAATACCCCTTCAGGGTGCATTTCACATTACAAGGGCCGCCCATGGCTGTCTTGGCCTAGACTGTGAAGCCTACTCCGGTGTGTCACTTGAACAATTGGAAACGAAACCGAAGAAGTCCCGGCGAAACGCATACTGGCGGGAAGGGAGATTACGACAATCCCACTAAAGGGAGGGAGAAGAGCCCCATGTCAATTTCTCAGAGGTCCGAAGCCCACAAACAGCGTGTTCCCAGCACAGATTTGGTTCATTTGTGTGCCCTGCCCGACGCAACTCTCTGAGTCTAGACCCGGGTCTGGCTGCCGGCTACATGGCCTTTGATAAGGCGCGGACAATGCTGCAGATGTTCGAGCAAATTAATATCCGGATTAGGGCTAGGTTTTCGAAACTGTGGCTGGTCCCCACAGGATGATGTGGCACAGTGATAGAAGGTGCATGACACTGATCTTAGCCAAAACGGGCCCCCGAATCAGACAGACTCACGTCTGGAGATACATGGGTCAAGCCCCAGATTGGCCCCGTTATCGTGATCGATGACAGCTGAGAGGAACCAGGGATTGTAGGTTACTGTGGCTTGACCACGTCAAGGCAAACAAGTCAATTGAATTCGAACGCAAGAAGGTTGCAACCATCATTTCACCGATTTCGCAACTGTTTCTGGGCAAAAATGCTTGACTTGACTCATTCATGTGCTTAAATTCCAACCGAAGCCGTAAAATGACGAAATGCGTGCTCAATTGGCCGCCTTGATTGATGGTTTTGCTTGTAGGGCAAGTGTGGCGTTTGCTGCCAAATCCTCCTTGGCGATCGAGGGAGCATGGGCCCTGTGTGGCTATTATCGTGAAATGTCAAGGGATTGCGATGTTCCCGACTCCGTATTTATTTACTGACTAATGGATTTTATATCATTCGGCTGAAGAGGCCTGAGCTGGTGAGAGAAATGATGCCAATAAATGTAACCCTTTTGGACCTGGTAGGGTGTTAATATGGCTTCTGTGAAAGCATGTTCAGTAGTGGTGGTCTTGGATGTCAAACGAGAAGCCGCGGTATTCAAGAGTTTGGTGATCATTGACTGACTCATTGCAGCTTCGCGTGAAGATCATCGAGGTGTCATCATCAGCCAGTTGCACCAGCATTATCAACGGTCTTTTCGGCATGCTGAGTTTAGCCAGAGTTGTGAGGCTTTAACTGCATTGGGCCAACAGCCTGTTGAATTGGCCCAGCCAACGTAAGACAACAATCGATTTCCAGTCGCCAGGAGTTGCTCCGTTCGCTATGCTGAAGCAGATCGAATATTAATGGGAACAAAAATAGTTTGTCTCCAAGATGTGGTAACTTTCCTCCAGCGTCGTCAGTAACTACGTGTCAGCGTGTAACTTTGGTTCCGTAAAGAACGGGCCCATACACCGAAAGTAATACGGCCGCCGGGCTGAACATCCAGAGTCTCGTTGTCCCCCACAACGCGTTCTTTTTTTTCCCTCAAAAGGGCATGATGGATAGTGCAGCCCTGGCAAATCAGAGCGTAGCAACCCCAACCGCGCGGAATGATCCCCTGCCCTGCAGCTGCACCTTATGCTTTGTTAGCTCGATTCTAAAATCAGTTTGCACAGCCACTGCAACCAAGCTTCCATTGCTTGGAAGCCATGACAGTTGCTCACCGCATTTACTCCCCGGGACTTCTTTTGATCGAGTTACTAATATCGCGTTTTCCTTCCGGGAAAATCCTCTGTACCCTGTCACTTGGTCAGGTATGCGTTAAACGGCGGAACGATTGCCGTTGCAAGAGCCGGAATTTCAATAAAATCCTAGGAAAGGGAACGAATTTTGGTCCACCTAGTCCAATCAGAAAAGGCCAAACAGTACCGTGAATATCCTAATGGCTCTGGAAAACAGTTTGGGAGTGAGACGATCGACCTGCACGACACCTGGAGAGAGAATCGCAGGCATGCATGCTGGCCTGGAAACTGTGTCTAGTTGATCTTTACAGATTCTTTGAGATCCCGAAGTCGTTCTTCTCGCAACGCTGCCCGATGAAGAGACCACATGGTCAGTGTCTATTCTGATACTAGTCGTCCAGCTTGAGTTTCGTTCCCTGGGCCGAGGGATGGGGAAACAGAGAAGAAGAGGCTTATTGCGGCTAATTTTTGTGATATTTTTCGAACAAGATGGAGCATCCGAACGATACCGCCCTTTCAACAGTCAAACTTGACGGACACGACAGGAGTCGCACGGGATTGGCTTGACGCTTGGTGAGGTGGATTGCCTGTTTTGTAACATGTATCTCCTCCAGGCTTGTCGCTGCACAAGGAAGAGGGGTTACCCCGATGCCAGCTCCCCGTAAAAGCTGCATATGTACGGACGCCTGGTTCGGTTTGACATCTCGCAATAGGCACTAGTTACTGCTCATGGCTACATCAGCTGCTCCGGAAACACCGTGGAGTGAGAAATACCGAGTTGAGCATCTTTTCGGGTATCCCACGGGGGCATGATTCCGTACCCTGCCAATGTCGTCGTTAGTCAGTTCTCCTAGGCTAGCTGGTGGATCAGCCTGCGTTGAATGCTCCGTGCTCTCACGATTGATCCTATCCTGGCCAATGAGAAATGGGCTTCTACAGAACAGTGTCACTTGGCAGGAATGATTTCTCAGCTTGGGGTAACTTCTGTATTTCCTTCACAACGACCAAGGGCGAGAGAAAGCTCGCCGTCCTCCCGAGCAATCTCTCGGGCTGCCCTGGTGAAGAGACGAGGGCTGGAAGAGTCTTATGGCCTTGAACACAAGCCTGAAGCCAAGATGCGCGAACACTTCTAAAAAGATGCACAGCTCTCTAGTGGGTTTTGGAAGGGTTGATGAGGCGCTTGCTGTCATGTCAAGTGGCTTGACGGGAGAGAATAAGTTTCGCGGATGCGGGGTATGAACAGGGTCCTTTCTAGAGCGATTCGCCCGGGTTCCTTGTCGGTCTTCCCCTTGCTCTTGTTATTATTGATGGAATTTCCATGATATCGAAGTTGAAGGTGGCAGCGAGTTCCATGGAACGATATCAGGTACAACTGGATACGCCAGAAATACAACTGAAGAATTAGCCCACCCGTGAAGTGGACGGAGAAGCTTGGCCTTGTCTCTGACATCATCAGATTTCGAGAGAACTTGTTTGGCTGTTGTAACGATGTCTGTATCTGCACTTCAAGAGTAGAAAGGAGTATATAATAAGCACAACATCCCCCCTAAGCTAACAGTTCCCAAGGACCCCTACGCTTCTGATGCCAGCTGATGGCCGTGTTCCCTCTGATGGCGTTGAAAGCTTCGTGCCACCAAAACCAATCGTTAGAGTTAATATCTTTCACATTTCAGCGACCAGGACGTATTATAACCGTCCCCAACCGTACCGTACACCAAGCCCCTCCCTGACTGAACAGGCCACCGCCTTTGACTTTTTCTGCCACACCGAAGCTTCGGCCATCTTCCTGCATCGCCTGACTAAACAGACCGCAATTATTTCAGATCGCTCGCCGCCCCGAATTTTCCCTCTTGCTCGTCAATTTCTCTGTTTTGCCTGATTCATCATCTCATTTTCTACCTGTTCCACCTGGAGAAAACTGACGAGATCATCTGTAATCTCATCAGTTTCCCAGGATCCCCGACCGTTTTGTCGTCGCTACTCTGATACAGACCCCCGGGTTTCGTCCCATTTGTGGGCATCCCGTGCCTCCTAGAGGCGGTTACCTAATTCAGCTCCCTCTCACCTGCTCATTCCTCGCGCAGGCGGCCACCTCAGTATCGCGCCCCGTGCTGTTGTCTCCCCTGCACCGATTATCCTCTCCGTGCTTGTCGAGTGAGACCCTGCGATTGATCCCTTTTGCCTGAAAACTCGGCCAAGGGACTGCTGTTGGCTCACTTAGGACGAAACCATCTCATATTCCTACGCACATGAATTCACCTACCCCGTTATCGAAGTCCTCCTCACGATCTACAGCCTCGCACAACTCACAGCCTCCTGATGGCGAGCAGATAACACGAATGTTGGAGGGTACGCACCTCCCAGCAAATGGTGCTACTCTCCCGCAGAAGCCTCCCAAAACAAAGATGCCGAATCCCTTCTCTCGCATGTTCTCCCAAACGGGGAAAACGGTGCACAAGGAGGCGGAAAGCCTGAAAGAGGCGGCCTCCGATGCAACGATCCAAAGCAAATCCTCGTCGAAATCGACGCCCGCCACCAACGGAGTCGACAAGAACGCCAACATAAAGCCTCCGCCAAAGCAGCAAGGCGATAAGAAAGCGGAGGATAAAAAGCACGGCAAAGAGCCGGTTCCACCTTTGAAACGGTTTGATGTGCTCCCGGATGGGACCCATGTTCACTACTTGAAGAGTGCTAAACGACAAGAAAAACTCTCAAGTATGCTGCGCGATATGTTGGGCGGAGGCAAAAAGAAAGAGGACCATGTCGAAGACCAACAGCTGTCTCTGATGTCGACGTGGGTGGATCAGCTGAAAACAGAGCGAGACAAAATGGCCGCGGACAAGAAGGGCGGCCCGAACACCACGGCTTCTTTGGTCGACAAGTACGGCAAGTGCCAAGAGATCGTTGGCCGTGGTGCCTTTGGGATCGTCCGGATCTCCCACAAGGTGGACCCAAAAGACTCTAGGGTAGAGCAACTCTACGCCGTCAAGGAGTTTCGGCGTCGCCCTCAGGAGACCGCCAAGAAATACCAAAAGCGCTTGACTTCCGAATTCTGTATCTCTTCGTCCCTTCGTCATCCCAATATCATCCATACGTTGGATTTAATGCAGGATTCGAAAGGTGACTATTGCGAAGTCATGGAGTATTGTGCTGGCGGAGACCTTTACACTTTGATCTTGGCAGCTGGCAAGCTTGAAGTTGGAGAGGCCGATTGTTATTTCAAACAACTCATGCGAGGCGTCGAGTACATGCATGAGATGGGTGTCGCCCATCGTGATCTCAAACCAGAAAACCTATTGCTGACCACGCACGGTGCTCTAAAAATCACGGATTTTGGTAATGGGGAGTGCTTTCGAATGGCTTGGGAAAAAGAAGCGCACATGACAGCCGGGCTGTGTGGATCTGCACCGTACATTTCGCCTGAAGAATACACTGATAAGGAATTCGATCCTCGAGCGGTAGATGTATGGGCTACTGGTGTCATCTACATGGCGATGCGCACTGGCCGACACCTTTGGAGGGTTGCACAGAAGGATGAAGATGAGTTTTATGAGCGGTATTTAGAAGGTCGACGAGATGAAGATGGTTATGCTCCAATTGAAACGTTGCATCGGGCATGTCCTCCCAATCTCTTACCGCTGAAGTCAAATCTGAAAGCCCATCGCTGACCGTTACCTTTATATAGGCCCGATGCCGTAATGTGATCTACTCCATCCTCGATCCAAACCCAGGTCGCCGCATTACGGCTTCACAGGTTTTGAAATCCGAATGGGTCCGCGAGATCAAACTCTGCAAAGCTGGCGAAGAAGGGTTTTGACAAGACTCGCCAACTTCTGCACAGATATACACTCTGATGACTTTTGCCCTTGCCTTTGTTTGCCACCCAAAAAGCTCTATACCTGGAGTTCAAAATCGGTCGCCATACTGATGCGCATTCCTTGCGCAGAGGTATCCTTGTTTTGGCTCTCAGCTTACCCAAGATTGTCTAGTCTCGCCTTAGCTTCGACATCCTTTAACGTGTTTGGTTCCTCAACGACATCTTACGACTCTCCTACATTCGTCATCCCCAGTCCACTTGCGCTGTGGTAGCATCCACGCCGTTTGTCCGTTCAGGCTCCCACAGGTCATCTACTGGATACGCGTCAGTTGGGGCTGGGAGTGGTCTTGGCTGCAGTCGTTCTTTTGTAGTTCGGCTTTGTTAGTTTAGACCTCTTTTTAGCCTCAATGTAGTTTTTCCAATATGGGAGGACTGCTGCCCTCTTTGGGCCGGTGGCATAATTCTCATTATGTTTGGCTTTAACTCTTTTTTTTTCCAACTGTATATACCGTTTCTCTTGTTACGACCATGAAACGACTTTTCTTAGATTCCCCGAACCGTTTCTTTTCTTTTCAGGCACTGTAAAACCATCTTTCCCTTCTCAATGACGACATGACGCCTTTGATGTTTCTTTTTCGCTTCCCTACAAGGCTTGGATACCAAGACGCTTTTGTTCAGCTTTCACATTCTTCATGTAAGAATGAAAGTACACTCTCTCTTCATGTTGCTGTACAAACCATATACCCAAAATGGTTACACAGTACACTTGCGGGTCTGCAAGCTGGCGTTTTTGTATTTTTGGTTATTTTCCTCCGGAGATTTTGCTGGTTATAAACCATTTTCGCCCTTATGGGTGTACTAACATCTTAGTTGCCGAGCCTTTTTGTCCCTTGTTTGTGCTTTGATTTCTGCTGAGCGAGCATTTCCGTGGGGTTTTGACCATATAGAGTGGCTGAGAACTCATTGCTTGAGTATGACTTGATGGGTCAAATAAGTATGTATGATACGTGGACTGTTGATGACTTTTTTTCTTTCTTGGAAGGTTTTGCTATAGAGATTTTTTCGGGCGGACGCTTCTGTTGGTGTTTGAGGCGAAGATGTGTCGTACTGGGGAATATCAGATGAAACGTGTTTTTGGACCGAAGTCCCTTGCTCTCTATGGCCAGAATATAACGCAGGTCTTCCCATGCTTCCCATCGACCAGAAAACATCCTCTGAAATCTGGGGGTACAAGGGTCATATACATCAAAACACTCTAGCGAGATATTTTATTTGCCAAAGCTTCATTTTGGCAACTGGGTATCAGTGCACAATATTTTTGGGTACCAGCAAGAAATGGCTCTAATTGCTGAAATGATTGATCCCTTCTCAAAACAAAGGAAAAAAAAAGGAGAGGCAGCAAATCCCTATTTAATGACCAGAAGATAAGTCCATTGAAAGTCACAAAGCCGATCAACAGGAACGTCAAAAGCAAGTCCATACCCTGTGTTTATCACCAGGTGAGTAGACTGTGGATTCGGTTCCATTCTCTTCGGCCTCCTTCACCAAGCCATACCCTGGATACCACATAATCCTAGTTTAGTCACCAGACACAAGCTAGAGAGGCTTGAGGAATTGCGAGCTCTACTTAAGAAATATGTGTGCTAGAAAAACTAGCCTATTGACTATATCACATCCACAAATCTGATAAGGAAATCAGCTTCTGGAGGACGAAGGATTGGACAGATAGATGCTTCCAATTGAGGCACCCTGTTATCTGAGCAATCAGTGAGAGTGTCAGGGAGCGGGAGGAGTATCAGTATGTGATTGTGTGTACAGCTAAGTCAAAATTGTTGAATTAAACAAGCACAGTGATCTGATCAGATTGATGACTGGCTTGTTTTTATAGTAATCCCTCTGAGACAGAGTGCATCAACTATCACTTAACATCTTTGCACATCTTATCCCACCTTCTCCCAGCAAACGCCTGTTTGTAATGCAACAAACAAGTGGGCGACAAAAAGTTGGCGAACTCAGGATGAACAATGAGTACTTCATGCGATGGACTGTCTTGCCAGCCTAAGAATAGAAAGTGAAATAAAAGATATCTCCAGAGCAACCCAGCAAATATCATCCCTTGCAGCCATGCCGGCGGCTCAGGTGGTTTCGGGAGGGTTAACTACGCCGGTGGTCCGTATAAACACCGGAGAAAATATATTTGGAGTCTTTTGTCCAGGTAAGTACAGCCGATGTCCCCGTTGTGACTGTCCTTTTCAATGTGATGATAGAACCATATTGTCCGACTTTTTTATTTTCATTTTCTCTTGTTGACTACTCGAAGTCATTGCCTGGCCTTGGGATGCAATATGAAGAATATGCGGGGACGATGCTGGAAATTACAAACACCGATGATTGTCGATTAGTTTTCCTGTTTGCATAGAACTGATGGTATAACTACCGCTGATGAATGATTTTTAATTCCACGGAGAATCATGTCTGATCACAACCTTTGGTCGATAAAAGCGTCTTAGCAACTATTAACAGCTAATCCAACTCAAGAAATGAGAGCGCATGCACGCCCTCGATTCCAAATCCTGTTGAAATCCTGTTCGTATTTTTCTTCTCGGAATGCCTGGCCAGGATGATAATCCAAAAGAAGTTTGACGATGGACCAGATGTTGCCTCCACTCAGTTCGACGGGAAATATGGTATTTGTAAGGGGTATATATGGCATGGACGACTGTTCGACAGGTCCCATGAATGATTAGTTACAGCACCAGAGATTGTATGCCTGTCCATGACCAAAAGGAATGAAATCCAGGTTCGGAATTCCGGAAGCAACATCCACGGTTTTAATTCCAGCTGGTTGGACCAACGCATGCATGCAGAAATACATGGCAAACCGCAGGGTGATTCCGGTCGAACGGCAGCCAATCACAGCCACTGAAGAAATGCTTTTTTGTCCCCAATGTCCGAACCGCTGGTGCGACAGTGCCTCAGAAATCCGACTAGGGCGACGAGTGCGTTGCCAAAAGGGAGTGATCCCCTTTTTGGAGGTATATTGAGGGGATTGGTGGCTGTTGGATGTAGGAAATGTTTTATCAGGGTTTCACTGTGGCGTCACCCAGGCTGTTTGTTAGTCGACATAGGGAATATCTTTGCTAGAATTGGAGTAGAGTATCCGGATATCCATAGAATCGAAATTTTTGTACTCCGTAATGTTGACAAAATTAGGGTCCAAGCGCCAAGATGCAAAATAGATAGATGATAAGGGTGATAAATCAAAAGGAAGTAGATGGTAGGCTTCAAGCGAGCCTCATTCCTCCCCTCGAGGCTTCTGAGCCACAACGATTCTCGCCGTGCTTACCGCTCCTTCACAATTCACAATCTCCATTTTGACTTTCTCACATAAATCCAGGACGTCTTCCGCCGTCCATCCAATATATTTGGTAAGAAGGCGAAGGCTCATGGCTTCCAAGCCCTCCAATAACACGATAAGAGCCATTTTCCCCATTGTTTTCCTTTTTGGCTCAGTCGGCCATGTTCCGATAGGCACCTCGATGTCGTAGGTGCGGATGTTCTCAAACCCCGCAGCGGCCAACGCGCTGGGTCGAAGATGTTCTAATTCTGGGATATACCCCGCCACTTCGGTGGCGGAGCGGATTGCTGATATAAATATGTTAAAATATGAGTTTGGAGGTAATGAATTCGCGGACAGGTTTCCATCTGAGATTTGGATGAAACCGCCAGGCTGCAGGTGCTCAAAAGCCTGTTGATAAAGGGTGGGCCAGTCAGAGATGGCCCGGGAGAGGTCTCGTATATGGATAAAATCGAATGGCTCGTGGAAGGTCCATTTGCCGTCGGCGTCGTCTATTTGGAAATATACGTTTGGCGGAGCAATGCTGACAGACTGCGGATCAAAAAGGCTAATATCAGTGGCTATAACTTCGACATCTGGGTATTCCTCGCCAATGGCAATTGCCCAATCACCGGAGCCGGCACCCAGGTCCAGCACACGGGAGAGAGAATCAGGCAGGGGATATGGAGTCAGTTCGCCGTCTAAGGCGCAGAGGTAAAGCTGATGCAGGATGCTTTGGCGGGTTTGTTCAATTTCATCGTTGGGTAAACAGTAGGTGTCGTTGCAGTAGCGACGGCCATTCTCAAAGACATATTTAATGGCATCTTCGGACAGCGATTTGGTGGACCTATGCAACCATAAGCAAGAGGCGGCATCAAGATGGTCCAACTATAAAATTGTTGCAGTGTCAAACGGCTAAGAATATTGAACTAACCCGACTTGTCCCGTATCATCTTCATTCAATCCAGAAGAGCCAACATGGGAGCAATCGGAACATTGCTGGCCCCGTTGTTCAACAATCTGACCGTTGGTGTGGGACTTTGCCGCCATATTCGTGATGGATGCCTGTCGAATGGAGTTGTTTGCTGCACTAGAGCTTGCTTCGTCCATAACATGACTGAGGAAGTTTTAAGTAGTTTCATTAATGAATCTAAGTAGCCGAAGGAGAAACTCATCAGTATGGCGGTTCAAGCAGAGCAACAGGATCGGAGACGAAAAGCCCGGAATAGGAATGCAAACGCACCTCTGTACCCCAAGGGCTTGATACAGTGGTGATATAGAGTCCAATCGGAGAACTCACACTTTTGAAACAATCGTGATTATCGTAGTCACTAATAAGTAACTGATAGCCAGTTAACTAGGTCGGGCTGGTGTCTCGATGATCGAGCGCAGTCGAGCTGGTTGCCAATCTCACGCACGCCCCATGGCGGGGGAACGGATGCGAGAGACGAAGCTGCAAAACTCGATGGTCGTCAGGTTAGTTAATATCACGAAGCGAGACGGGCGATCGCACCAAATTGCGGGTGTCGAGATTTGACGCTTGGAGCGAGGATCTCAGTCCGGGCAACCCTCGTCGAACGCACGCAGAAACCCTGGGGATTCTCAGTTGCTTTTTATTTCTCCCCTTTGAACAGACTTCCCGTCGCGGGCGAATGAAATGAGCCAGGCGGGTGATCCGACTGAGCGCGCCGCGGATCTCTTCCCTGCATCGTCTTGCGTTCACTAGCTGGCTGCAGCGGCATTAGTCCAACATACGCTTGAAAGTGTAATCCGGACGGATTCTCCCGCATGCAATCAGCGTGTTTGTGTCCGTGTCTAGGCTGAAGTTTAGGGATGCGGCCAAGGGTTCGTGGTTAATTCCACGGGAGCCGGTGTGCAGCATCCTGGGCCCGGATCATCTCCCGCGGATGAGGACAAGACAGATGTCTTGGAACGGACTGAGCAGCGACGCGGCATATTGGCTACCTTGGGCTGATGGCATGCATGTTGGATTGAGCCCGTGAGGGACAGCGAACTGACCTTATACGGGTCCCAGAAACCCAGCTGGAGCCCGCCGGGAAGACGGGAGTTTGACGTCCCCAGAACCAGCTCAGCGGTGCATGCAGGAACCAATTTTATGATTTGATTGTTCCAGATTCCCAAGCACCGTTAACCGGTATCCCACATCTTCGGGTCAGTCTTCCCCGATATCGTCAGCGGAACACGGCCTGTCAGGGATAACTAACTGCGATCCACGAAGCGGCCACTGAATCAATTGGATGGCCCATGCGCTGACATTGGCCGGAGATTGATATAAGCCATGGCTTCTTCATGTCACCTCAAAAGGAGAGAATTGTTTCAGAAATATTCAGTTCAAAAATTGCTTTCGCTTCTCTCCACGCACTCTCCATGAAACCGCCCACGCACCGCAACCTCTATGAACGTTTTTCACCCCAGCTCGAGAGCAAAGTGAGAGCAAAACGGTCATCATGCATGCCCCGCCAATGGTCTGCTGGCGGTGATTCCTTTTTATCTTCCCGCTGTCATCTGCCCAGTCTGTCTTTGGGGTGATAGGGAGTTAATCTGTTGCCTATCAACCGGGCCCTGGGTGCAAGCCGACGCGTTGGAGGGGAATGATGAATGGCTCTCCAATGAGGACCATCTGCCAGCGTACTCCTATGAATGGGACCCCCTTGCCCGCTTGCATGGGGAGTCGACTGAGGGTTTTGGGAATGAAGGGTGCGTAAGAGCATCCTTGAATACCTTAAATGATAAATTTGGCTGATCAACATGTAGCAGCGTAGGCCAGAGGTCATATCCGCTCCAATACTTACTTTAAGCTCGCCTGTCTTACTGCTGAGAATGCTCTTCCTTATCAAGGGCCTCATTGGACAGAAGCTACCACTTTAAGGGGATTTAGCTGATAAAAAGGTCTCCGAGGCAATCCCAAAGGGAGATGTTGAACTGGCCATGAGATGCAGTATATCTATAACAAACTGAGTATGTGCTCAGTAATGGTATAGGAAATGCATCCAATGCGAGCTGGATGGACTAATTGGTTTTCCCTCTCCCAAAGGTGTGACCGTCCCCATTAGACAATAATAGCAATAACTATTCACACATAGTGAGCTAATACCATCTTGGAGAAGGTGTTCTATGAGGACATGTTTCTCAGGATATTCTTCTTGTGGGAACGACTGCATCATGGCCTGAGCATTGTCTGGTTTCAAAGCATTTTTGCAGAGACCTTTCTGCCATGAGATGCCTGCTGTTTGTCCCATTCTGTCCAAAGACACAAGGACCTTTGACCATACAACTTCTTTGTTGAACTGCAACCAAGGATGAAAACATGGCAGATTCTGTGAATCTCATCAGCAGAAGAAAGAGAGGGGACAATTTAACAGCAAAAAGCTGTTTATTGACTGGTCATAGAGCGTCTGAGTCTGACCTAACTAGCATCGAGCCACCTCCTTCATGAACCATCTGCTGCTGCATTAGTTCTCCAATACTTGCTGAGACTTGCAATATCATCCATTGCTCCACATGGAATGGCAAAGGTCAGTAGTTAGAAAACAGGTTTGTGCACACGCCCCTCTGAGTGCTTGGACTGTCACTAACTAATGAAGATTTTAGCTGCTTACTTTTTATATTTGGATTCACGACATAATCAACATTCTTGTTGCTGTTACGAAACCCCAGTCGCAATAAAAATGTCTTGGACTTCGGTTGCTTGCCTCCGCCCCTGTCAATTTGTTGGCTGTGAAAATATGTCTGCCTAGCGATAAACACGCTAGAGCAAAGTTCAGCTGAAATGAGGATTTTGGCTGTGCTCCCGACAGGGGCCAAATCAAAGGCCGTGCTGCGCTGGATCATCAAGTTCCCTTTGCCCTTGCCGAGCCAAACTTCATACAGCATTACGGTCAAGTCGCTTTTAGCACCTTCGCTGCCAAAATGCCGTCGCTCAGAGATGCTGTCTACTACCTCTTCCACGTCCAGGAGCTGCGCGCCATCGTCCAATGGATGATGTTGCGGAAACCTGTCCATCCGCGGGACGAGAGAAAGGAGTCACGCAATGTGAAAGAATGCTACCGCTTTCTCGCATTGACATCGCGGTCGTTTGTAGCTGTCTGTCAAGAGCTGCATCCGGAGCTCCTTATGCCTGTGGTTGTCTTCTACCTCGTTCTCCGCAGTCTCGATACCATTGAGGACGACATGACGATTGGCATCGAATCGAAAGAGCCCTTACTACGCAACTTCTACATGCATGTTGGCGACGAGGGCTGGACCTTCGATGGCAGCGGTCCCGATGAGAAGGATTGAGAAGTGCTGGTCAAGGTTCGCATGGCGTCTCCAGAGAGTTCAATCTGCTCAAGGAGGGATACAGAAGCATCATCAAGGACATCGCCAGGAGAATGGGCAATGGCATGGCCGACTACGCGAGAACGGCAAGCGAAATGCCAATGGTCTGAGTGTCAATACCATCAAGGACTACGAGCTGTATTGTCACTACGTTGCAGGCCTCGTGGGCGAGGGGTTAACCCGGCTGTTCGTCCAGGCGAACTTCGTGGACCCAGCCCTCCTCACGCACAAACCGGAGCTAATGGAGTCAATGGGTCAGCTCCTACAGCAAACCAACATTATCCGCGACATTCGGGAAGATTATGACTCGAAGCGGTACTTTTGGCCAAAGGAAGCCTGGTCCAAGTACGTGCAAAACTTCAGCGACCTCTTCCTGCCGCAAAACCGGGAGAAGGCGCTGCAATGCAGCAGCGAGATAGTGCTCATGGCACTGACCAGGGCAGCCCAATGTTTACAGTACATGGCAGGTGTCAGGGAACAGTCAACCTTCAATTTTGTCGCCATTCCACAAACAATGGCGATTGCGACGCTTGAACTGTGCTTTCAAAATCCAGCAGTCTTCGACCGGAACGTCAAACTGTCAAGAGGCTCAGCCTGCCAGATCATGCTCGAATCAACGCAGGATTTTCAACAAGTCTGCAAAGTGTTCAGTCGGTATGCTACGAGGATCCGTCGGAAGAACAACCCCAGTGACCCCCATTTCCTCGATATCGACATCACCTGCGGCAAGATTGAGCGTTTCTTTGAGGTTAATTTCCCAGAAGAAGCAAAACGAAAGGCGCAGAAGGCGGAGGCGAGGAAGGGTGTGATATACATGGGGGTTGCGATGCTTGGTGTCATCGCAGCGGTGATGGTAAGCTTATCTCAGTCAAGCTTGGAATATAAGGCTAACTAATGAACACGATAGGCTGGCGCCAGCTGGTTTCAGAGATGAAGTACAAGCAAGCTTTTCTCACCCTGGAATATGTATAATATGACTGTAATAATGTTGCACCCAGACTTTGACTACTACGTCGAAATTGAGAGGACCCGTGGGAGCAAGGATTTGTAAAGTTAGCTGCCTCTGTATTGCTAAGACGGATCATACATTTACTATTGATATAATATAATTCTCCTGTCCGCTGCAACATAGAAGAACGCGAAATGGTCATCTTTCCACCTACCCAAGGTGCCTAAGTTATATCGGTGTCAAAGCTATCCACACTCGAAGCGAACCCCTTCTGATATATAGATTGTGTGGGAAAATGAAAGGCCCAAGAGCTCACTATAAGCCGCGATCAATAGCGGCATCGCTGGCTGAGCCAATCTGAATGTCCCATAACTCCTAGCACTTCACAGGCAACGTAGAACAAGCGAGGCAAGATAATTGTACTGCAGAGTTAGTTCGACAATGATAATGAAGTAAATCAGAACGGTGAACCAGTAGTGATGGTTGAGGAGGTACTCCTGTACACACTCCAGGCCATAATGGTGTCAACGGTCATGCAGAGTACTCTGGCTTGATCAGCTGGCTAAGTGTGAAATATAGGAGCATTTCACTGTGCTTATTCTTGATAATCCTCACATTGGAAATAATGGTGAATTGGAGCCTGGAACAACCATTTGTCAATTTGTTCTCTGAATCACAACTGCAAACATCCTTTGGATGCTTGACGCACCTGGTTGCCACTGGTAACTCACAATATGTCTTATTTGCTGCTCATGATGAGTTTTATGATGGTTGATATCAGCCTGATTCTGCTGTTAATCTCCCCTAAAACTTAGTGAATTCATAACTTTACGTACACCATTAGGAGCTTGAAGAAGCAGCGCACATACTCTCAATCATATTGATAAAGAAGCCACTAAATATCAACGTAACACAACTCCAGCAGTTCATAAGAATATGGGCATTACCACAAGGATCAAGAAAGCATTTTTTTGTCACCCCATATCCATTATCAGCAAACTTCCGCCAGGCCACACAAGGCGGAACGTGTCAGCATTAGGGAATGCCCGCACTGCAGCTGACCACTGACTCTCAAGACGACCACTTTCGAGGAGGGTTTCAATATCTTCACCACGGGGTACAGATGTGTCAAATTTTCGTTTAACCTGCTCAGACTACGAGCCCCGAGTTAACCTTTCTTAGTAGATTGATTTGAGGACTCTTTTTCACCACAAACCGTAGAATCTGCGTTTGCAGCCTTGTCCGAGGATGCCTGGCGGTCGGTGATCGCTTCACTGAACGCGTCCATGGCCTTTCCCCAATTATACTGTCCAGGCTCTAATCCAACGGATTTGACGTACGGAGCAAGTTCAGCATTCTTGAGAGCCTGCACGTGTTCCGGAGTCGCCCTGACTCGAACGCGACGGAATAGATATGCTTGCAGACGAGCCAGATAGGCGAACTGCGGGCATGCTAGCCGCATGGCTTTCAGCTGGGCGAACAATGTCACTTCACTGCCAAGGATTTAGCGATGGGGTCGAGCGTGTATGAAAGAGTCAATGGGATGCAGTGATAGGACACATACTCGTGGTGCTGTATGATGTTATCAACTATTTGTGTGAGGAGTTCCTCGGGCATGCGGTAGAAAACGGGTTGCTTATCCATCCTAGTATTGCAACAAAACAAGAGAGTAACGACAATGCTTTAGCCTTGGAAGTTATGGAAAGCAGTTAATAAAGATTAACATTGTTGCTTAGCATCATCACAGGCAGCTTGGGGTTCCAGTGTTTGGATGCATTCCAGTATGGTTGTGGAGGTGGTGATGGATTGAAGTGAGGAGGGATGAGCTGTTGACTATTTATGTATGCACTCCCACACATGTTGTGACCCCGGAGGCTCGGCTCGCGTTTCCGGCCAACAACTTGATAGTTTGTAACTTGCGAGCAGTGAGTGAGATGCATAGGACTCTATTCTTCAAAAAGCATGGGACGGTTTAGGCTGCATTCTCTTGGGAAAAAGGAAAGAGAGAGGGCGAAAGCCGCCGCAACTCTTGATTAGAAACGCCTCTCCCCGAAGACGATACACCTCTCTGCTTCATCAAAGGATTCGCCAGCGCCTCAACCCTCCAGCGCATATCCCACTCCGTCTCCCGTGCCCATCTCAATCAACCGCTGCCTCATCGATTCTGCTCTCGGTCCCAGCCCATCAAACCTGGAATCGTCCCTTCCTACCCATCCACCCACGCCATGCTGCAAGACCACCGTCGCCCTAACACCTTTCTTACCCTCCTCCACCGGCTCTGCTAAACCAACGCTGCCATGAAGAGTCATTCGAATCCCTTCAACTTCATCACTCTCGTGGGCTGGGATCTCAGTGCCCTTGTACACGCCCCTGTGAAAGATATTGCTGTCATAAAAGACTGCATCTCCAGGTTGCAGGGTTACAACCTGTTGACCCGGCATGTCCGGTTCAAACGGATCCGCATCACGCTCGGCTTGTGTGCGTGCGCGAAGATGAGAACCGGGGACAACGATAAGTGAAGAGTCGGGGTATAAAGCAATATTGTACTGAGCGTGAGATTGGGGTCGGTCGGCGGGAGATTTGGCCTGGAGCTGTGCTAATTCTTCTTCCGGCGGGAGCGTTGGTGGAGTGGGAATATCGTCACGGTGCCAGCGTAGAGCAAACTCTCTGCAGGTTGGGGAGACTAAGAGGTTGAAGAGCTCCATGGTCAACGGTTCAACCTCAGAGGGCGGCTTTCCCTTGAGGCCGACAAGCTCCTCGACGATATCTAGAACTTTTGGGGAAAAGTATAGATTGGCGAAATCGGTTCGTCCGGGCATGTCTGGGTGCAGTAGGTGCTGAACTCCCCATATCCCACCTTCAGAAGCTGGAGGCGGCGTGGTTGGAAAGGGAGGGAATTGCTTCGGGACAGTCCGAATGTGTGGCCATTGGCCATGGCGTGCCAGGTGGGTTGCTTTTGCGGCTGCGCGGCGGAGTGTAGCAATTTGCTCTGGCGAAATGAGGCCCGGAATCAAGACGAAGCCATCTCGTCGCAGAGCCGTAAGATAAGGAGCCGCCCCAGTTTCAGTCGAGGTAGTAGTTGTGGTAGACATGGCTGATATTGTCGTTCCGAGATCTTTGTCTATAGTCTCAGACCATGGAATGATTTGAGGGCATGCATGAGGGGGAAGCTTCCTTAAATCCTCACGATGCGGGTTATACACTGACGATGCGTTTCTCTCGCGATCAGCGTAAAATTCTGGATCATCTCCACAACCCCGCAACTTCCCTGAATCTGGGTCAGTAGTGATCATACTCGATTATTGGGACCTTTTGTGCAATGTCTGCTAGATGGCATGGTTGTATCGGGTGGTGGCCCACATGCGACCCCTTTCCGTGACCGTGGCGCCTTTAGTTTGTTAGGGCGAGTGACCCAAGATAAAGTGAATGCATGGTGTGAGAGAGCAGCATATGGGACACAGCTTCGCTGGGAGAAAATAATAATTGAACGGTTGACCATTCGTGGGCGAATATCGAGCTTGGTATCGTATGCGAATAGAAAAGATAAACAAACATAGGCCTTATATCTGGAACTTTGTCCGCTGTTTCTCCATGCGACCTTTCCATTCCCATTCCTGCCCGCTACTCCTCTGTATCCCTTTGTCTACGCGTCTCAGTTTCAGCGTGAATCGTGGGCCCAGCTCCTGTAGGCCGGCGCGGATGCCTTCGACGCCTTTGATTTCATTGCCGTCGGCATCCACGACGCTCTTCTCCGTCTCCCTCTTGTCCCGGAATACATATCGGTGTCTTCGTACAAAGATGTAATCTCGCTGGTTGTGCAATGTGACAACCTGCCGCCCAATCAGGTCCGGTTGGGGTGGGAAAAGGGTGCGAAATAGGTGGGCCGTGAGTAAGCCTAGCGGAGTTCGAAAGTTGTTCAGGATCAATTCTGGCCAGTGGCCTGTAGGGTTTCCGTGACCAGGGAGTTTCTTGCCCTCAATCCAATTGCTCACGGAGAAGTGGAAGGTCGGTCCCACTGGCAAATGCACCACTGTCAGTCCGGACACTCGTTTCTGATCCTCCTCGACGACCACCACTGCAGTATAATCCCTATTCGCAGCGAACTTGGCAATTTCTCTGACTGAGAACTTGTGGCTATAACGGTGAGCGGAACGGCGGATATAAATGCTGTTGGGGAAGAATTCGGTCAGGATGGCTGCTTGGCTGTGTAGGGTAGAATTGAGCGACGTGGTGATGAGGATTTTCGGGGCGGGCGGCGCTTCGTCTGGGAATAAGCTAGGGAATTTGGCAGCCAGAGATTCTGGCGTTAAATCGAGATTTGTACTTCTCGTAGATTGCGTCGGACTTGTAGCACGCTCTGTTGCAGAGCGTAATTTCGATTTCTTGGGCTCACGCTTTCGATCTTCGTCGTTGTCGCTATCCGAATCAAGCATGCTGTCCACTTCATCCTGCTCCCCGTTATCCTCGAGTCCCTCTGAAGGTTCCGCATCGGCTGTAGCCTGTTCTGATTCCTCTTCTTCCTGTTTCCTCCGTTTTATTCTTTCCACATCAAAGGCCAGACCCAGCCCGTCCTCCACGTCACTACCCACATCATCCCATGTTCTCTTCCGCTCTAGGGTCAACGGTATATTGCGCTTCAGTCGCTCTGCCTTTAGCCTGGGATTTTTAGCTTCTTCCTTCTTCCGGGCGAATCGTTCCTCTCGCGATAGCTTGTCTTTGGTCTGTTTTCGCTTGATGTGAAGCATCTGTCGCTTCAACTTGTTGGCCGGCTTGCTTTCCAGCGCCCCCAGCGGGGTCTGCTTGGCTTTTTTGGACGGCATTTCAGAGAAGAGCCTGTGAGCTGATTCAACTTCATTGCTCTATAGGGAATTTGATATCTCGCTATTTTTTTTTCGGCGGAAAAGCAACTAGCTCCCGGATGATCGTTTTGCCGATGCGCTCATTTGACTCAAACTGTTTCGCAGCATCAAAAAAGTGACTCTTGAGTCTTGACCCCTCCGCCATCTCGACTCTCTTTCGCTCCCCGCCTCCACGCTCAATCCCGGTGCCCGTCGCCATCAAAGGCCGTGAATGAACCAGATTCCCCCTTTACGGCTCTTTTCTTTTCTCTCTCGACTCAAATCGCCCGCAATTAGGCACTTTTCCACCAATCCCACCCTCCGAGCGAAATCGTCGATTAAACCGCTAGCTCTCAAAACCATGGCTACCACAAAAACTGGTCAGCCTTTAGACAGATCCGTCTTGGACTCTATGCTCCGGAGACGGCTGTTCTACACTCCTTCCTTCGACATTTACGGCGGGGTATCTGGTCTCTTCGATTACGGTCCGCCGGGATGCGCTCTGCAGGCGAATATTGTGGACATTTGGAGAAAGCATTTTGTGCTAGAAGAAGACATGCTTGAGGTAGACTGCTCAATGCTGACTCCACATGATGTTTGAAGACAAGTGGGCACGTGGACAAGTTTGCAGACTGGATGTGCAAAGATCCCAAGACCGGCGAAATCTTCCGAGCAGACCATCTGGTCGAGGAAGTATTGGAGTCGCGATTGAAGGGCGACAAGGAAGCGCGGGGAGAAAAGGTGCAGGTTGACGAAGAAAAGGAGGCGAAAAAGAAAAAGAAGGCCAAGGAGACAAAGGCAGTCAAGCTCGATGATGCAGTGGTCACGGAATATGAAGAAATTCTTGCACAGATCGATAACTACAATGGCGAGGAACTCGGTGCTCTTATTATCAAACACAATATCAAGAATCCTGTGACTGGTGGTGATGTTCTTCCCCCAGTGTCCTTCAATCTGATGTTCCAAACTGCCATTGGCCCCAGCGGACATATCCCTGGGTACCTCCGGCCTGAAACCGCGCAAGGGCAGTTCCTTAACTTCCAAAAGCTGCTGGATTTTAACCAGCAGTCAATGCCATTTGCTTCTGCGTCCATTGGTAAATCCTTCCGCAACGAAATCTCGCCCCGTTCCGGCCTTCTGCGAGTGCGCGAGTTCTTGATGGCTGAGATTGAACATTTCGTTGACCCTGAGGGTGGCAAGAAACACCCTCGTTTCCATGAGGTCGAAAATACGGAGCTATCTTTTCTGAGCCGAGAAGTCCAGCTCTCTGGAAGCACAAAGCCCATTCGCATGACGATCGGAAAGGCCGTCTCCACTGGCTTGGTAGACAACGAGACCCTTGGCTATTTCCTTGCTCGCATTTACATGTTCCTCATGAAGATCGGCATTGACCAATCTAAGGTTCGCATGCGGCAACACATGGCAAACGAAATGGCACACTACGCTACCGACTGTTGGGATGCTGAACTGCTCACTAGCTATGGCTGGATTGAATGCGTTGGCTGTGCCGATCGCAGCGCGTATGATCTCAGTGTTCACAAGAAGAAGACTGGTGCTCCTTTGGTCGTTAGAGAAACCCGAGCGGAGCCGCTTCGTATTGAAGAATGGCAAATTGATATCGACAGGAAAAAGTTCGGCCCACGCTTCAAGAAAGATGGAAAGACAGTTGAAGCTGCCATCGATGCCTTATCTCAGGAGCTTCGTGAAAAGCTCGCCTTGGATCTCACCAAGGACGGGAAGATCTCCGTTGAGGTGGAAAATGTCAACGATGGAAAGGTCGAACTTGGTAAAGACCTTATTCAAATTGAAAAGCGTACTCGAGTGGAAAACGTTCGTGAATACACGCCTAACGTCATTGAGCCCTCTTTTGGCATTGGAAGAATTTTGTATTGTCTGATGGAGCAGACTTACTGGTCAAGAGAAGGAGACGAAGCTCGCGGAGTAAGTATCCCCACCCTATATTCAGCAAAATCTTCCTTTGATCAGTGTTTCCGTTGGAGTCAAGCCATCTAACACTTGTGGCAGGTATTATCGTTCCCTCCAATCGTAGCGCCAACAAAAGTCCTCCTTGTTCCCCTGTCCAGTCATTCATCCTTCCAGCCACTTGTTAGGCAACTGACGCTCAAACTTCGCCGTATGGGCGTCTCCAACCGTGTGGATGATAGCTCCGCAAGTATCGGGAAACGCTATGCTAGAAATGACGAACTTGGAACACCTTTCGGCATCACTGTCGATTTCCAATCTGTTAAAGACAACACATTCACTTTGCGAGACAGGGATAGCATGAAGCAGGTCCGTGCTAGCGAAGACGAGATTTGCAAAGCAGTTAAATCGCTGGTAGAAGGCGACGAGACATGGGAGGATGTGAGGAAACGACTTCCAGAATTTCTCGGACAAGAGGTGGAATAACTATGAGTGATAGACCCATTTCTTTCTGAATAGAACCAATATAACAGTTGGCAATGTGAATATCCCAACGCTTTTGTGTAGTCCTGTGTAGTAAATATGGATGGTTTGGTGCCCAGTCACATGCTTCTGGTGAATGACGTCCAGCAAACTATTTTGCCAAAATCAACTTGCTGGCATCAACAATCCCATCCATGATTTCATCCTAGAATTGAAGCCTTCTCCTTTCTTGTCTCTGGCTATAAATTTCTAACTACAGAGGGAAAATACTTGCTTTCCTTAACCCCTGGCCTTTCCTTGTGTTGTTGGCCTATTCACCAATCCATGGCGCCGCCTGTTTCTTCCTCGAAGATCACCCTCTCATGCCCACTTTTCGCTGCCGACTTTGATCCCCAAAACAATGGCCTTCTTCTTGTTGCTGGAGGAGGCGGTGAAGGACGCAGTGGTGTCGGGAACAAAATTGTACGTGCGCTCGGCCTCCAACGCAGTGGATTCGGTTGTGGACGCGCTCATTCACTAACTCCTAGAAATCATTTCTAGTCCCTTTTAAACACCGCGCACCCTAATAAAATCACAGAACTCGTTGAGGTTGGACTATCCAGAGATGAAGATTCTGTCATGTCACTGGGCATTGCTCAATCAAGCCATGAATCCCTCGTGGCTTTCACAGGAATCAATAGCTCGCAAGCGGAGCAGAAGCAGAACAACAATGAACATTTACGGTCCTTCAAGCTGAACGTCCCACGTGTAAAACCAACGGCTGACAGCTCTATTGTCGATCATGATACTTTGTCCAAATCGGAAAAAGCGCCCCAAACTACACCGTTATCACGAGCGTCGTTGTTTAGAACCCGGGCTGTTAAGGACAAGAAAGATCAAGAGGCTTACCAGAGGATCTTGAGATTGTCTCCTTGGAAAGGGAGCAATTCACCTCGAATCGCGGCAATAGCAACTGGACTTGCACCGCAGGGCGAAATCGTCGTATTCAATGCGAATACTTCAACTCCACAAGAGTCCGACGTCATTGGACGGGTGACGCTTGGGAACCAGGAAGAGGCCGAAGATCTAGACATCTTGGATGTCGATAATGAGGGAAATTTTAGGCTTGTGTATTCCAATGGTCCCTCGTTATATATGTGTGATGTGTCGGCATCGAAAAAGGCAGAAAATTTGCAGATTGAATGCATATATACAGTTCCACCTGAAGGTGGAAGGAAGCCGAAAATTCGCGCCGTACGGTTCCTCTCACCCACTTCGTTTGCTTTTTTGCAGAATTCGGCCAATCGGTCAGGATGTGAAGTGGCAGTTCTCACCCTAAAGGGATCTCGGGGTTCCGTTACTAGGAGACGGCGTCTTCACTCATCCATGAAGATTGGTGTTGGATTGGATGTCTGTCGTCTCCCACAGTCATCCAAGGGTGAACGGCAATATGTCGTTGCCGTGTCTGGCAATGACCAATCCGTCGAGCTTTTCACTCTTGACTATTCTCCCGAACGAACATTTGGGAAAAATCTACCACTACCTTACCCTTTCGAGATTTACATCCTTTCTCGATGACCAGGATCGCATTCTCCAATTTCATCCCACCTTCTCACCCGGTTACAGCAGACGTTAAACCTCAGTATATCAAACTCGCCTCTGTCAGTGTTGGCAACACTGTCGTCGAACATACTCTACCTCTCTCGCCATACCCAACGGGTTCAAAACGCCCCCGCTACGTCCTCGTCACGCCAGGTCCATCGGAGATACTCCAAAATCTATTCAGCATCATCATGGCTGTGATTGTGGTTGGATTGGGGGCTTTCTGCCTCCAGGCCTTCACCGAAATCCGCGGCGGGGTTCCTCCTACCCTTGGCGCGAAAGAATGGCTACATCCTCGTCTGCGCGATCTGATCGCAAGGCCGTACATGTTTGAAGACGGACGCCCTGGGCAGCAGCGTATATATTCCCTACGAACCTCTACGGCGTCGACTGTAACTCAGGCCACTGAGACTCCCGTAATTCAAACACCCACTCCACCACTTCGAGATTTCCTTTCTTCAAAAGACGATTCCCAGACCTTGTTCATTCAGGATCATGGCGATCATGTCAGAGTTCATGAACACAAGGGCGACGGACAAAACCAGGAGGGTAGGAAATGGGAGGATCTACCGCATGAAGAGCGGGAAGCATGGAAAACCAAACTGGCTGACTATGGACACTGGGCTGCTGAAGAGGGAGAGGCCATCCTGAGAGGTGTGTTTTTTGGCGAATTGGCTGGATTCGTGGGAAGAGCCATGCTTTGATGTCCTCCGTGGAATTGGGTACAGAGTATAGCTATACAGACCTTGGCGTCATTACATTTGCCTTTACTTCTATCGGATTTACTTTAACTATTTTACTTGTGTCTCTTATAAACCAGGCGATTCAATTGCAATTACAAACTCAATGAACTTTTGCTAAGAAAGGCTGTGTGCCTGCTAAGTTATTTTCTGCATTTTTGAGTACTTGAATCTGAACCGTCTAAAATACCATGAAATATTATAATGAGGGAAAAAAAGTAGTATTTTTGGCGGTGACCAGCGTGGCTTCCCTATGCTTGACCTTCCTAGATGCAGTCAATGCTACATCTAAAACTCCAGAAAAGAATCCAAGAGCGTGCAAAGAAGAAAGGTAAGTGAAACTAAGCGAACCCTAGGCATCAAATACGAGTCAAACTGACTAAAAATTGGAAGAAATGATTTGGGCATTGAGAGACATCAGTCATGGGGAGAAATAAATATGGGGGGGTGGCAGATCGTTTTGAAAATTTCCGTGCCGCAGGTCAGGAGAAAAATCATGTGGAACTTAAGCCATGGGGCATTCATAAACAAGAACTGACTGATGCGTCGTTGACATGCGTTTTCTTTAAGTACAAACTGAATCCGGAAACGCCTGTTGGGTAGGATTGTTAGCGCCGGCGAGAATGGCAAATTAACAGGGCAAGTTAACAATGGAAACCTGAAAACCGTGAGTGGAATATAGATTGTAGGGGAAATAAACAAAAATGCAGGCTTGGAGGTGATGACAAGTCGGCGGGAAGGACGGAGGACGTACATGTGTAGCGACCCAGAGGAGGGATGCAACATAAATAAACCAACTCATTAAAAAGAGAGGCTATGCAATATGGTATATCAAGCTGAAAATGCCACCGCCAGAGATGAAATTGGGATTGCACCTTCAAACGTTTGGAAATCCGAAAGTCGGTAAACCGATTTGATAACACCAAGGTGGGAAATGCATCACGAAACAGCGATTTTGCCAACTACTGAGCCGAATTCTTCTTAAACCTCAGCAACTCTGCAAGGCTAGCCAAACTGCAACCGTTTTTGAGAAACTCGTGCTGCAGTAGCTCGTCAGAAGAAGCACGGCTCCGCACATCGACACAGAGGCAGACGCTAAGGAAAGACTTCAGATCCTTGCTCAGTTTTTCTGGTTTCTTAAGACGCGGGGTTCCATTGGTGGCAATTAGATATAGTGCCTTCAGGGGTTCTTCGTTCAAATACGGTGGTTCCGACTCAATCATCTCAATTGCCATGATACCGAGGGACCAGATATCGACTCGTGGCCCGTACTCCTTTTGTTTAACGACCTCTGGAGCCATCCAGTATGGCGTTCCCACCATCGTTGCTCGCTTGCTTTTTGATTCGGTGAGCTTAGCACAAAAACCAAAGTCGGCTAGGCAATTGTTAGCACCATAACAAAGTACAACGAGAACCAAAACATACTAATTTTCACATTCCCAACACGGTCAAGCAGAACATTATCACTCTTGATGTCACGATGTATAATTGACTGGCTGTGCAAATGTGCAAGCCCCTTGCAAGTCTGCGATCATAATTAGAACCTATTAAATTGCGGATGATGGGTTCTGACTCACCTCGAAACAAATTGTTGCAATCTGATCTTCTTGAATAACGGGGTTATTTTCAATCACATCAGTTAACGCACCGCCTTCCATATATTCCATCACAACCCAAAGCTCATTGTTTTGTTCCTGCAGAAATGAATCCAGGAAATTCACGATGTTGGGGTGCTGGCTGTCCTTCATCACAATGATCTCATTGACAATGAGCTCCTTGCGTGGTTGGCTCTTGAGATCCATTTGCTTGATGGCAACTTGGGCTCGCGGGCCATGTGTGCGATATAGTTCACGCGCGACGGGTGATGTAGCTGTCTCCTTAATTCGAGCCACATATACAGATCCCGAGGCACCCTGACCAATCTTACGCTGTTTACTATATGATTCACTTGGGTTATCCTTGGATACAACTTGCTTGAGTCTCTCCATAACTTCACCTTCTGACATAGTAGACATTCGAATGTCCTTGTGACGGGGCTCAGCTTTCTTGTTCAGAGTAGCTTCTGCTTGACGAACACCATCAGGAATGGCTTTTGTTTGGGCACCAGTTGTTTTGTTTGCAATATTGAGAGGCTTAACCGGCTGTACAGGTGCTGGAAGACGGCTTGGAGGTTGGCCTGGAGAATTGAGGTTTGGTCGCTTCTCGGGGGAATATCGATCTTGTCCTGGCTGACGGGACTGGTCTGGCCGTGGAGCTGCCCGAAGCGATCCTTGGATATTATTGGTTTCTGCAGTCCGTGTACCGTGCATCGTTGTACCAGACTTGGGAGTAGATGGTGCAGGCCGTTGCGGAGTTATTTGTCTTAGAGATCCCGGAGGCTGCTGACGACTCCGGTCAGTAGGAATGCTTGGGGCCGGGCGGGATGGGTTAAAGCGATTGTTGGGCGGTTCACTTCGACCACCTCCATATCCACCTAGTTCCTGCTGTGCAATAGGCGTGCGTGTTTTAGGGAGCGAAGCATTGTAAGCTTCTTGTTCCCGGCGGTTCTGTTCTTCTTCGCGCTGCCGTTGCATTTCCCGAATACGACGAGCCTCTTCATCCATGCGACGTCGCTGCTCCGGGTCCGGCATCTCTTTGGGGCGTTCCTGTTGATAACCTGGGTAGGTGCGATCGGCATCTGAGGCTTTACGAAGTGATCCTGGAGAAGAGGTAGTCGACATCTCACCGTACTGTCGCTGAGATTGGCTTGTGTCGGTGCGCTGCATTACCGGACGCTGCCCAGGAGAGGTATGACCTGACTGCGCGCTACAGACTGACTGGGTGCATATGTAGAGCCCATACCTTGATAAT